ATCAATAACGGGTCGAGCACAGAAACGATTTCAATTCCTGCGGGAAGTTTTGTGCCCCTGGAGGGCATGGTTATGTTAAATATGACGGACAATACGACGAGGAATATCTCCACTGCAGCCATAGACACAAACTCGAGAACAGGTGGCCTTTTACAATATATACCTGGAATAGGAGAGAATGGCAAAGGCATACTGATACAATTTGGTGGTCTGTATCGTCAAGCCGGTGAATTGGCAGACGAACTAGGAGGCACTCTAGTAGGTTACAACAAGCCCTTGATAGCATCGAAAGTCTTTCTAACCCGTCTCACTAGGCTCCAATGGATCAAATCAATATTTTCGATATCAACAGTGCATATAATGGAGGGAACGGGTCTTGGTATACTCAACAAGCCTCGGGAAATATTCCCCCAAGAAGGATGGATTCTTGTACCGTTGTCGCCTCTGCTCCTGACAATTCGAGTTACAATATATACCTTTATGGCGGACAAGATGGAGGTTCTGTATCTTATGACGATGTTTTCGTGCTCTCATTACCTTCATTCACGTGGATACAAGTTTATGAGTCTGTACCAGGCAGTCCACGTTTTGGACACACCTGCCATGTAGTTGGAAATAGGCAGATGTTAACGGTTGGTGGGGCTCAGAAGAAGTACTCATCTTATTGTGATTGGGAAAGTTCGGGGGTGGCTATCTACGATATGTACACTTTATCATGGACATCAACGTTCTATCATGACGCCAACAAATACATTGTCCCAGGTAATATTACTGATGTTATTGGTGGAAAGTAAGTATCCTTCAACTCTTTAAATCATATTCATGACTAATCAATAAACAGTTCCAGTGGTTTTGCACAAATCACTCGCCCTTCTAAGGACTTTACAAACGCCAATGTCGCCTCACTTTTCAATCAAGCTTTACTGGCCACAAATACCAACACCTCCAGTACTACCAACACTACTGGCAGTACTACGACTAACTCATCTGCTACAGCTTCAACGGCAAGTAACAACGTAAGCCATGGTGCAAGTACCGGTGTGATAGCTGGCGCTACCATTGGAGTCGCGGTTGCTGTCTTTATCATCTCTTCTCTGGTATGGGTATGGCGCAGATCATCTGCGGCTGGTCGCACTAAAAGACAAGAAGGATCGAGGACTGATTCGCGCCAGTCTCTCATTGTGGAAGATGGGAAAGCCCTTAATCGGCTCCGAGCAAATGTAATGAGCATGGCCTACGATCCTAGCAATCCTTGTCATGTGCCTGGAATAGTGGTACCAAAGGAACAGGCCCGTGAGAAATTGGAGTCTTGACTTTCTCTTAATTGAAAGAACAATTCAAATATAAATATTAAATTAGCTTAGTTTCGGTGTGCATATAGCATAAGTATCTAATTTTACCGCTTTTCTACAATATTTATAATGACCTTGTGAGCGTTTAATGTCTTACAGGCAGGATATGAAACTTGCTAGTCATCTGAGAAGCAGTTAATGTATAAGAAGTGACATCTCAATCAGTTTCCCCGTTGATGTTTGGTGATTGCCCGCCCCATCACCAACACCGTCAGCATCACCCACATTATATCCATAAAACCCACTTTTGGCGACCAGAATTAGGAATCGACTACCTTATGCACAAATAGGGATTATTTGCAAGAATATAATGACCTGAATCACAGGAAATTAGTTATGTTATAGATCTTGCATTGAATTATCAAAAATGCTAGCATGTCTCCGGAATCTGAGAAGTGATGGCTTACCTGGGTGTTCTAGGATGGTTTGTTTAGCTATGGTTCCGAGACTTCTTGTTTCAAGGAGATGGATAAATTCATTTCTTTTCGTGCTTAATATTAAATATGAGTATACCTGTCTGATTATACAATTTTCCATGAAGATGACCCAAATTTCTGATTCGTGTCATTAGCGAGAATCAAAGGGGTCTGGCGAAATGATCAGATCATAAGATCAAATTTCGTCGTAAAAAAGAGACACAAACAATCATAACATAATACCGATTATTACACCACATAGACAGTTTATACCAGTTTGTAACATCATTCTGTCAGTTTCATGTGTGTTTTTTTGGTTTGTTGAATAATCGCGCGGAAGATGGCGGGATGGAAGATGCTCTAGGAAGACCTTAGAAAGTGGTATATAAATACGTATATAGAGTATCTTACGCGCTTGATGTGATTAGCTTCTAGATTTTTTAGATTATTTTATTTCTATGTAGGTTTTGGGTAGTGCCTTACCTCATTGTTCATAAATTCTGTCGAGAAGGTCAACTCTCTTTCCAACACAGTTCATTCCAGCCCAACAATCTGTTAAGTTAGCAGAAAGTAACAACATACATTAGTATACGCTAAGTAGAACGTTCAAGAACTCAATAGATTTCCCGAAGCGTTGCCTAACCAGAGTCCTGAGATGAACTCTAGGAACAAAATGGAAAACTGATGGAAATCAATCTGCCAGATTGCTACCGTATCCCACATTCTCTCCGCTACAATGTTTTTGAACTAAACACACCTATAGCCATTGATGATACCGCAGTGGGAAAAGTATCCGGCGATAAGCAGTATCACTGTTCTTCACTGTTTCAACTCGCCCTGATCCGAGGGGGCACTTCATACTTAGTGGTATCGTAGCGAATCTACCATACTGAGCTTCTGGCTCATTGCTAGTATCCGAAAAATCAGGAGGTAGACACAACCTTACTGATTCAACGGTACCAAAATTATATGTAAACGTTTGCCGGAACACAATTACTTATCGATACGGTTAGTATGAGATTTCAGGTATTCCGCTACGTATATTACACTGAGCAATATCAGCGTAGTCATGTCGGCCCTATTTGTGGATTACCGTGTAATTAGTGAGTATGATAATGTTAGTAGGCAGTACAACACTTGCAGCTAATCCATGCGAGCCATGTTCGGCCATGTGCATTTGACTGCAAAATTATGGAGGAGCTTGGTGCGGTTTATAAAATGTTATAAAAGATACCAAGATGTAATATTCAGAATCATTCCATTTCAAAATATCACAATTCATCAAACAACTCAACAAGCTTCACGTGAAACATAGTTCTCTCCTAAGGCTCAATAATACTTGATACATCATTCCAATAAATCCTCCAAACTTCATTTGCAAAATCGATAATTTTCACGAATCACCAAAATGGGCAACAAAAACTATCGTGGTCGCGTTACCCAGATTCCGGCTTCTAAGAAATACACAGAGGAAAAGTTAGCGGCAGAGAAGACCCGCGAAGAGGATCAACAACTTACTGAACAGAACCAAAAATTGGCCATTGCTTATAAGTTGCATGCCAAGAAAGTCAAAGACGAACAGTATGCGCAGGACTTCGACTATTCAACCCTTCCCCAACATTGCGCATTACAAGTCAAGAAGGATAGCGGGACACCTAAGTTGTTCATCCAGATCGACATCATACACCCAAATCGTACTGCTAAAGAGGTAGATTTTTTTCGAATTCTTCACAAGTACGCACCAATGATCAAAAATGTGGAGATCCTTCTCATCGCCATCGACATTTCACAACTCTGGAGGAATCTACAATCTCCGAATCAAGAATATGATCAAGACTATCGATATCCTAAATACTTTTGATCTCGAAAATCTTCACCTCCTCATCTCCGTCAACAGACCCGATAATTCCAGCAAATAAAGCTCGATGCCGCCTGTTTCGGCTTGAAATTTGATAGTTGGACAATGGGAACAGTATTATTTGGCGACCGGCAGAAGGAAATGAATGTGGGAAGTCGGAGTTCAATTTCTCGCAGATTAGCTGGGGTGTATAGGAGTGAGTTTTTGACTCAAAATAGTACTTAGTTGGGCATCGATTGCATGCGACGAGCTGCGGGGAGTTGGGATAGCCTAGAGGCCTAGAGCATCCATATGAAAGATTTCATAGGCAGTGAAACACGTGTTATTATGATACCAGAGACGATTTCTTGCGGAGAGTATCAGTAAGCTCTAAATAGGTAGATTACGTCACTCGCAGGCCGCTAGCTGGAGCCTCAATGCAAAATGAATATAACAATCAAATAATCAGCCTATTTTCTGAAATATATATGACATTGACCTGAGAGTAAATAATTTGTGTGTTTATGGCAAATCAGCAAAATTATAAGCTCTTCAGACTGTGATTAATCAAAACTCGAAAATAGAAACTTATATTATATACAAAAATCCTATGGATAGTTTTCCATCACAACGGGGAATCAAATGAGAGAGTGAAAGTTGATACAACTCTTCGGACCATGACGGAAAGATAAGTAACATGCTGTGAATATCGAATGTTAATAATGTCACGATATAATAACACCCTGGAGATTCCCTGGAGTTAAGTCAATCCCAACCACCAAAACATTCAGAAATGCTCTAGGATTCTGAAAATTTTATACTGTTACCGTACAAAAGACATTCAATAGTATCACTATCTCGCTGTTAGCTTTATCAATGACACGGCAATTTATTGCATTCTCAATACATTTATTCCGTATCATAAGAATTCGACATGCAACATATCTTAACTTTGATACGGGTTATATTACGGTGGATTATTCGATATGGTTGATGAATAACTACACTGATTCCACGTATACATCAGTTCATCAACAGCGTCACAGAGTTTGATCGGCCAGCCGTACTATTAGCTGTGCCACACAATTCGATACGTCGATACTTGCACGGAATACGGCTAGTTGACGACTCAGGTACATGAAATTGCTTTGGGAGCAGTAGGAGAGCTATCTTGCAGTTAGCAAGATAGTATATAGGTATTCTTCTTTCTCTAGAATCCGGAATCTTTTTACAATACAATTTCCAAACATTCCATTGAAATCCTCACATCCACAACGAAGAACAACAACATTCAAACTCCCAAGTTTCTTCAACTTATCCTTTCAACACAGAATTCTTCGTAGTTCTTACTACAAATATTGTTCAACACCTTAGAAAGCCACTCGAAACTTCACGATGGGTTCCAAAAACGCCCGCGGTCAAGCACCAGTCAAGCGCGCAGCTCAAGTTTATGCTGAACAAAAGGCAGCCGAGAAGCTTTCTACTGAACAGTAGAAAGAAGCACAGAAGCAACATGCTCAGCAAGCCAAGGCCCAACAGTTGGTACAAGAGAAGGCTTTGGCTCTTCAATGCATCTTCAACTTTGACTACACCACTTTACCTAAGCACGCTGCACTCAAGGTAGTAAAAGACGCCGGCACCGAAACTGTCAAGTTGCACATCAACATTGACATCATTCATCATCAAAAGACAGCCAACGAAGGCAATCTCAATGTTGTTCTTTCCAAGTATGCGGATCTCATCACAAAGATTCAGTTCAGACTAGTCGCTCCAACATATCACGAATCCTCTGAGGTTTACAATCTTCGAGTCAGAAACATGATGCGGACTATGAACTGCCTTAACAAATTCAAGATCGACGAGTTCCAGTTTGTGATCTCACTCAACAACGCCTTTAACCTCCATCAAATAAAGCTCGCAGCTTCAGCATTTGGCTTGAACTTCAAGGAATGGACAATGGTTGCAGAGATTCTTAGATTTAAGGGTAGATTCAGTGTTGATATTGGTAGTCCATGGGACCGTAGATTGGCTGGTTTGTACAAGACCCAGTTCTTAGTTCACAAGGAGAAGTGATACAGAATCGGAAAGTAGGGAGGGAAGATAATAGTTTGGCTATTGGTTTGCCTAGGGGATGTCATGTTTTCGGAAGTGATCATCAAAGCCTTTCTAGGTTTTTTCGAAGGTAGCATCATCTAATTGAACAATCCAATACCTGAAACTGATGTGCCACTGATAAATCTTGATTCTGTGACTCATCACATTGCATAAATAACTACCAAGCTAACAAAGTAGCAACTTATAATATAATGTCTACATTCTCGATGTTACGGTTCCTCAACATGGTTAAAAATCAAAATGAACTTTATATATAACATGCAATAAATATGTCCTCTTTCATTGGTAGATTTACGGAGAGAAGACGATAGACCTTACAATTTCACTTGAGTCAAGTAAGTATACAGGTTGGATATTCTATGGACATGGAATGAGCATCGTATTATTGTTGATGAAAAGGTATCATAGGCCTCCACATAGACTCTCAAACATCAACAATTCCTCGGAGATTCAAAATAGTTGATTTTCCCAAATTTCATTGAGGTTTGACAGCTCGGAACACCCTAGTACTATTATCAATTATTAGAGTTTCTTTAATCTCTAAAAGTAATTCCTTGAACATCTATTATATTCTTTCCAGATTTATTGAATGACATAGTGTAACGCACTGTTTACAATCACAAATTTTGCAATAAATTCTTTACTTTACAGTAAACAATTCATTTTATGTATTTTATAGAAAGTCAATTGATATAACTCCAGAGTCATTAAAGGTTAGTCATAGATACACTATCTGAATCCTGAAAGAATTTGATCTATGAATGGGAACAATTTGTCTATGTTCGAGCTTTAGTATGAATTAATAAGTTCACAAACTACTATTATACACTTCTGTCTGTGAATTCTCTCCGTCAGAATCTCGGTATATTGATTTTAATGAAGGTGAATGTTAAGCGAGTCACAGTTAATGAATAATAGTTGGGGAATTAGGCGAAGGAAAAACTTTCAGACTGCAAAATCACAAGATTGTTTCCCAAAGAATAATCACAAAGAGCATGCATTACCCTTTTGAGCGGCTGATTTAACTTTCAAACGGTGATGATTGACAGGTGAATCATTCGAAAAGATAGGAATCTCGCAAATGTGGCTGTGGAAAGTTCCATGAACTGTGGTGAAACATCTCAAAGTGAATATACACAACGTTTCCCTCCATTACACATGTAGCAAATGAACCACGTCATACTGTAGCCTTCCAAGTATCAAAGATTTGATTAATTACGGTTCAGGTACGGGGAATGGCAAGATTCGGTCAATGCAGTCGAATGAATCACTCGCTAGAGACACTAGCGTCGACCACAGATGAGCTGTTGTATCACATTATCTATATAAAGATTTCTTTCGACCCCAGAATTCCAATCTTTTTTTGAGAAGTACCTTTCTTACAACACTTGATCTCCCTCACGATCTTCCACCAGAACAAAACAATTCCAACAAGTTTCAACTTTCACACAACTTTCGCACAACTTCACAAAGTTTTCATCACTACATATTCTTTTCTCCGAGGTAAATTTTTTGCCACACTCTTACTATTTATCTATTTCAAAGACTAATACAAGTACACAGGTTCTTCAACTCTCGGACATATACTCAACCAATACTTAAAAACACCTTTCATCACATTCGTTCGTTGCCTAAATTCAAAATGGGCAACAAGAACAATCGCGGTCAACAAAAGTTGGCTCCCATGTCTGTGAAGATTGCCGAGCAGCAATTAGCTCAAAAGGGGCAACTTTCTGACAAGATGGAGGCTGCGGGCCAGAAGTGGTTTGCCCAGAAGGAAGCCGAACGCAAGCGATGGACCGAGAAGCGAGCTGAATGGAAGAATAGACAGCTTGAGAAGAAGCAAGCTGAGGAGAACAAGTTGGCTGACAAGAAAGCCATCGAAGACGATGCTAGGAAGATCGCCGCCACAATGCACTTTGACTGCATTCAGAAGCATTACGCTCTTGTTCTCAAGGAAAATGGCGAGAAAAAGCAGCTTGTCATCACCCTAAACTTCATTGCCGACCCACCTACTGACATGCTGGCCTTAATGAAAGTCCTTCCTGAATATTCGCCGGCAATCACTCATGTTCAAATCAAGCTCCTTGCCCCTGTTCAACATGGCTCACGTCAGAATTATCATCAACGCGTCCAAAACATGAACAAGTTGATGAATCATCTCAATTTCTTCAATTTGACTGAGCTCGAGGTTCTTATCGATATTGACAGCGAAGACAGTTTCCCACAGTTGAAGCTGGCTGCGGCAGTCTATGGTCTCAATTTCCAAGACTGGACCATGGCATACCAAGTCATGGGAGGTATTCATCACTACCCAATCGATAGATATAGCTCATATGGAAAGAGACTTCGAGGTGTCCATCGGGCTGAGTTTGCTGGTCAGTAGGTGCGGCATTGATGGCAGTGTGAGGATAGTGGGGAAGTTTTGCAGTATGGCAAGATTGCTTTCCTTTTGCGGTGGCAATTAACATGACGCGGAGTATTGTTAGTGGACCGTCTGGCGAGACATGAATTCATTGGGTGGGAAAGAGTGACACTGTTCCGACTGGGCTTACATTCATTTGATTCTGATAATTGTGGGGGAAATTTCGGAGGCGGAGGTACCTCTAGTGCTGTGTCCCGAAAAGTTCGGACTTCTAGCTTATATCATAGCAATTACTACCACCTTTCACCTGAAAATATGTGCCATTTGATCCTGCTAAAAAGTGATAATTCCTAAGGATGTTGAATTGCCACCGTGCTTCCAGCACAATCTTGGCATGTGGATAACACTCAAGTTGCGAAAACATATAAACACTGATTTGCATAGTTGATAGCTTGACTTGTACCTTTGAAGTGATAATTTCGAACAGGTGAAGACTTGGAGTGTGACAATATTAGATTTCAATGCTTTGATAAGTTCAGAAACTGGCTTTAAAGTGAGACCCCTTGGAGTAAATGACGTTATTTCACATAAATGGGGTTAGGTCTTTTATTCAGAGAAGGAAATTTCAACATCTCATTGCTACACAATTGATTCGTGAGTTTACAACTATCGAGCCTAAAAAATCCATTATCCGCCTGCTTCAATTTTATGCTCTACACCACGATACTTCAAGGTCTAAAGATTAGCAATGAACATTTTGTTGACGTTCAATAGGTTACTTAGAACCCGAGATTTCAATCTCCATGCCTCCAATAAGCGTTCAGTTACCACGCCTTAGAATTAAGGAATGATGCTAAAACAATCTAAAATATTAAAGAAGCCGTAGTGAATTTATGTATGTGACATCTTTGCTTATAAATTAAGCTTTTGATTTGATCAGGTACGACGGCCCCTAGCACAGGTGGCTGTACCCATTCGTTTATTTCACTCTGGAATTAAATCAAAACATACCTCGCAGTAACAAATACTTCTATAAGAACATCCATATCCATCGGTTAGAAGGAACAAAAACTCAAACATCTTCCCATACTCAAGACACTCCCTATCTGAGAATTACCTCGACTGAAACCTTTGACCTTTTTTTTACCAAACGATTTTCTCCAAAGTAAATATGACTTTAAGCGACCACGATGACGGCAGTCAATCCACCCAAGTCGAGCATGTTGTCAGCAATCACGGCGATGGTAGCCAATCCGTCCAAGGAAAGCAGGCTGACAACAACCACGATGATGGTAGCCAATCTATCGAGGGAGAGCAAGCAGATAGCAATCACGGCAATGTCAGCCAACCTGTTCCAGAAGACCAACCTGCCTAACAAGATGAGCTTGCTGTCCCGGGATCTAATATTGTAGAGTTCGACTTCTCGACCCTTCCTCAAACCCCCGCCTTGACCATTTAGAAGACCGGCGACAATGTTCAGATGATTGTCGACCTCGAGTTTTCCCAGCTGAAGTCGCCCCAGGAAATTAAAGCTCTTTTACAGGCTCTTATCGAATACGCTGCGGTCATCCACGACGTCAAGATTCTCATCAAGGCCCCCAAAGAGCATCGCAGTGTCACGGCGCGCGAACGTAGAATTGCTACCGTCTCCATGGTCATTTCCATTTTGAACACCTTCCATCTCGCAAAAGTGGAGGTCATCGCCTGTCTCGACGACTACGATAGTTTTGAGCAACTCCATCCTACTATCGCCGCATATCGGTTGCGACTTCGCAATTGGACTTTGGCGTACGAGATTTTAGGTCTCGATGGCACGTGGGAAATCCCTGTAGACAGCAAGGATGAATTGAGACTTCGTCGTCATTACAAAAAACATTTTTTCAAGAAAAGTTAATCCTCTCGGTGGGAACCAGATCTTCGTCTGCTAGAATCACGCAAGATCCATTTATTGTGATGTGGGTGTGATTGGCATGACATTGGTGGGGAGTGGAACAGAGTATTCGGAGGAATGACATTGCATTGGTGCAACAGGATAGCTGGTGATATGGGGAAAGTGTAGCGGAGTAGCGGTGTTGTCACTGGAATGTTTCGATTGTTCCGTGACGTAATACTATGACAATAAAAAGAAACCTGTTACACAAATTAAACATTCATAAAATTCTTTACCATTTAGTGAAAGGCACAGTTTTCTCCAAATCTCACTGAAACCAAGTGAACCATGATGATGAAGCAGTGCTGCAATTATCGGACATTCTCTTACGTGACTTGGGTAATCTACAATTCAGATACAACCAAGAGAATCAAGAGGTAGACTTTGACCTACCAAGGCACTTCGATTATATAGAAAACAACCAAAAACAAGTTTTGGAAAAGACAATGTTCGAGAATGGAGTGATAATGGAACGATTGACACTTTGTAGATGGTGCACGTGTTCCGCGCTGTTGGTCAATCTCGTCGACCGCAATCAACGACGACTTTCTCACCATGTCAATATAAATAAGAATAAGATATCACAATCTCATTACTTTCTCATTGTGAGAAAGACGCTGGTTTGCCGATACGTCGGGTGTGTATTGACTGGATAGAATGGAAATTGTCCCAAGGAGACAGTCCAGGATGGTTTTCAATACACGACAGATTCACTTTAGTATTCTGGGCACTGGAAGCTTCATTGATACTTCAAGCACAAGAGTTTTACAGATAGAACATGTTGATGAGGCTCTACCGATTATAGCACTCAGTTTGAGTCAAGCTCTTGACAAATTTTCATAGTGTTTCTTGAGCATTACATCTGTGTAAGCTAGATTTGTGCTCTTAAATCGGTGTAGAAAATTCCAGATTTCTTGGAAGAATTAGTAAAAGTAAGCTATGTAACAGAAAAATGACACAATGATATTGAGATCTGAAATTTACTTGCTGTTCTTGTTGTGGAAATTTGAAAACTCTATTCTCGAGAACAATATTCGTGGAAGAATGACGGCTCGCAGCCGTATCAAGAGACATGAACCTAAGTATAAAGCTTAGCCAGTATAGCATGTCATTCCTTTATAATCCTATCTTTATTATTGAAAATGTAGAGGCAACTCTATAAGTAACTTCATTAGTAAAGGTAGATACTCTTTACACAAAATTGTAGCTCTATCAATCGATCATTCTGTTGATGATGAAAATTTTTCTCTCCCTCCAGAAGCATTTCATTAACCCACCGCTAAGCTGTATCCTTTATATGCCTAGATTGTAACCCCTTAATATCAAATCAATCAAACAGCCAATCAAAAGATCTCGTTGGGCTAGTGGTCATGCCATCTGTCTCACAGAATTCTCACATGGGTTTTCAAAGAACACAGAAGATCGCAGGTTCAAGCCCTGCACGGGATATTTTTGGTTGTTATTTCCACTGAAACTCTGTAGATATAAATAAGTGCATTGATTCTTGATGAAATGATCAGGGTTTTTGGGTTGTTTGTTATCTATAAGTGTTTGTACTGTAGATAAGTGGGGCAATTGAGGGGTCTCGCTTAAGGGAAGTATAGAAATTGTTCAAAAAATTGACTCGAAAAATGAAAGCTGAAATTCAGATCATGTATACAAACGACTCTTCTCCTTCATACTTCTCTCATTATAGAGCGGATGTTTTTTCCCAATCAGCGGTTTCATTGAGGTTGTCCAGCCATTACAATTATTCGATGATTTCAAGTTTAGATGTCACCGCTTTTGTTTTCGTAAATATTGCTGCTCGACCGACCGTAGGTAAAATATTTTGAGTAACTTTGGATTGCTTATACGTTTTTGATTGCCTAGTTAGGTATGAGAGAAAGGTATCTGGTTGGCCTCCTTGGGATTCAGGGGTCAACCCGCATTCACTGATGCCATCAAAATCAAGCAAGGCTTAGTGTGCGATTCATTCCATTGACAGGTTCAGGGATGCTATATTCTCGAAGTCTTCTATAGCAATCCAACCTCAACTCCAGAGAATCTGATCAACATTCAACCCGAAATTTTGAGCAAATTTTGAGATTTTATCCCGCTTGTCCAAAAGTGGATCCCAGGACATTCTTGTTGTGTATTGACTTTCATGTTATACACAATCCAATGGGTAAGTCTTTAATTCATAGACATTTTGTCTATTTAAGTCGCAGTCCCTTCTACCCAGAAGACGATCAGAAGTGATCATGTCCACTCCAGGAACGACAGCTCAGTCTCACAGAATTATTGAGAATTTTTCTCTAAAGAAAGCGTCTGACAGCCAAATTCCCTCATCCCAGCCTTAATTGCGCTCTAAACCTCCGAATCTAAAAAGCTACCATAAGATCTAGGTTATTATCTTATTGTCTGGTATCGTCAATACTGCCGCGCACTATTCTCATCACCGAATACATCTACTCACATTACTAATATAAGTATGGCAATGACTGTGCTAATACTTAATCTGCAATGACCCGTCTCTCAGCTATTTTACGAGAGTGATCTTAGATGTGACTTGTAAAAAAGCTCATCTCTGAAGAATGATACGGCTGCCACATGAAACCTTATACATGTAGCGAAATGTGATCTCGGTCACAAACGACGAACCTGAACCACTTACTCTTTTGCTTTAAATATTTTCGCTTGATTTTAATATCTGGACAGTAAATCAACATCACCCCTCTGAGTCTATTCCTAAACTCTTGCCCATACAAAGCCACGAAGCTGCACCTAGGAACAACCAAGACTTATTATGCCGCCGATGACAATATTTGAGGAGTTGGTTTGTAGGAGGTAGTTGTGCTTCAGCAGTTCTTCTTCTTTCCATCTCCATGTTCTACGCCCGAGACAGGGATTTGTACATTTATTCTTAAAGTTGAGTTCGACTTCTCTCTTATCATCAATAGAAGTTTCTAGTTGTCAAATTTCGTTGAGTTTTCTCAAAATAGGTTACAACAGCGATATAGTTACCAACACAATGTGTCTTGAGCACTTGGAGAACATAGAGGAATACAGGATCTGGTTGGGGACGATGATAGGCAACTTCTCCCTTGATCGCAACTCATTTTTCTTCTTATATTGGACGATATCACTTGAAGACATTTTTATTCATAATTCATAGTGAGCACCTTCGGTACATTCAAAAATAAGTTTGCAGATTATCATAACTCCACCCCGCACCAAAACTTATCAAAGTTACAAGCCGCTATCATATAAAGGCAGAATGTTCTTATCTTAAAATTCCTCAACATAACATTACCGTGATGAATAGTCACCTTATGCTGCGCCTGTCGTTTTCCACCAATCAAGATCTAGTTATCAGTCAAAACTCCAATGAGCTACGGTCACTCACAGAGTTCACATGCAGATATTTGATTATCATTATTTATCATTTATAGATTATTATCGTCAGAGTCCATGAAGCATATTCAAGATCAGATATCGCCAGAACTTTTTTTTCGTTGTCGCACTACGCATTTTACTCTACACCTGCCTCCTATGACAAGTTATTTTTACTGGCGCCTGGCTGAGAAATCCACTTCCAACATAATTTAATTTCTTAATAATTTGGATCTTTATGACTCTCATACTCCCGCGTGTCACTGGGAAGTTTTGTTTCATCAAGTCCAGAGAATTTAAAATATTTATCCTCCTGCTCAAGGCTTCTTAGTGGGTCCCATCTATCAATTAATTTTCGTAAATCCTCCAAATTCATCAGAGAACCAACGTCAGGATTATATAAGTACTCGTAAATCATCATTATACCATCTACAGTATGGATATCCGATCACCAAGTCACGATGATGATGACTGCTTGTAGTTTAATTCCAACAATCGCCACTGAAGACATACACGGAGGAGATTACTTCAGATCAAACTAACCTCACTAATTTTGAGCCGTCAAATATATTTGTTATTCATCGCCGGAACCTAACATCGTGCTTAACATTCGCCGTCGGAGTTTTCACCGTCAAAATGCATTTCCTATAATTGCTTCAATTCAACATATCTAATTGAAATGTGAATTTCCATCTACCTATATCAAATGCAATAACAAAATTATCTCAGCTCTTTAGTTGTCCCGGTCCAATGCTTTGTAAAGCGTGCCGATCTTTCGTTTGTATCCGCATCATTCAGTCAAACTAGGTATCCATTTTATTTATACACCCAATGTAAAACATTTCACGGAGACTGCTGATCCACTAAGAGTTGCGTTCGGTCATGTGGGAACATACATATATACAGCGGTTTAAGACACACTATCAACCAGGCTCGTCGGAATTTTCAGAGACCACAGATATAAAAACCCTTCCAGTTCTTTCTCAAATCCTCAAACTTTTGAAGATCTTACGCCCACCAATTAATCATGATTTGATGATTTGTAAATTTTTCCTGCCACCTTCAAGATTCTAGGGATCAACTCAAGCTCAAATATCATTCCATGCGCCTTTTTAGTTTGATTTCAACAGATGTTTTGAGAGAGTTTTGCTGTCACTTATATGCAGTCATCATGATGGCAGTGATAGACTAATTTCTTCCACGTCGAGATTTAGATAATCATTCCGCTTCCTCTTAGATTCTTTTGCAGTTTTGATTGTATACCGTTTCTCGCGTTGTAAAGTTACATACCTTCTTTCTTCCTTGCTTACAAGGCATCTCATCTGCTTTCGCGCCCACCAGGCCCTACAAGGAACAAGAAACCTCAGCCTTACTAAGAACATATATACTCCTCTATGGGTTTGATATGTTTCTCAACCTAAGACCCTAAGCGTGTAGTGAATGAGGAATAATTCTTAACCTCCAGTGGGGCTTTTTGATCTCGTCGTTGCAAACGATTCTTGACCATTGGTCTTTAGGTGGATACAATCAAAACATCACTACAGCAAAATGCTTAGTATACACTTTCCCACCGGTATACTTTTTCTCTACAATCCCAAAGATAGTCTGTTATATCCTTATGGCTCATGATTACTTTGAATCCTCAATTAATATAGCAAGACCTCGTATCTTCATTTCCTTCAGTATTTACAGTACTAGGGCACAGATAATGGCTGATCACCTAAATCACACCAAAAAATAGCGATTTACAGTATTTTTTATAATGATTTATTAATCTTTATAATATTATTTTTTGATCGATATTTTTACCAGGCATTATTTTTATATTAATTACTTATATTTCCAATCTTCAAATTCTAAATGAATTAAATAATTAGATTTTCAAGGATATAATAATATCTAATAAAAGTTCCTTAGATTTCGCTTATTTTACTAGTAAATTCTAGAATTTCTGAATTGGTTTATTTCAAAGCTATATGATATAATCAATAAAAATCCCAAAAATAATTGATCCATTTTTTTGAAATCCTTAATTGAAGCTTGATAAGATTGTGCCAATATAAATTGATAATTCATATTAAATTGTACTGATATTTATTCATTTTAGCGATGAGTTTTGGTGTGATTTAGGTCATCGGCCATTATCTGTGCCCGGTCGCTGTAGCACTAACATGATTCAATCATAGTTTCAATAATTAATACAACCCTAGTCCAATTCCCTATGTGGATGTCCATCAATACTTCACTTCCACTCAACCCTCGGTAGACTAGCTCCTCACCTCAGCCCCAGCCACTAGACAAATCTTCTCCTCTACTCCCCCTCATACTGACATAAACATTTGATCTTCCATTGTGCACGGAAAAATTAGCGGGTCCCATGTTACCCCAATATTATTTCTGTTACATATCATAACCCGCACAGAACCACATACCAAGTATAAAGTGCAAACAAACCATTCCGAGCCCAAATCATGCTCTATCATCATTCATCAAACAATCAAACACCTGCCATCCTATCATCGTCAAATCTCCCTTAGCCGAAAGAATCAAATCTAATCCACGCAAATCAAAATCTAGATCCTCGGTTATGTAAACAAGCGAGTAGCTAAGAGCAACACTAACTACCTACCTGCCTATAACAAGCACGTTAATGCATTAATGAGAAGGCAAAGATACCACAACAAATCATACTATCATATAAAAGGTAATTGGTTGAGATCCGACGGATATAGTTTAGAAACCCAGAAGATCATTAGAGGGATTCCATCATTCGTTCTATAAGAGTCGGGAATGACAAAGAAATACAGTGAGTGACATAGAACTTCTTTTGGAGTCACGGAGTCATAAGTCAAGTAGATTAAATGTGTATGACATCTAAAATAATTTTTTGCATGTTATTAATTCATAGGCTAATTGATGATTAGTTTTAGTGGCTTTTAATAGCGAACGTAATATACCAAAGCTGAAATTAGTAAGTATTCATAGAGAACCATTTCCTTGCAGGGATCCATTTTTCACAAACAGCAGACTAGAATATAGGATTTGGCGACATGGATTTGAGTCTCGGTGCCTAGGTTCATTATGAACGCGACAACTTTTCACAAAGATTGAAGCGATGCTGAATAAAGCACAGTTATTTTAACAATGGCCTGCCGCATCATAAACCAATTGAATTTAAATATACATGCCAGTATCATACCAGTTATCAAAAGATCTTGATAATCAATTGTCCGTCATCTTGTAGACCAAGTTCGGGCGATTCAATTTCCTGCTCGCGGCTGAAAGAACTACATTCAGACATCATAGTCTCGTGTTCCTTATCGTCGTAATACCTAAATATACCACGCCTTCGAAACTCCCATCTCACTCTGTTTGTCGGGAACAGTATGAGACCTCCAACCTCCCAGCGACCATAATTATAGTGGAATCTACAAACAGGAAGAAGATATATTTCATGTAGCTCGATTCCTGTCATATCTTCAAAGTCACAAATAAACAGTACTCCGATATTAACTCCCCATTCTTTGCGATCTCGTCCGAAGCAAAGTTCAAAACCGTTAAGAAATTGCCTGCCAGAAAAATTTTCGCCACACCATTTAGCGGAAGTGATATCTCCCTTGAGCTTGATATATCCACCGCATACTTTCCCAAATGGGTTATCAATTGCTAGCTCCAGACGTGTTTCCAAGATCTGAGAAAATTGCTCAATAACTTCGCTTCCATAGACCTTTGAAGGAAATTTTATTTCTGCGCTAAAAGAGGCCCAAGACCAGCTGGGGGCGGTATATTCGTGCTTCTCTAGCGGAGCTTCGGTAAAGTTGGAAAGATGAAACGGGTATTCTTGAGCACTCCAAAGAATACCATATAGCAGGTCTTTTTCCCATACTCCCGCTAAATATTTTCCCCCTATGTGTTGTGCCGCTGCGTTTGCTAGTCCTCCGATGGCAACAAGTCTGTCCGTTTTGAAAGTAAGATTACCTTTCATATATAATTCTACGATTCTCTGCCAGATTTTTCCACCTTCGAAAGGCATGTCCAATTGGCATGTCCGATTGGCATGTCCGATTGGCATTTGTCGATGCCATTGACAAGTATTTTGACCTGGGGCTTCACACCGGAGGCTCTGACGCCTCGTTGTGGAAAACCTTTGGGAAATGTTTCAGAAGCCTCATGTTCCAAACACTCCCAAAATAATTGTCTAGATCCAAAGTGAAGATTTCGTCTAGACAGGAGGCGTTCTTGGCAGACCCAAGCCCTAGAGGATAAAATGCCATCTTCCACTCTTTTTCCCATGCATGTTAGTCAACGACACAGTGATTGTTCTCATCGCTAGCTGTTTGAAACCATCCTTGTTGTACCTGTAATGGCTCTCTGTCACGGAACATCCTTTCACTACCATTCCTTGCAGCTGTGGCACAGATATTGCAGTGGCTATTTGAGTAGACATCACACATACTAGCGGATTCTATCAACCAATCAGTCTCGGAATCTTGAATAATCCATAACGAATCAATCCAGATATATCGTCCTCCTAATTTCTGGACTACCCGTAATGCGTCCTGGAAAGTATTTGAAAGTTGTGAAAAGTTTATCTCGCGAAGCATAAGCTAGATGTTTGACTGAAGAAGGATAATTTCTGGTATTGTATTCCCCCAGCAATGACTTAAAGTGAAGTAGATTGAATTTAATGGAATTTCTTTTCTCAAACGAAGCCGTGGAGTGATCACTGATTCTCCTATTCCGATATCAATAAGACGAGTAGGAAGGAAATTTTGGTACGTGGTAGCTTTGCGTGAGCAGGAAACATGGCTTGTATTGCAGTTCTGTAACCATTGTTTTGAAAGATTCAGACTCCCATCAGATCCTGTGGAAGAAGCTACTGAGACAAAATTCTCTAAGCCAGCGAGTTCTGAGAGGAGTATTTTTTAGCAATTATAAATATTTCATGGTCATCAATTTGTCACCCACGCTTTTGCAAATATACGCCGAGAATTTGCAGCTCTCGAGAAGGACTGTCCCTTCTTTTTTTACTTTGCTTGACTTGCAGGCTCAGCCAGGTATGAACCCAAAAACTTTGAACATAAAAAGCAATTTTTCACGGCACGAGGAGTCGGTAGCTTGGGATCTTCGAAAGGAGGTAAGGCCTGAAATTCTTTGATATCGCCCCAACCTAGATCTTTGAAGTCGTATGAATCCAGAAATTCCTGACATCTGGAACATGTTGGAGAAAGCGATGGAAGTTCATCTTCACAAGGTGAGAGGTGTAATTGTGGAGATCCAGAAGTTGATGATATAGACATATTAGCAATGCTCAAAATGATATTGCAAGGTACTCGTGGTTTATCTTAATGTTGAATTCAGTCTTGTGTGTATTGTATACGTACGTCGAGGCTGTACAGTACATTGCGTAACCAACAGATTGTTCAATGTCGTGTTTACACATCATTGGTGTCTTGTCGATTCTCTCTTTTGATTGGATGAGCTCTTTGATGACCAATAAAACTCCCCGGCAACTGCTTCGGCTCGAGTGATGGCAATCCGATTCTCATCAGTACTCAAAGTCGTCGAATTTGCCAATATTCATGCAAACAATATATCCGCTTTCTCTCATTTTCCAAAGCTGTATTTACCTCTCACTACATATACATAACACATCGCACATACCACAAGTCAATTTATCTGCATCAATATGAAAGTCAAGCAGAAGTCTCCTGATATCGCGATCGCATTATATAATCACCGAGTTGGGATAATGTGCGTCTTGTTTCGTCGATTCACAAATATGTCGTTGATGTTGTTCTTGGGATTTGGGGGTTTGCTAAATTGCCGTCTCTACTCGGTCTGAATGCAAGTGCATTCCCTCCCTTCTTCTGCTCTTACTCTACCCATTCAATCAACATGATTGTTTGTTCTCCCTCCTCAGATGCATTTCTTAGGGATAAATTATATCAGATCAGATCAGTGCTCGCAGTGTATGAGAGGGTATGATACGGCTAGGTTGGATAAGCCATACCCGTGGACGCCAGTTTGACTGGGTATTCTCAACAAAAGTACGAAATCCAACCACTACGAGCACTGTACCAGATGCAGAAATCAGGTAAATCCACAATCCAAGAAGAGATATCTCGAGAAAGCAAGAGAGAGGGAGAGAGAGAGAGAAAACAGATGATCAATTTTCGACACTGCATCCAAAACTTAACTCAAATACCTCACTCGAGATATCCTTCCCTTATGAATAGACAAAATCCTTCGCAAGTCATAGCAGCAAACCAACCATCTCACTACACACTATCTCCACCACACAAGCCATTTCTCCTCACCACAAACCATACAAATGCACATCAGCACAGTGACAATCTCTAAAACTCCATCCCCTAACCACCACAAACACTAGGTATAGCGACCTACACAACCAAAACTTCCCTCTCTACATTTACAAACTTCCGGCTTTACATACAAAAGCCTTCACATTCCACAAAACCTCGAGCACTTGCTCTATTTTCAAAATCTTTCACCTATTTGTCTGCATCTTTTCATTTCAGATAGTACTACCTACCTATATATTACTATCACTGCAATACAGAACTGAAAAATCTAGTTTGAAGATATAAGAGTTATGGCCCCGGCTTATTGCACACCACCCTATTTCGTAACAAAATCCCTGCAAAAATGTTGTTTTCTTATATTAAATTAATTATTTTTTTAATTTTTTAATAATCAAAGATATAATTGGAAAATTGATTATACAAACTATTAGTTATAATTAATTTCCTAGAAATGGAATGAATTATTTTTAACAATTTTTTGAATAAAATTAATAATATTTAAAATTGGAAAACTTCAAAATCTTAATATATTATATTTTTCCTAATACAAAAAAAAAATCACTTTTTTTCAATGTTTCAGAAATTTTAATTTAAAAATCTTATAACTTTCTATAAAAATTATTAAAAACATTTTATTTATTTTTTTTGAATCAATTTCATTGATTTTCCTATTATTCATAATTAATTTGAATAATTCACTTTAATTTATATATCACAATAATATATAGTTAAAAAGTGAAAAAATGAGAGTTTTGTAGTGTGTTTTCGCTAAGTGTGGTGATAAGCCGGGGCTATACTCGTACAAATTCGCTTATATAGATAGTTTCAATGAGTTCCCCCCTTTCTCTCCTTTCTTTCTTATCATCTTTCTTTATATCTATATCCATCCTCATCTTCATCTCCCTATCCCTCTCCATCTTCACAAGAATCCCATAGCACAAACAGTACAACCACAAACCCGAACCTCCAAAGAAAGTCCACATCCTCCATCCCCCATCTCCAATCCCATATCTCAATCCACCGCACAAAACTTGGATACCACCCAAAAAGGAGTTCAAGAAAGCACCCCCTCACCCCACAAGGGCTCCCTCTCGGAAAACATTCAGCCTCTAATTTTCTCATCTCCCAACTCCCAAATCTAAATAATTTACCCCTCTTTAATCAATCCAAGAACGATTAATAAACAAGATATGCAACAAAGCTTTCGACGACTAAAGGACACGTCCTCTCAACGATATACGCTAAAATTATCCCGACATCACATCACACCATATATCAAATCCCGATCCCCGACCACAGAATGCGAGTTGTAATCAATATGTATGATCAAGTACCTAGGTAAATATCTAGCTAGATACTTCACATACCTACTCATACCAAGTTCCACTACTTCTCATCGCTTCTCATCGCTTCGCTTCGTCTCCTTCTGAAACTTCTTCATCTCTTTCTCCTCTTTCCTCTTTCTTTTGTCAACTCCTATTACACATCATATTACAAACCACAAATCACCAACCAACCATTGATACCTAGCTACCTACCCAAACCCTCCCTCCTAGACGACCATTCCATCTCATCCCATCATCTCACTTATCACAACCACAGCCACAGCATACCCACACTACAAACCACGAATCACACCATTCAAAATCCATATTCAAAATACAAACCAAAACTCTTCAGAATCTTCAATCCTATACATATATACCGAATCCATTTATAATTAACCACTTCAACTCCAATCAATATATTCCCTTGAAATTTACTTACTTTCCTTCTTCCCACTCCTCCCCCTCGCCATCCTCTCCCTCTTTTTTCTCTCCTTTTTCTTTTCTTCCCCTCTTCCTCAAAAACAATTCTCCCACAAAATCTTCTTAGAAAATACATCCATCCATTCTCACATCTGTTCAAATCTTATTTATTCTCTTTATTCTCCTCTTTTCCCTCTCCCCCTCTCTCCTCCTCTCTCTCCTCTCTTTCCCTCTCTTACCCTCTCTCTCTCTCTCTCTCCTCTCTTTCCCTCTCTTACCCTCTCCTCCCCCTTTCTCCTCCCCCGATTCAAAACAACAAACCCTATCAATCTCATCTATCCTCTCAAACCCAATCACTCCCCCAAACCACACCCTCCCCTAGTCAAACCCATCCCTCAAACCCCAAGCCCCTCCATCTCATCTCATCCCTATCAAATCTTTCAAACCCCACGATCCCTAAACCCCATCGAATCCCTTCAAATTAATTCCTTCAACTACTTCTGTCTTTTCTTTCTTTCTTCTCCCCATCTTTTTTTTTCTTTTTCTTTCTCTTTTCCCTATTCAAACCCCACCTGCTTCTCTATTACTCCTCCCCTATTCAAACCCTTTCCTCTAATTCCCTCTCATCCCAATTCCCTCTCATTTTAATCCCATTAATCTCTATTCAATCTACTCCTCCAACCTATTCCTTCAAACCTCTCACTCCTCCAAACACTCAAACCACTCCTCCAAACCACTCACTGCCCCTCAAAAAAAAAAAAAAAAAAAACATACCTCATCAAATCCCAATCCCAATACAATACATCGCCGAATTTTGAAGAAGGACTCTTAGAGGTAGGAAGATACTGACTTCAAAGTTCAAACTTCAGAAGTTCAAAGTTCAAAGCTCTACTTACTTAAATTTCATATACGTCTTATCTTATTTCACTCTTTTCCTTCAGAATTCTACACATCCACATTCATATCCACATCCAAAAAACCCCCCCAAATACCTCAAAACTCATCGTATCTCAACTCAATCAAACATATTTTCAATCTTCATTCTCATTCTCGCACTCATTCTCATTTTCTACTCAAACACTCTCAAATGCCATCTCCAAATGTAACTGCATCTCAAATCTCATTCGCAATTATTGGTATCTAAACATCGTCTCTCTCATTTTCCCTTCAATCCTCTTCTCTTATTTTAATCATCCGGCCCACAAGCCCTCCTTTATCTATCTCCCCATTATTTACTTCCTCAAAACCCGAAAATCACAACACAATCAAATCATATCCACTCCCGCCAATCCATCCACACAACTTTGCAAATCTAGATCCAGATCCAGATCACAAACAATCTTTCCCCTTCCCTTATCCACCTTGCTTCTATCTCCCAATCTTTTATACCCTCCCCTCCAATCCTATCCCCTCACTTAACAACTCGCAAAAAATGTACAAATGCAGAACAGAAATCATGAATGGTATCTCAAAAAAAAAAAAAAAAAAAAAAAAAAAAACGTGTAGAAGAAAGAATCCGCGAATAAACAACAGAAAAAATGAAAAGTCCGAGAAATCGAACAAAGTCGATCGAATCAAATTATATGCGCTGCAATAATCAAGATCTGATCTAAATGGAATATCGAGAAAAAACTTTAGTTGCGTCTGTGGGTGTGAGTGTGTAAATTATCGGACAATAGAATATGAATGTGTGAGAATCGTCTTGACATATGTAAATAGAAGCCAGGACGATTGAGAGCGCGGGGCATCAATCTTCGAGTAATGTTTTGATCGTAGGCGAGTTATGACGAGAGTATGTTTCGGTATCGGTAATCGGTGTTGGTATCGACACAGATGTAAAAAAATCTATAGAGCTTTTCTTCGAATAGGTGGAGGAGCAGACGAGTTATTGTTTTCCATATTACCCGTGAGTTCAGCTACACGAGCCTTAATACGTGCAACACGAGATTCAATTGCTGGATCCATTAGTATATCACCCCATGAAGAAGCTTTAGAAGGAGGGGAATACTCACTCTCTTCGCCTGAAGTCTCATCATCGTTATCAGTAGATGGACGATGTCCAATTCTAGCTTGTTCTTCGAGTTCTCTATTTCTAGCTTTCTGTTCGGCAACGTTCTTGCGGATTTGTGCCCATTTATCTTGAGGAGAAATTTGTTGTGTAAGTGGTTCTTCTTGAGGTTCCTCGTTGGTTTCCTCATATTGACTTTGAGCATTGTTTGATGGTGATCCGGAATCTTCACTTCCTCTTGGCGTATCAGATTCGGCTGCTGGAACAAACGCTGGGAAATCTTCAAGAGGACCTTGATCGAATTTAGAGAACTCTTGACGAGCTTCCCTGGCGTCAACAGTATCAACTCTAGAAAGATCATCTGCAATAGAATGTTCGTATGAAGGACGGCGAGGAGTTGCTGGTGTCATTGGGGTGATAGGAGTGATAGGAGCCTGTTCGTCAGATGCAACTGGAGGAGCTGGTGAGGCCGATCCATCTCCCTTCTCACTAGTAGGTGACTTGAGTGAATTCTTCTTTCTCGAAAATCGTCTCGTCAGACTGTGCTTCTTTCCTTCTGGTTTGAGTCCATCTTTGCCATTCATTGCCATTTGAGAAGCATTTGGTGGAGCAGGCTTCACTTGCTTCTTTCTACCAAACATACCTCGGAATCCACCAGGAGCAGCTGGATTATTCTTCTTCAATTTATTAGGCGTATCCAGAGTTTCCGGACTCGAAGGTGCATGATCCACAGAAGCTCTGGGAATATCCATACTGGGCTTGTTTTGATTCAAAGGAGATACTGGGACAGGCTTCCTCTCAAGTGGATGAATGTTACTTGGTGAAATTGGACCCCGCGCCTCTTTAGCTTGATCTTCGCCAGTTGGTAGAGGTGGTAAAGGCGAATGACGTCCAGTTGGAGTAGTTGGAGTGAGGGGTAGATCTCTGTTACTATTAAGACCTGGTGACAGAGCCGCTTGACGATCATATGAATTTCCATTTGACTGCATAGTACCTTCTCCAAGACCTCGTCCCATAAAGTTACTGCCTAAGTATGCTTCTCGAACAGCATCTTTATCGTATTTATTGGCCCACTTCATCGCTGGGGAAGCTTCCGATTTGAGCATGGGCTGAAGTGTTAAGACACTGTTAGTTTTCAGAGAAGCTGCCTCAAAATCGTTTCTTCCACGTCGCGCTGCTAGTCCTTTCTCTTCCTCTTGCTTTTTTTGTCTCTGTTGTAATTGAATTGCTGCTGCTTGAATTCGAGCATGTTGATCAAGGCCAATTGTAGTCTTACTTGCGCTAGTACTTTGATTGTATCCTGGTTTCAAGTTACCGGGCTTCTCCATTTCGGTTTTGCCGGTAGATCCTCGTCGCTTTCCGCTGTTCTTATTCTTCTTGGTACGTCCCCAGAAGCTCTTTTTCTCCGCAATATAAGCACCCGCCTCAGGCTCTGGTGCTGCGCCTTTGACCATTTCCTCCATTACTAACCAGCGGCCACCTTTGATTGTTGTCTCGATCAAAGCGCATCGTCCAAATGAAGCCTTTCGGTCCACCGTCTCTTCGCCAGCCAAACTACTAATCCAGACCCACCAGAATGAATCGTCCAAGTCAAATCGAGTAATGCTTGCAAGCTCACCAGGTTGTAAATCCATGTTTGACTCGAGTCTGGGTTGATGTGATTGCGAACTTCCTGCTCTGGTATTGATAGGTGGTAGAATCTTATCCGGTGGTAATAGTAAAGGCGGAGGACTACTTGGTCCATCATCAACAAAGCCTGACGAAAGGAAATCCGCCCAGGAAGGAGTAGTTGGTCTGTCACCGGCCTTGGATCCACCATTTGCCGGAGTGGTTCTCAGCCCTTGTATTGGTTTTGGCCTTTTGGGTCCTAAAAAGGTACTTTCATCATCCGCCATATCATCATCAAAAGATGCAGAAAATCCAATATCCTCAAATCGTGACCAAGAGGCATCTCGTAAACCCGTGGATTCTGTAGAATTAGATACCTGGGATTGATTCGTAGTAGAAATTGATCTCAAAACACGACGACATTCATCAGTCAAAGCTCTGACGGGATCCTCAAATTCGGAGAATTGTTGTAGAGCGCGGTCATCGTCTCGATATTGGAAGTGATTTGCTCTTCGTAGTAATGCAAATGGCGTAGGTGAAACGGAATTTACTATCATCACCACCTTTGTCGTCGATTGTTGTAGTAACGAAGGTCTTTCCGGTGGATATTCAGTTTCCTGGACCAACTTCTGTAGGGACATAGGTAATTTGGATATGCCGTTTGTGCCCAAGACGGAATCAGGAGAGAGGGATCGTAGATAGGCGAAGAATAGATGACTTGCAGCATCAGCCGCACTAAGGAATGGTAAGCACATTTATCAATCTGACGGATGGATTTAACCCACGTTGACCATCCTTTATATCCACCTTCAAATCCATTGCCGGTATCATTATGTTCGAACGCCCACCATCCCGCATATCTCGACAATTTGCGCCCAGCTAAACCATTCGTTTTCCCATGTGCAGCAATGGCTGACAAGAGATCGAAGAAATCAAAAATGATATCTTTTCTCGCATCCGAATCTACACTTAGCGGTATAAAAGTTACAAAAGCGTCGCGGGCATATCTCGAGTCTGATTAAAGTTAGCCATGATCTCCTTCTCTTTGAATTCCCAATCTCCTACCATTTTCCCCAACTTTAAATAATTCATAAGCATCCCACGAAACTACACCACCGGCCAATCGACCCCAACACCATTTCAGCACACTACATAGAACCTAATTTGAGATCAGTTATTTATCCCACTCTCACGTTCCGTCTGCCACCTCACCATAGGTTCCGTAAGTCTCAACTCTTGTGCCAACATTTCCCGACTCAATTGTCTCTTATCGAAGAAATTCCGAATAAATGTTCGTGCGGCACTTGGATCTGACGTAGGTCGGAATGGAAGTAGAAGGAATGGCATATCCAAAGCTGCAAGGACGGGCACAAATTAGCACTGTGTAACAAATGCAGACTCCGTAGTAAATGCGCCCCCTCTCCCCTAGGCTTCGTGCATAATCGATAACGGGGGGGGGGGGAATGAATATCCCATTCTGAATCAGATTTCATACCTCTTGATTTTAATTCCACGGTACATCCCCTCACCAGATTTTGAATCTCTTCTGGTTCGACGGTGGTTCGTGTCCAGGCATCTGTCCATGTTGGCTTCGCTGGGACTTGATCATTCACATCGTCCTCTCCCTTCTTCTTGGAAGCTTTCGTTGGGCCATCTTTACCCTTCAACCTTGAGAAGAAATTGGGCATGATTGCGAAAAATCGGTCGAGTCTTTTATCGATGTCTCGCTGATCATGAAATTCTTTTGTTACCAGTTATGTAAATAAAAGGACATTCGAAGGGTGAAAATGAAATTGTTGCTGTGAAAATTAATGGGTGGAAATGGGGATATGATGTCTTGTATCAGATTCGCGCTCCTTCGGATAAGAAATTAATTAGAGGGAGGGATGGATAGACGTTATGAGTGGATAGATGGAGATGTAAGGTTATGGGTCGATTCTTGGGGTTGCGGTTTTGGATGTAGGGAAAGTTTTGAGGGTGAAAAATGAGTGAATGGGTGAATGAACGAATGAATGAATTTATGTTATTTCAGTGTGTGTACTTGAGTGTACCTGAGTTTAATAAATGAATGAGTGAGTGAGTGAGTGAGTGAGTGAGTGAGTGAGTGAGTGAGTGAGTGAGTGAGTGAGTGAGTGAGTGATTGACTGAGTGATTGACTGAGTGAGTGAGTGATTGATTGAGTGATTGACTGAGCGATGGAGTAAAAGAATGAGTGTTGTGTGGTGTTGAATTGAGTTGAATTGAGTTGAATTGAGTTGAATTGAGTTGAGTTGAGTTTATCTCTTAATTCTCTAAACCACCATTCTCACGCGGCGGGAGGGGAAGAGGAAGATGTTTTTCTTTAGTGACTGGGTAGGTATATTATTTTGTTTTCCTCCAAAAAGCAAAGCAAAGCTTCCTAAATTTAATTCAATATCAAAGTGTCGTACGGTACAGGCACATACCAGTACATTTCATAGATGAATGGATCAATGGATGGTCCGAATTGAGCTGAATGAGCTGATATGCTATTATCTCTACTATGTTATGCCATTCATGCTCTTCTCCATATCCATTCGATCTTTTGGAAATTGAAATTGAAATTGAAATTGAAATTGAAGATCGAATATACCAATTAAAGGGGATTGCTGAATCCGGCCAGGTCATATACACCCACAGGACCTGCAGTACCATTTTCACTCCAATCCCATTCCCTCATTCGATTTTTTTCCTTTTTTTTTCTGACCCAAACCATACCTTTCCCCCCCCCCCCGTACGGAGGATACCAAGCTGAGCCATACCTGGGTAGTTTGATGTCCGGTAGTTTAAGTTTCCTTTGCTCAAGGACTAGTTGGGTTAGTTGTACTCGATGGGTATCTTAGGGATCTATGAGCCAGGTACGAGCTTACGAGTAGTTGAGAGGAATGATACTAATCAGTCACTTAGGTACTAAATAGATGCTAAATAGATGCTAAATACATACTAAATACATACTAAATACATACTAAATACATACTAAATACATACTAAATACATACTAAATACGTCCTAGGTACATACTAGGGACGGAGGTTTCTATCAATTAAAATTTCAGGGGATTAACAAGGTCGACTAGGGATAAATGAATCCGTGCATTGAACCTTTTTCCTGCTCTGTGGTCGGTCTGTATGCTGTATGTATGTACTACGGAGTATTATGAGTCTATGATTACTAGGGAGCTTGGGATCTTATTAGCATGGCACTGCATGGGATGTCGTTAGCTTTACATCTCATTAGCTTTACATCTCATCAGCTTTACATCTCATATTAGCCTCGCTCGTAGTGGACCTGGGACCGTCAATCCAATGAAAATCTTCGGTCAGTGAGATGGTGGTACACGGAGGGAGGTAAAGCCTTATTTGAGGAGATGATATCTGGGTTCTGGATTGTGGATTCGGAGTGGATGCGATGTTTTGCTTCTTGTCACTTGAGAAATTTAGACGGTGCAAATCGATTTGTTCTCGTCGTCTTCATCTTTGACGTGAGCGAGATGGTTTCATAGAAATCCTTCAGAGATTCGGTGGGTGGGAATTATTGTTTGGAAGGGGATATACTTGGCTGGTTGATTGGCTGTCGATTCATTCTCCAGTGGACGCCCCAGTGGTGACTAGGTAATAAATATATAAAAGTCAAGGTAGCTCTCGAAGAAAGATGGAGTCATATATTCACATATGAGCATCTACATACAATATAATCATCCGTCACAAATAAATCAACCCACCATTCAAATTCGACACAATATAAAAGATTAAAGATCTCATAACCCAAATAAAGATCTCACAACCTCAATAATCATATAATTATCATTATATAACATACGAGTACATCAAGAAGGTTTAATTACCTACCTAGTATATGCATGAACATTGATTATGCATCGAAGACTACTAGAACAAAAAAGTAACACAGGTCCGTACACACACATATATACATACATACATACATACATACATATATACCAGATACTTCCCACATATTTTATTCCTCAAAATATCTAATATCTTTTTACAAAATATTAGAATACAAAATATAGATTTATAAATATTATATACAATACTAAATATATACTAGAAACCTCCTTATCTTCTTTTTATTTATTTAATCAAATTATTCTTCCCTTTTACATAAAATTAATTTTTTATAAAATCTATAATCTCCTTATAATCTCTATTTACTATATTATATATAACGTAATTTATCAGCATGCGGGCCATATTATTATGTGGGCTACTTGAAAATACATCAAAATTTGATCTTTTTAATATTTGTATTTTAATAATTAATCATTATTTTTGTAAAAGAAAAGAATACTAAATAATAATAAAAAATTAGTTTTTCAGAAATCTAGTTTTTATATAAATATTCTTATTATATTATAAAAAAAATGAAAATTATCACAATTTTCATTACAAAAAAATTATTTCTTCAATAACTACTATAATAATTCAAATTTCTAATAAAAAATTTAATTTTTATAATAATTATATAATTAAATTTCAAAAATTCAAATTTTATAAAATTATATTATTAAATGAAGAAAATGCACAGTTACATATAGACGAATTTTGTATATAAAAGGAGATGGCCCATATAATGATATAGCCCACATGCTGATAAACCACATTATAGTTTTTTATATAATTATTAAATATACACCTACTAATCATACATCAAAATCCACACTCACTACATACCTATTCACTATATACCTACCCACTACATACCTCCCATATACATACAGACATACATACATACATACACATCCCAAAACTCCGCAACAACCTCAAACCAAACCTTCCATGCTCAATGAATGCAATCAGATCTCTCCTCCAACCCATCCCACCCCATCGTCCATTTCCCTCTATCTCCTCTATCCAATCAATTCACCAATTCCATTCCATTTCATCCCATGATTCCCATCCCACCTATATCACCAACTCAACTCCCGCATCCCAAGCTACCTGCACTGCTACGCTACCTCAACTACAGACAACCATCCATACAACCATCCAACCTGCATTTGCCAACGCATGTAAGTGGGATGAAGATCATTCAGCAACAGGCCAAGCTTTCCTGGCGACTTTTTGTTTGTTACGAGTAGTTATGATGATGATGATGATGATGATGATGGTGATGTAATATCAAAAATGTTAACTTGCGGTACCCAATATAAATCTTTACTTCGGATTCGTACATGGATACTCGAGTACGATGATTTCACTGCCTTCAATAGTACCAGTATCAGTATCAGTATCAGTATCAGTATCAGTATCAGTATCAAAACCCATCCATCCCTCCACCCACCTCTACCCACCCCCACCACCAAACACAGCCACAGCCACAGCCACAGACGCAACTCAACCTGGAACGCACAAGCCTCAAAACCCAAACCCAAACCTAAAACCATCAAACTACCTAGTAATAAAATAAAATAAAATAAAATCATCGCATCACATATAACATCCATAGCATAGCATAGCATAGCATAGCATAAACAAGTCAATCTCATCATTTCATGCAGCATTGTATTGCATTATATTACATGACATCAGAATCCCCTCTTGCATTCCCCCCCCCCCCCAAAAAAAGAGAGAGAGAGTTTTATAAAAAAAAGTTACAAGTGTGAAAAATCGAAATCGGATTCGGAATCTATTAATATCTACTTGATAAATTACGTATCTGTTCTCGAAGTATTTAATCAATCGATCAATCACTCAATCAACAAGTCTCCAACTCACCTCCAACTCATCTCTAAATCCCCGAGATCTCTCCAGATCACTTACTAATAGATATTAGATATTAGATATACAGACTGAAAGAACACTCACTACGAGAAAGATCTTTGAAATATCTACTCGATATATCGATTGATATACTAGGCATCTTGGAAATTTATGTATCTGTTTTCAATGTTTTATTGGGGATTGGATTGAATAATCGAAGAATATATTGTGGGATCAAGTGATTGAAGATTGAAGATTGAAGATTGATGATTGAAGATGGGGTTTCGAAAAGGGGGAAGTGCTGGTGGATGAGTTGAAGTGAGATGAAGTGAGATGAAGTGAGATGAAGTCAGTGTAGGCAATAGTATACTACAGTAAAACTGTGGCGTGTATTAACATATTAATATTGCAGTTAGTATATTTAAAAAGGAGGTTGTACTATTCTCATATATATTTATATAACGTAGTTTATCAGTGCATGTATCATATCAGTATGTACACTACGAATTTTACATACAAAATATGTTTGTGCGTAACCGTGCACTTTCTTTATTTATTAATATAATTGGATTTTTTAAGGAAATTATTATATTTGTTTATATAAATAACATGAAAATCGAATTATTTTTCAAAAATTTGAATTAAAATAAGAGTTATTATTAGGATAATTTTTTTGTAACGAAAATCGTGACAATTTCAATTTTTCTAGAAATATAATAGGAATATTTATATAAAATTTAGATTTCTAAATATCTTATTTTTATTATTATTTAATATATTTTTTTTAAAAAAAAAAAAAATTCATTATTAAAATACAAATATTGAAAAAAGATTAATTTAGGTGTATTTTGAAGTGGTATATGTATTAATATAGTACACGCACTGATAAACTACGTTATAAACTCTTTATTCTATATCAAATTAAACTAGAAATAAGAGATCTTAACTCGATTTGGAATAAGGAATAGAATTTTATTATCTAATATAAATAGAAATATATATTTTATATTGAATTCCAATACTTCAATATATTACTAATAATATCAAAAGTTTAAATGATATTGAATTTAATATCATATATATACATATTTCGAAAAAAATCGATACGCACCACTAAACTAGCCTGTATACGAAATACGGGAAATACTATTGCCTATACTGGATGAAGTGAGATGAGATGAGATGAGATGTGATGCGATGAGATGTGATGTGATAGGATTCAATTCAATAAAATTTGATAAAACGAAACGAAACGAGATGGAAAATATATAAAGCGCGAAAGAGAATTTCAAATAATGATAATGATATCTATCTATCGAGCATATCTAGTAGATATCAAAATATTACATACTAGTAAAACTGAAGACTCGAATTAGTGCTAATACTGGTAGTGCTAGTACTAGTACTAATACTGAATATAAGAAGGAGGAGGAAGGGAGGAGGAGAAGAAGGAATATCATCATCATTTATCACTTTTTATATGGTTATACGGAGTGGTTGATCTTATGGTTGTAAATGAATGGATGAATGGATGAATGAATGAACAAAGGAATGGTTCTGCAAGAAGGAGAGAAGTGAAGCGAGGGGAAAAGGAAGTGGTGTGATGTGATGTGAAGCGAAGAAGTCAAGAAGGGAAGAAGTGAAGAATGACAAGAATGGAAAAAGAAGCGAGGGAAGAATGGGAAGTGAAGCGAAGTGAAGAAAGGAAGTTGTAATATAATATCACATAACTATATCAAAAAATATTCCCAGAAATCTAGATCGGATATCTTGATAGATAGGTATATCTAGAAACCTATATGTATTTATCTATTCATATGTTTATATGTTTATATTACACACTGATAAAATAGAGTATGATATATGATATTTCGAATGAGGCATAATATATCGAGTTATGATTTTCGATTTTCGATTTCTGGATATCTATATAGTTAGATGGTTAGATAGATATGTAGGTAGGTAAGGAGATTGTATCTTCTAGATAGAGAAATAGAAATAGAAAGATGAAATGTTTTTATGTGATTATGATTATTATATGCCCACCGAGTATCAAGAATAGAATATCTTGGATTTGATATAATGATGTTAGAATATCAGAATACTATCTATATATATATTAAAACACTTAATATTCCGGGGTTCTTTCTATATGTTAGTACTACTTACCTAGGTAGCTATATGTTTCAGACAGATAAATAGATATTTAGATAGGTATATTATACATTACAACCCTATCCCATTGAAATATATCACATACCCTCTTCTATCATCCCAATTCAAAATCCCACATGTATCAAATCATATTATCTTTCTAAAAATATTCATTTTGAATTATATTTCCTCTCCTTTTCTCTTTGTCTTTCTTTTCCTATCATTTTCATTTCACTTCCCTTTTACTTCTCTTTCACATCTTCTCCCTCCCTCTCTCGTTTATTTGACTCTTACTTTTATTTTTATATCTCCTTTAAGTATATCTCCTCCAAACACATCTCCAAACATATCACATCCGCTTCAAATACATCCATGACTCTTTTAAATACTTTCTTCAGCCACATTTCATATCCCCAACTACATCTCCTCCAAATATATCTTCTTCAAACGCATCTCCTTCTAAATAAATGTCCTTTACATTTCTTATTTTCATATCTCTAAACACATCTTCTCCAAACCCATCCCCTTCTCTTCATCGCACCTCCTCTAATTATACCTTCTCCAAATACATCCTCTCTGAAAACATCCTCTTGAAACACATCTCCTTTAAAATCAATCCCTCCCCCCCATCACACCTCCCCCAACCCATTTTATCTCCCCTAACACATCCAATCTCCTCCCCTCCAAGCCCCCACCTCTCTTCATTCCCATCCCACAATCTCATAATACTAAAAAATCACATAACAGTAACAACACCGTATCACACTACACACCTTAATCCTCACAGTATACACTAGCCAACATCTTATTCGATAATTAACAATATATGATATGATAGGATATGATCTTGGTGTTTGAGGTAAAGGAATGAGATTGAGAGGCCCTAGGGAGAAGAAGAATATGACATTGCACAACTTTTGCTTCAGAGTGGACGATATGAATAATATCTTGGTTTCAAAAAGTATGCAACAAATAGACTTTTATTCCTTTCCTTTTTCTCCTACCTACCTAGTACATATTCCCATCACGTTATATCATATATACATCCCCTCCACGCCATAATCCTCCCATCATCTCCTCTCACAACCCCCTCTAATTAAAAACCACCGTCTTATGACCATTCAACAAAACCCTTCTCTCCGTAACCCACTTCACCGCCGTGGCCAAAACATTGCTCTCCACATTACTTCCCTCGACCGTCAACTCCTTAGGACTCAATCCATGACCGACCCTCACAACATTCTGCTCAATAATCGGACCCTCATCCAAATCGCTCGTGACAAAATGTGCTGTGGCTCCAATAATCTTGACACCGCGATCATACGCCTGATGATATGGTTTCGCACCCTTAAAAGACGGCAGGAAAGAATGATGGATATTGATAATCTTCCCGCTCATCGCCGTGCAGAGCGTCGGACTCAAAACTTGCATGTATCGCGCTAGAACAATCAAATCGATATTATTCTCCTTGACCAATTCCAAGATTTTGCCCTCCTGCTCTGCTTTGGTTGCAGCGGTCACAGGGAGGTGATGGAAGGGAATCTTGTAGGTATTGGCCAAGGGTTCGAAATCCGGATGATTGGAAACGATAAGTGGGACTTCGATACCCAATTGTTGGATGCTCTGACGGAAAAGTAAATCATTAAGACAATGACCGATTTTCGAAACCATGATGAGAACACGAGGTTTGGTCGCCAGAGAAGAGAGTTGAAAATCCATACTCATTTCCTGAGCGATGGTTTCGAAAGCACCTTTTAATTCCTCGAGACTCAGTTTCGTGGCTGGGGCGTCCGAGGTGGATGATGCAGGAGGACCAAAATGCACTCTCATGAAGAAGCGGAGGGAAGTTGGATCTCCATATTGTTGCGAATCAACAATGTTGAGATTGTGCTGGGAGAGGAATCCCGTGACTGCGTGGACGATACCTGGACGATCGGGACAGGAAAGAGTAAGGATGTATTCATCTGCTTTAACCATCTTGATTGATTTCTTCGCGGAAGCTTTTGCGAAAGATGAATGTGGAGAGCTTGAGAAATTTCGAACGGAAGGTTGGGTGAGGGGTTGAGGGTGTTTGGAGATTGAGGCCAGATGGCGATGTGGTGGAGGAGTGAAATTTTTTAAAGGCTCGGTTGTGGTGGAAGAAAGGGAGAAGACCCTTGCTTGGGAGATAACTTCGCGAGCGGAGCAAATGGATCGAATTGAATGTACAGATATGGTATTCAACAATAAAGTCGACTTAGTAGACAACCTGCTCGCCATTAAAATACATTCAATCTTTCTCAACGCCGATGACTCTTTTTGACCACTTTTATGCTCACTACCATTAGTGGGTCTTTAGGGAAGTTTGTAGTCATAGCGACACGTGATTCCTTTATCCGGCGATGATTCGGAGAAATCGTTTAATAAAGCGAGTGAGAGTACGAGTACCTAGTAAGCATGAGGCACGTTCGAGGCACGATACGCATTGTTCTAAACTTTATAGAGTTTGGGGGAATTTGATATATCGGGGCGGAAAAAGTTTACTTGTGGAGATGAGATGGGGTCAAACCGTTAAGCTACAAAATTGGTTCTTGTAAGATTTTTGAGGATTGATCATTAACTGGTACCGGTGTTCGATATCTACTTTAAATATGTATGCGCATTGTACCTTTGAATATACAAGTTTGCTTGGCATAAATCTATGTATTACGAAAGACAAGACTCAATACCAACGCAGCAACCTACTTGATATCGCTTTCTATTTCTGTTTCTGTACGTATTCTATTCTGCTCAACTCCAGTGTCATAATTATTGCTCAATTAGGTCATGTCATGTCGTGACATCGGCATCTTGTTATGAGTTGATACTCATTCCGATACTGACCGCAACATCTAATCATTGTCTTTCTATTATCCAACTCGCTCTTCTGAAATCATACAGACTGCGTTCAATATCTTCAATGCGTCATGCGCCCATTCCATAACTCTTTACTCTACTCCAAAAGAAAGCTTTATCGTTCCTCAATGTGAACTCTCCCCAGTCATCCGTCAGGCGGTTATAATTCCAGAATCCGTTCCAAGCCAACTTGTTATTTTTGACCGTTTTGCCTGCACTGGTCATTTTCAATTCCATTCTATAGAAATACTTTTCATGCACTCCTTCTGTTTCCACAAATAATGTACCCTCTGACCCTCCAACTTTAGAAGATGGTTCAGCATCTACATCTGGCGAAGGAGAATCATTGATAGAGGATAGGCGCCAACGTCCACGACGAGCGTCACTCATTACAGAAGAAGGGAGATGGGAAGATTGGTTTCTCCTGTGATATTCAAGTAGTTCCTTCGTCAAATGGTGAACGACTTCGCTAGGTTCGGTGGTGGTTAAAAGAGAGATTAATGTGCCATCACGATAGAAACGAAGGTAGCGGTAATAGGTAACAATGTGAACTGGAGAATTCCAAGCTACCGCTGAAGGGGAGGCTTGCCCAGGTCGAATATAGTTCACGGTGCTTATATAGCAGCCATTGAAACGAATGCGGGGACGTAAGCGGAACATTTGTTTCCAGGATGAAGAATAAGCTGATTGGAGTAGAGAATGGGTGATGGTATCGTTACTGAGAGGCATTGGGGGAATAGACTCTTCACCTGAATCTTCCGAGGGCAAGAGTAATTCAGGCTCGATTTCAAGAAGCTCTCCTGTGACTTCTGTTTGCCATTGATAATGCATTGCTTCGAATCCGAATTCTGAGCCAAGACATATCCTTTTCCAGATTTGTTCTCCCGTCGATACAAGATATGTCATGCGCTTGCATACTTGTGTGATTCGTGCAAGGTCAGCCACATCCCTAATTGCTACTTCTTTGAATATTTGTAAGAGGATTTCATCAGGTACATCTGCAATTGGACATGGAGGAGCCGGTGTCCCTTCAATTTCTGGTGGCGACGGTTCAATTGATAAATCCGAAAAACTTTCTATCAATTGTTTAATAGTTTGTGGGGGCCCATCTGGTGAGTGGTGTGCGGCATTGGGTACTGTGGCAGATGCATTGGATGGATTTGTGTTTGTAGGTTTCGGTGAGAAGGCAGATGGTGGGAAATGTTTGTTCTTATATTTTCGATCAACTTGATCATCAAGCTTATGATAATCAGCAAAAGTCTTGTAGGATTACTTCATTTGGAACCAAACTTACCCGAAATGCTTTGCGGTAGAGATCAAGACTGTCTCCTAAACTACCTTGACCTTCCCTCTCTACCGCTTTTTCATAGTGTTCCAAAGCTGATTGTGGCTCACTATTGCCATTCTTCTTACCGTATGGATAGAATTCATCTTCTTCTCCTGCACCAACGGCGCCACTTGGTCCGTCAAAGTGTAATGTTTGAGGCTCAACGATATCCTCATCTCCTTTCTTAGTATTCTCGTGAACATGTTTTGTCCGCGGAGCTCTTTGTGGCACGTTAGATGGCCCAGCCGCTTGGGATGGAGGATATGCCTGGGCAACATTTGACCGTCTAGTCACTTCTTCCTGCCATTGCTTGCGGAATGTTTCCAATTCGGGATTCGAGTCTTCCATATTGTACAATTTAGAATGATAGGTATATGATTTTTTGGAGAGAATAAGTGAAAAAGATAGATACGTAGTAGGGAAAGATCTTGTTATTCACCATATATTAGTATGAAATGAAGTAAATACCTACGATAGTTACCTAGTAATTCTCCGGTCTGACGCGACGCTATCTATCGCCGCTGACATAATTATCACCCCTCTTATCGCCGCAAGATCCGTTATCGCTCCCAATTTTTTCTTTGATCAGTGGAGAATTCGAAGATCGAAGGCGGGAGGAATTAAGTTTTCGGTCTATTCAATTCCACAGTTCTAGAGTAACTTAAAATAAGAAAAATGAACTACTCATTAGGTATTCAATTTACATCATGATGATCAGTAGAATTTAAGCCGTTATTCCCCTCTCTTTGAAGCTATACAAATACAACAACCATAGATGATTCAACGACGTTAATAATTGATTTTCTTCTTCAATTCAATACAATACTTTCACTCGTACATCGCAATTGCCCACAATTACTCGTCAATTCGACGTCATTCCACTCAAACAAAATCTTTTATGTCCGGCCTTTGGGATAGTCGCCCTTCATCTGTGGGGGACCGAATCCCAACAACTCTTGGATCCGAACATTTAGGACATGACAGATTACACGGAGATGATCCAATACCTGGAGAATCAGGAACTGTAGCTATGACAGGCGATAATGATGATGTCGATATTGAGATCACGGCATCTCAAAAGATGATCTCGGCAATGTCTGGAAGTCTATTGACATCGTTGTTAGGTACGCACGCCACCCAGCATTTGAAATCCATCACAAGTTTCAACTAACACTTCTACTGTAGTTACTCCTTTAGATGTCGTTAGAGTCCGTCTACAGTCACAACCTTCCCAATCTCCTCTAACAGCGATTCGAAAAGCTGCTCTGGCCTCCCCTCAAACTTTCGGTACGTTACCACCAAATCTAGGAATAACAGCATGTTGTCGAGAAGTTTTCTTCACCAGCGGTACAACGAGCGATGGTTGCATGGCTGCACCTAGAGTAAGCGCTATGGAAGGTGTAGGATGTGCCGTTGAAGAAACACAAAAAAAAACCTTCAATTCAACTTTCGACGGGATGAGAAAGATTGCGCGGAATGAAGGGGTCACGACTTTATGGCGAGGATTATCACCTACTTTGGTCATGACAGTTCCTTCGAACATAATATACTTTACGGGATACGACTGGTTACGATTCAACAACCAAAGTCCTATAAATCGAATGTTCAATGATAATTACGCCCCTCTTGCTGCTGGCGCATCCGCCAGGACTATAGCCGCTACAGTGGTCAGCCCGATCGAAATGTTTAGGACGAGAATGCAAGCTAGTCAGGCAACTGGGGGAACACATTTTTCGGAAACTGTGAAGAGTGTTGGCGAGATGGTTTCACTTCACGGCTATACATCTTTGTGGCGAGGATTAACTTTAACACTTTGGAGAGATGTTCCATTTTCTGGAATTTACTGGTGGGGTTATGAATCCATAAGAGGGGCTTTGACAGATGCACGAGAACGGAGTCGTGGGAGAACATATGATCGAAATACTTCCAGAGGTCAAATACGTACCAGATCACAAAGTCGAGAAAACCACTCGGCGACATTCCTGGATAGTTTTATTGCTGGGGCGTCATCTGGAGCAGTTGCTTCTATTTTGACTATGCCATTCGATGTTGGAAAGACACGTCAACAAATCTTTCAGGAACCAGGGAAAACACCTGCTGGAGTTGAAAAGGTTTTAGCACCTGAAGAACAATCCATGCCAAGGTTTCTTATGCACATTTTCAAAGAAGAAGGTCTCGGAGGTTTATGGAAAGGATGGGTCGCCAGGACTCTGAAGGTCGCTCCAGCATGTGCAATTATGATCAGCTGTTATGAAGTAGGCAAGAGAGCATTCAGGAGTGTGAATGAGAAAGCGGAATTAAAGCGAGGAACCGAGTGATGAAACGAATCCTCCCCTCTTATGGACGGATGGAAGGTTGGTTTGGCGCACAAAAGGAACACGGAATTGTAATACTAAGCGTTTAGAAGCATAGCGTTTTTGAGCAGGTACCCGGAATTTTGTATAGTATTAGAGATCCTAGAAACTAAGATGACTTGAGCGAGATTATATACCCAAAGTTTCAAAATCGAAGATTAGGAAGCAATATCAATTCATAATTTGAGTGAAAGAATGATTTGAGAGAATGAGTGAGGACTACCTACGACGATTCGACCCGTATTTACCCCAGACTTTCGTTTGGCTCTGACCGCGTACCCCAGCAAAGCAACTTTACGCGTCTTAAGGTGCTCTGACGCGAAACTTGCATCATAGATTTGTGAAATTCAAGCTTCCCAAATATTCAAGATTCCATAGAGTTGACTTTGTCTTTCGTATATTCTATCCAAACGAGCCTCTATTTACTTATCACCTCTGTCAAAGTGTCTACACTACTCCTTTTTCGTCATCGACCTTTTTCTCCAATTTCCATCATGTCTCTCAAACGCAAAGCAACCACAAATCCTACCAACGACGCCAAAAAACCCAAAGCAAACGGATCAATCACTTCATTCTTCGGTCCACCCAAACCCGTTTCCTCAACTCCCAAAGGATCTGGTAACTCTACAGATTCTACTGCCCAAGCACCAGCAGCATTCAAATTCAATAAGGAAAAATGGATAGCTACGTTGACAGAAGAACAGAAAGATTTGTTGAAATTGGAGATTGAAACGCTACATGAGAGCTGGTTGGCGGTATTAAAGGATGAGATTGTAGGAAAAGAGTTTCTGGAATTAAAGAAGTTTTTAAAGAAGGAATTGGAGGGAAAGGATAAGATATTTCCACCGATGGAGGATGTTTACTCTTGGTATTTACATCCTAACCTTCATTCAATCGCTCAATAGCACTCAGGAAACAATTGGCTAATTAAGACAATGAACAGGTCAAGGCATACACCTTTTAACACCGTCAAAGCCGTGATAATCGGTCAAGATCCATACCACAACTTTAATCAAGCTCATGGTCTCTGTTTCTCCGTCCGCGCTCCTACACCGGCTCCACCTTCACTCAAGAACATTTTCAAAGCTCTCGCAAAAGATTATCCGGATTTCAAACCTCCTCCAAATAATGGTGGTCTTCTTACTCCTTGGGCAGATCGCGGTGTCCTTCTCATCAACACATGTCTTACAGTTCGAGCTCACCAAGCCAATTCCCACGCAAACCACGGCTGGGAAAGATTTACTCAAAAAGTTATCGATACAGTTGCTCTGAAGAGAAATAAAGGTGTGGTATTCTTGGCTTGGGGAAGTCCTGCAGGAAAAAGAGTTGCGAAAGTGGATAGAAAGAAACATTGTGTTTTGATGAGTGTACATCCTAGTCCTTTGAGTGCGAGTAGGGGATGGTTTGATTGTGGACATTTCAAGAAGACGAATGAGTGGTTGACTGAGCATCATGGGGAAGATGCAGTTATTGACTGGAGTTTGGATATTCCTGCTGCTAAAGCGGGCGTTTGAGGTGATGAAACGTTTTGTGGGAGATGATCTTTAAAGGGAAGTTGGCTAGCAATATCAGCTGTCGACAAGCTCTCATCTCAAAATTAGGATTTCGCGCAAAGGGAGTTTGAATTTAAGCATTGGGTACTGAGCATTATGTTAGTGGTTTCTATTATATTGGAGCTTCCTTGGCTATATGAGTTCAATCCGTCTGACGAGGTTGATGGTAGAGGATGTTGAGAGAATCGGAGTTAATTTATTTGCCCATCTCAATATTTGGGTAATCAAGGTCATACATATTTTATCGCATAACATAGAATACTACATTGATATGCCCCCCACCCCTTAGGGGACTTATAATGACTCTATACGTGGTACATTGTTCCACAACATCTAACAATACCCATTTTACTTCAACGATTTGTTGAGTCTCATCAAAGTATTCTCCTCTCTTTTCAAGTAACAGCTCTAGATACGAACATAGATCTATCCTCGACCCAGATTCGCACATCATCACAATTCTCGTCTGTTGTGCATCCTTTCGAAAATCATTTATAGTTGGGTGCCATTCTCTCTCCAGGATTTCCTCTCTTCACAATTGTTTCTTCAAGGAACATACAAATGATATCTCAACGTCTCAAAATATGGTAGAATTGAATGACATCGCTTTCAATATTGCAGCATCCATCAACGGCCTCTTTGTTCTCGAAATTGACATCAACAAGTTCATGGACGATACTGCTATCACAGCAGCTCGATCAAATGTATCACTCGTTTTGCGTTGCTCACATCTGGCGCGGAATGGGAAGAAGTGGGTGAGGATGTCCATATCAATAGCAGAACAGAAATCTAACAAGAATAACACATAAGAGTAATTACAGCCATCTCTCAACATCAATCTCCACTTGCAATTGACAATATCATCGGATCGTCCATCTCGATCAAATATCCTTCCATCTATCTCGTATTTCTCCTTATCTGAAAATCGTTGGATTGGATGGAATGGTAGGAATGATAAGTATCGCGTCTTGGGCATATAGCATCTCGATATAGTAGGTAGCATGTGTTATACTAAAAGGTATTGTATCGTATCCACGCCAGGGATGATTCAGATAGTGGCACTACTACCTGCCCTGATGAGAGGGACTTTACCGAGAGCGGGGTTGTGGAGTTATGATTCCTCATGTGTTCAGGTAGTTAACACTAGACTACGAGATATGTCATAGATTCTCGATGATTAGGTGTGAAAATCTTCTACCCTGGAAGTCTGTAGGAGAAGATAATGAAGATATTGGTTTAAAGAAAAGAATCCTGGGTAGGTACTTCCAAGTTTCAAGTTTCAATGCGAGATGCGTCGTTCAACTGTTCGTACCATGTTATATATCTCATATTTCGTCTGCTCGAGTTTTCCCTCTCAGCATATATTCTATCTATCTCATAGTATTACAGCATTAGCATTAGCATTGTTGCTTTCTCTCTCTACTAGGTTTTGGGAATAATTATTCTTTCTACCTATTATTGTGATGACACTTCCCAAAATGCATGTCGCTATTCTACCTGAAAACAAAAAATAAGCATGAATTATTGTAGCGAACACAACTGGTTTAAATACCTTTCTATTGACATTGTACGCGGGAATTCCGTTTCTCGCTTGTGGTTTGGATGCTCGAAGAAACAGTTTGGGGCTTCTCGAGCTTTGCGGAATTGTATTTGTGGGGGGAGATTATGGATGAGCTGGGTATTGGCGGGCTTTTCTTGAGAAAGGGGGGGGGGGGGTTGATCGCTGGATTCCTGATAGTGAAAATGTAATCTTTAAGCAGATGTTCTGGATCTCTAGCTTTTGGTATCGATTGGTGGCTGGGTGGGTTCAAGCCGGGTTACTAGTTCTTTGATAGATGATGGAATATTGGCGTTAGATCCTAGTATTGGTACTGAGGAAGTTTTACGTCTGAAGAAACGGCACGATTTTGTCTTTACGTTTGTTATGTCGTGGAAAGGTGAATGCTTGAAGTTTCATTGTATAGCATTGTCTAGTGATGAATGGTAATTACATGTTCACATACTCAAAGAGGTGGCAGAGAAAGGAGAGTGGCTCGAGATGGCGGAATGTGAGCTGGAGCTGAAAAGCTCAGTGATTTCGTCCTACTACGTATGACTTTGGTGATCTACGATATTCACCTGGGTATCTAGTGATACCTAGTAATATCCGATGATATCCGGTGATTTGATTGGATAATAGGATATAACCTCGCTTGATAAAGTCTTTGGAGGGACAAATGTGTATGCCAACTAAACTTACTTGGAAATTTCACATAGAATTCTACAAACACACAACATGGCGTTCATACTTCCCGAGAATATATAGAACACTACTTCCCCTGAGTAGTCTTTAAAGAATTGAATATGGATCAATCTAGAATTTACATTTCTTTAGCCGAATCTGCAAGCAATAGTACCGAGTCAAAGTATTTGGATGAGAAGCAATCTAGTATCGATGTAGTTAGTGTTAGTAAACCAAAAGATTGTTTTTCAAGTTAGATTCGTCGCGAGATTTTCTTATTCGAAGATATGTGCAATATGTAGCAAGATACTCGCCGTTGGATTATTGTTCAGCGGGGCTAATGCGAGTATGCGAGCGACGATAGCGGGACCAACTTGTTTGTCAAAGTGCGATATATTGGCGCATGTCGCCGTTTCGTAGATGACTGCTCACGGGATATATGGTGATTGTTCTGGTGGTTGAGATTGCTGCGGTGATGGAAAAGGGGGTTGGGCGAGGCGTTTATGGTTTGTAATGTTGGGTTGAGTGTTGATTTGGTTTTTCTTACGGCGTCGTTGGTTTGGCATATGAGTTGTGAGAGGTTTATGAAGGACGGAGATAGAGAGAGAGATGGGGGAGAGAATACTGTTTGTTTGGCAAATGAAAGAGTGTTATGAGAATGAGCTAGCTGCTTTGTTTTGTGGTTGCTGGGAAGAACGCGGCACTTTTGACATTTTTTGGAATGCTTCGATGAGAGGCTAAAGGTTAAGAGTTGGATGCTTAGAGAAAAACAAGACCTTACAATGGAGAATCGAAGAAATGAAATTCATGACGGGAATTGGATTTGAGATGAGCAGAGAAGTATCGTATTGATACGCGGCGAGGGCAATGGTTTACGTTGATTTACGATGGCAATTCAGAACCACTTTGAGTGTATAATATGATTCCAAGGGGAACATGTTTCCGGAAAAGTTTCTCTGCAGGTCCGTCGATCCTTCAAGTCATTGTCAAAAGGGATAGCATTAGTAACCTTGATGCCTTTTCAAAGATTTTCCATACTTGCTATTCTTCAAGCCTACAATTCTTCAAGAATATCGCACACAAATGCGGTATGTGTTTGATAAATATGCTTATCGAAAATTTGAATATAATCCCGAGTATTCTAATATACTCACATTCCTCTAATGGTTTGGGTAACGATTCTATGAACCGTAGAACGCGGCAAAGGGGGTTTGTAGGATAGTCAGGTAGTCAGTTCAAACAGTTTTCGTGGAACAATTGTTGGTCAGATATTCCATTATTTAACCTTAATATGTTCATTTGCATAAAATCACAACAACCGCTCGCGTGTACATCCGAGTACCCTTAAATTTCACAAAGCCAATTCAAATGTAACATCATTTCCGCATCCGGCATTTCTCCATGGCGACCGCATCAAACACTGAATACAAAACTTAACTACATACATGATATTTGCCGCTACGCGCATACCAATTCGTCTTCACGGACACCTCAGTCTGCCCCTTTATCAATCTCCGCCTAAATGTCCTTCAACTGCACATAGTCATGATTTCTAATAATCAAATCATCTTCCCACCACATCAACGTACAACCTACCAATTTTTTCAACTCTGTCTTTTCTTTCGGTAGTCGCTCGCCTGTCTCTGGGCATAGCGCTGGTCTGCATGTGATTTCCCACTCCCAGGCTGTGAAATCTTTGTGTCCATGTACCGAGGCAGTGGTTATTGTGAGGTCGTGGAAGTCGGAAAAGGTTTTGGAATAGTACGACTCGACTTCCGAAAGACCCATGAGTTGTTTGTTGGGTGTACCTAAGGGGAGAAGTATCTTTAGTGAGATTCGAGAGTTAGGGCTTGAGAGAACATACTGAAATCTGAGTAGACAAAGTTGGTCGGATGGTAGTATTTCATGATGGCTTCGGTGTCTCCTTTCTTGTATGCTTTGATGTATGCATCCATGCGTTTCATGATATGGTCATGGTCGCCATGCTTCTTGTGCTGTACATGAAGGGGTTTTTTGTTATGAGGGGGCATTTTAGAATTCGTTCGAGTTGAGAGTCACTATCGCGAGAGCGTTCAAGAAGTTTTGAATCTGTTACCGAAGGAGTGAGAAAAAGAGTAAAATGTACGAAAATGGCTGAACCGATTTAAAGGTAGATTCAAGATGGATGGGCTCACAATTTTTCACCTTGGTTGTTATCAATTGAGATTTGCGAAGAAGGGGTATTAATGCTGAGTTCCTGGGGCTGACTCCATTGCTGATTGCGAAAGAGGGGTGTTGATTCCATGATCATCCCACCTCTGCCCCTACACATTGAGTATCTTTCGGAAATGAGGCTTTTCATCCGTATCCCACCTTTATACCCCGCTTTTCTTGTTTCCTTCAATTTTTCGTTCATTCTGGTCACAGTTGATTGCAAAGTTGACGATGGCGATTAGGCGAGCACAGCCAAGGGTAGTTGATAACACAAATCAGATGCACGATTTTCCAAATACATTACTACTCCGCTTGATCCTTGTGATTGATAATCCAGCTGAACAACAGCCTTAGTGGGGTTAAGGCAATTTTTATGTGCAATGATAATATCTGATATGTGATGATAATTGGGCACTGGACGACGGCTGTTAGGCGACTCATCCGATCGGCTTGCCAGGCGTGTTGCTCCAAGATCCATGCTTATCTCGGTCTGCATCACCTTCTTCATTCGGTACAGTCTCCAGAGGAGGCTGAGTGAACTGCATGGTTGGAGTGGGGTTGAATTTTATTACCCTTGCGATGTTCGATACTGCTACTGCGGGGCAAATAAAAGAAGGAGGGGCTGAAACACAATATGTAAGCTCACCTCTTTCGACAAGTAAGAAACCGACTGAAATAGAAACATATTCATTTCGATTCTCTTTACACCCCATCTAACAATCATGGCGAGTCCGGAAGAGAACTTTCCTATCGATGAGTCCACCACTCGAAGCAATGAGAAGGAAGCGATTGACACGAGTCAACCATTCACCTATGGAGAACGCGTCGACGGACCACTCCTCCTAGCATTGCTGATGGGAAACAACGATGCTAATGAATGGGCCGCGGCTCAACCAGCTTCAGAGAATGCTGTTTCTGATACCTTAAATCCCAACTACTATGCTCTGGAGTTGAGCTCCACTGTAAATGGCGTCGAAAAAGCAATCGATAACGACCCATCCTCTATCGCCGGCGAGGATGGACCACTTCTTTTCGCACTGACGTTAAACAATCACAACAACAACAACAGCGCACCAAACCGGGATCCTAATGCGCAAGCAAAAAGCGCCATTTCCGATACTTTAGATCCTAGGTGTGTTACTCTTGAGTTGAAGACTCCTGTGGGTACCAATGCAGATACCAATGATGTTTCCGTCGAAATTGGTGGTGAAGATGGACCACTTCTTTTCGCACTGTTGTTAAACAATCAAAACAATAACAACAACCCAAACCAGATTCCCAATATGAAAGAAACCAACGCATTTTCCGATACTTTGGATCCTAGATGTGTTACTCTTGAGCTACAAACTCCTGTGGGTACCAATGCAGATGCTAACGATGTAACCGTTGAAGACAGTGGTGAAGACGGTCCACTCATATTCGCATTGATGCTTGGGAATCAAAACAACAACAACGCGCCCAATCCTAACACTCAAAACAATGGAACCCCAATTGCCGATTCTTTGGATTCTAGACAATTCACTCTAGAGTTGGACGCTCCTAAAGACAGCAGTGCGAACGATTCTGACCAACTCATCAGCGAGGGTGATGGTCCTCTGCTTTTAACGATGCTACTTGCAAACCAGAACCAGAACAATGGCAATAAAGCTGTGGAAGCAGCTATGAAGCAACCGATTGCGGATACCTTGGATCCCAGTGATACTATCACCAAAGCTGTCTCGGATGTTATGGAGATGAAAACCCAGTTATTAGAGCTGCACCCCTCTAAAGATACTATTACCGAAGCTATCCCCGATGTTTTGGAAATGAAGACTCAACTGCTAGAGTTACACTCGCCTGGAAACGACGAGGCCAATAGCATCCCCGTCATGCTAAAGGTGAATTCTCAAGCTCAAAAAGCACAGATACTCGCAATACTTCAAGGCCGTTCAATTCCAGTAGCCATCGCTCCGAATGGTACCAAAGGGAGTTTTGCAAATGAAAAACTTGACAGGGCGCAAGTCGCCGCTGCCAATTTGCAATCCAAGCCCCAAGTGGCTCTCAACGAGGCCAAAGATGGTAATTTGAGCGACGAGCAGCTACAGTTTTGGAGAGAAAATGGATATCTTGTTATCCCAGATACACTATCGGATAGCCAAAAAGATAACTTGCTTAAAACTGTACATGAAGCGGCACAAGTACTTGCCGGTGGTGGCGAGAGAGTACAAAAACATACCTATCTCCCAGGACAGAAGTCTTATGTGAGTCCTGTGGGTCGAGCACTCGCCACATTAAGTGAACGTGAGTTACACATACCCTAGTCATCGCCACATAATACTAACGTCAAATCCTCCGTCAAGATGGCTTCAACCCCGACGTCGAACCCCTAAAGCGCATCCAACGCATCGGTTGCGGCGTCCACCGCGTCATGCCTCCATTCCGAAAATACATCATTAGTCCCTTCCATTCTACACTCGCTAGATCCCTCGGCTACAAAGACCCACGCATCTACCAAAGTTTGATCATCGTGAAGGCTGCGGAGGTCGGCGCGCGCGTGGTTCCTCACCAAGATGGCTGTTCGGGATTCACGAATCCATCGAGTTGCACGACTTTCTGGTATGCGCTTGAAGATTGCTCGATGGAGAATGGATGTTTGGCGGTTGCGCCGGGGAGTCATCGCGTACAGCCAATCACGAGACGTTGCAGGACTAATGCAAATGGACAACCAGAGTTTGTTGATTTGGAGAAGCCGGTTTATGCAGAGATTGAGGGGGTGGATGATTCGACTCTGCCAAAGAGGAATGAGAAGGGGGAGTTTGAATATAAGAAATTGGAGGTGAAAGCAGGGACTTTGATATTGATGCATGGTAATTTGATGCATAAGAGCGAGGCGAACCATAGTAGTAAGAGTCGCGTTGCGTTTAACTTTGGAGTTGTGGAGGGTGAACACGGATGGTTAGAAGACAATTATCTTCAGCCTTATGAAGGAACGGCAGAGTTTGAGAAGTTATAAAGCAATTATATAGTTCGAATCTTATTTTCGTCTATGGTACGAACGCTAATAGCAAATCAAGAGTTTGAATCGGATCAGGAAAACTTGTTCACTAACTTTAGTAAAAAAAACTAAAACGTGTAAATCTTTTAAGGTGTTTTCAAGCAGGTATGGATGGGTGAACATATAGAATGTAAAATTTATACATGAATTGCAATAACGCTATCAAGAACTATGTGGATATATATACAAAGAAATAGTTTCTCCTCCTTCCTCCTCTATTCTTTCAATCAGAACGCTAAAATTCTTACAATACTCTATCCGTCAAGCTCATAGCCGAATGGGCAGGTATCATCATCATCATCACCAGAAGAAGCGCTAGAAGCTGCTGAGGAAGCAGATGTAGTAGCTCCCGAAACAGCTGATGCAGATGCAGCAGCGCTTGAAACTGCTGGAGCTGAAGCACCGCTGCTTCCCGAAGAAGCTGAAGATGAAGTGGTGGTGGAGGCTGTAGAGGAGATAGTCTTTCCAGCCAATGTCAAGATCTTCTGAGCGGCTTGCTCAGCAGCAACCATGATGATAGCTTGAGTGTTACCAGTTGGCATATCAGGGTGCATAGATGCATCCACGACGAACAAATTATCGGTTCCCCAGACTTGGGCGTTGGTATCGACAACTGAAGTTCCATCGTTGGTCTCGCCCATAATAGCAGTACCAGTGAAATGATCACCGGTAACGTAGGTACCAGCAGAGACCAGAGAAGCACCAGTAATGGTGCTATCAGATGCAGTAAGCATGGTGCTGTTCTTGGCGGCATTGAGGAAGTAGTCGATAATAGTTTCCATGGCAGATTGATCGTCTGCGGTGTTCATCCATGGGTTAGTAGTGAATTCGGTGGCACCAGAACTGGTAATACCGAGAACACCAGTGGATGTCAAACCGTGGGTAAGGTAGAGCTTGATGCGGATTTGGCCACTAGCGGGAGAGTTACAGGTTCCTTGGAAGTATTTGGTTCCGCTGGTGGTGTTAAGGGAAGTCCAGAAATTCAATCTTTGACCAGATTGAACAAGTGGTCCAGTTTGCTGGGCGAAGAGATCGATGTTGGCAGTACTTGGGGAGGTGAAATCAGTTGAAGCCAACGAGGTGGAGTTGCTAGCCATGGCACCGGTAACGTTGAAAGTGAGGGTGAAGATTGGGTGGTCCTTGAGGTTCTTTCCGACTGGAAGGTTAATCCAGTCAGATTCAGCTGGGAGAGTAACACAGCTGCTTCCGTTCTTCACAGTGGTGATTTGATCCGCTGGACCAATTCCACTGTTAATCAAGATACGAGGAGTAGACATGGCTCCAGCAGCGAGAATAAGTTTACCACCTGCATTGAGGTTGATGATTTGACGAACACCAGTGCTGGAGTTTTCAACTTCAACACCAGAGAATGTGGTACTGTTGGTGATGCTTCGGATACCTCTTACGACCTTAGTATTGAATTGGGCTTTGAAGTTGTTCATGGCAGTAGCGAGAGGGTAGTAAGACTTGACTGGACCAGCACGAAGACCATCTTGGATATCCCATGGTGGATGAGAGTAAGCTAGAGTCTTCGAGTTTGGTGATTCGATAGCATCGACTTCGGACCAACCAAGGTTGCCCAAGAATGAAGAGAGAACGTTCCATACGCTTTGATCATATCTTTGCGAGTTTGAGGTAGGGTTGGTAGTACCGGGGTTACGCTCATAGAGTCTGTCGGCGGATGCACTGACATCGGTCCATTTCCATCCAGTTGGCCATTTGTCATCGAAATCAGCTTCTTGGGGACGGACGAACATCAAGGCATTGACCATAGTACCACCTCCGAGAATACATCCAGCCATTGAAGCAGTGTCTGTACAGTATTCGTCGGAGACAGAAGCGGATGTGAGATAGTATGCCATGGAAGGAACATCATATTGGGTGACGGTGTCGTTCCATGAAACAGTGGATCTACCACCAGTAGCATAAGTGGAAACGTTTCCCCTTTCCAACATCAAGACAGATGCACCACTCTCGGCAAGACGCTCTGCAACGATGATACCAGCTGGACCTGCACCTGCGATGATGTAATCGTAGGTTGAGTTAGAAGTTGATACGGTAGTGTTTGAGCAAGTGGTAGTGGTGGTAGATGCGGTTGTGTTGCTAGCGGTGGTAGCGGCAGCGCTGGCCATAGCAGCCCATGTGGCGTAGTTATCGTTTGCAGCACTGGCAGTTTGAATGCCGAAATCACCATATCCAGTACCGTGATAACTGAAAGTCGCATCGGTAGCAGATGCAGCATTTGTGACTGTGCCGTTACCATAAGCCCATCCAACAACAACCTAAGTAGCACCAGCCACCAAAGTATAAGTGTTTCCAATACAAGCTTGGCAAAGGAAAGTATATGACATGTGGGTTGAGTTGACAAAGGTACCATTTGCAATTGGCAACAATTGTGCCGTGGCATTTGCGTAGGCACCTGGGGAAGTGTATCCACTGGTCTCACGCAACGATGCAATGACATCAGTTCCACTGGGCCAAGCTACAATCAACATACTGCCAACCATGGTACCAGTTAATGAGACACCTCCATATCCTGAGCCAGCTGTACTTGGTATGACCTAATCAATGTTAGCATACTATACAGTCATCATGTAATGAACAGATTCTTACGATTTGTCCGATGAAGTCAGATGTGGCATTGGCCTCCATGACCATACCGAATCGGAATCCTGTGGTGTCTGTTGCACCCTCGAATGTGATCCCAGTGTTGGCATCCACATAAGAGACAGCTGTTTGAGCAAGAGCTCTGGCGGCAAAGCCAAGAGTGAGTAAAGAAGTACGCATTTTGAAATCTCGAGATATGCTCCTTGCGATTGTTTAATTTGAATGAATGTGAATATGAATTTGTTGATTTCGGAAATGGTCACCAAACCTGTCAATGAGAGTTTAAGAAAAGAATGAATTGAAAAAGAATGTATACCGTCAAGGCAACAACACAAAGGAAGGAATGAGAGAAGGAACGGAAGAGAAGAAAGAAACAATTCTTGCGATACAGAGAGAAAAGTCAAATTTTGCGCAGATGCAAACCTTTTTGTACTTTCAAAAGTTCGAAATACTCCTATCCTTGTTGAATCCATTGTCGTTAATCCACTGTCAATGGTTCAAAAGCTTCAATCGTCGAATTCATCTATTTGAGCCTCGACTGTGTCCACTGTCCCGGTAAAGTTTGGTATATGCTTGACTGAGGTTCCTAATCCCTTCTCTCTCATTTGTTTCGTTTTATATCATGTATCTACTTCATTCAAAAGTGGATCGATCAATAGAGGGGAAGGTACGCCATGAGGCTATCATTAGATGAATTCATATTGAGGGGGAAACTGGTAAATTGGATAGTCGTCATCTAGACAATTCGCTATGGAAAGCCCCTGTTCGCACGTTTCAAAAGCTTTCTTTCGCCTATTTTGACGTTTCAGGATCTTGCCGGTTCAGGGAGTTCTGGGGGATATTGATCCACTCGGATTCCCATTTCTGGCCTATAGTTTAAACGTTCATCCGAGTATGTTCTAGAAACGGCAAAATCATGCTGGGATAAAGCTCCTGCACTCAAAAGCCTGATATATGTGATGGTTTCAAGAAAGAAAAAATCGGAAAAAAATCAAGAACACAGCAATAAAGCAATTCAAGCAACCAAGACCAACCAAGCCACACCTTTCATCATCGAATTCATGCACAGTGGCTGTGGACTCTCTTCATGATGTTCTAACCAAATTTAACATCTAGCCCAGTTTTTCACATGATTCGGGCCTATCTTGGAAATTAAAGGGAAAGAAGAAAAAGGAATTTGCTCTCGTGAGGATTTGATGGATCAATAATGTCAGTATTGGGGGTGGTAAACCATTTTTTTTAATTCGTTGACCAAACGCGAATAATGTGATGAGGCCCCAATACTATTAGAAGCGTGTTTCCAATATTCCATCTGAACTTTCAACAGGATCTGATGGATAAGAAGCCGAAATGCGTATGGAGTCCTCGGTATATAAAATTAACTTCTGCCAGGTACTGTCCAATTGATAAGATTGAGTGTACAAGGCTACGGATAATCGGAAAATTCTTTATCCACTATTGTTCCCAGTACAAATTATATCCTCCTGCTGTGCGTTATCGAACAAGGAGAGAGGCTTGAAGGACTTGCACCTTTCAAATGGGATCTAGGTTATCGTCAATGAAGCACAAAAAGGAGGTGCAGAGAAGGGCTGAAATTCATAGGTCGGATGCTTATGCCGTCACGTTCTTTGAGCCATGAGTGTCTAAACTCCAACCACAAGAGAGAAGCCCACCACCAGCGCCGAGACGGAAGACATTCCGCAAAGTCCAGATGCAGTCTATGATTGTATCAGTGGAATCTTTACTTTATCGGCTCCATATCGGCTCCACTTGCAAGTATTCTTCGGTCAATGTCAGTCAATATATTGACGATTGATCTGAGCGTTGGAAACCCGAAACTATTGAAAGCCTTGATCGTTATTGTCATTACCGGACTTTGTATCTCGGGGTCATGACTCGCATGTTTTTCTTTTACTTTCGTAGATATAGATTGTGCTGATTCCACCTATCTTTCCTTATGGTAGCAAAATTGTGCAGGATGGATGCAGATTATCGTATTTGGAAGCAGACCATCCAGTTGATGTTTGCTGGCTTCCAAGCTTCTAACTAATCCATGTGGCTGATATCAGTCTAACGTCCAGCCACATTGTGGCTCAACGTTGCATCACATGACCTTAAATACCAGGGCAGTTTTCCATCTCGAAGAATTTGTTAACTGGATGTCAAATAAGACGATGTTTATCAGTCCAGCTAACGATGTTTAAGTTTTTAATCATGGATCTGATTGTCTGCACATCTACGGTATTTCATTAGTCATGAGTTTGGATATAATGATTAAAGACCTAACGGGAAAAATAACGGGAAAAATATGATGATATTGGGATCTAAAAGCATTTCCCATTTCTCAGCTCCTCGTACATACTTGAAATAGCCAACACCAAGTGGTGAAAGATTTGAGGATCAACGTGGGATCATTACGAATAGCTTTGTCTAATCCTGAAAGCCTGGAATCACCGTTTGTATGTGGTGTAAAGATTCAATATCTATAGTTGTTGCGTTGGTTCCACCGTTGTGGGAGTGGTAAAGCTTCGCATCCTTCAGCTCCAATTTCTCATTTAGTTTTTGATCTATTTAGTTAGCAACAGAAGGTAAGGAGATGCGGCTGTCTTTCTCAGCAGACTTTGTGAGTCCCCTTGAGCTGGTTCAATGCTGCTGATTTTAAACTTGCATGACTTACATATCCTCCAAATCGTTCTTCCTTTTTAAATGCAAAAGAAAATCAGGTAATCAAATGACTGAAATGACTGAAATGATCATCATATCCCCTTCCTTTGGCCTAATTCATTTTAACCCTTCGTTTCAAGGGATCTACTGTAGCTTTTAGTGCCACAACAACAATAATGCATGTTCACTGCTATTTCGATTCATAAGCTCATGAATGGGCATCCAAGTCTTGTTAGCGATTCATATTTTTGTCAATTCTGACCTTGCTAAAAATTCACACATGGTCAAGCCCAATAGTTTCGATAACACTAAAAGATGGGAAAGATCTAGGTAGATACGGTTTTGAGACAAAGAAACGCGTGAATCCTTTCCTGGTGATGGAACTGCCAGATTTGCATGTTCTCATTCTCCTATTGCAACCTGGCTCTGGCTTAGACCGGATTATACCATACATTCTCCTATTTTGCGGGTCTATATAAGCACAAATCATCTTCTGGAGCACATGACCACCAGAATACACGTGCAACCCTTCAAACGAAAGCAATATAATTGAACAAGATGCCATTCAATATACATCAATAGTGGTACCCTAGCTCTAGCTTGAAGCTGCTCTTTCCTCATAGAATCAAAATATGAAATTTCCCCGCAGATGTTTTCAGCAACTTTCTCTCTAGCCTTCCTTAAAAAGGAAGAGATATTCTGTGTATTTGCGTCAACCAAATTTATGGACTTGAAAAACAAAGCATGAAGTTCACCGTAGTCATTTCTGAGATAGGTGTCTCGACAAATCTAGATACTAACACGGAAAATGGCATTTTGTAGCCTCATTCTGGCCAATACCTGGAAAAGTGATCACCAGGGGTTCAAGATGATTGTTGCCTGATCATTTTGAGTTTTGCTGTCGCTAAGAGCACGTCCAAGTAGGTATGATTGGCATTGTCAATCACGCGGACTTCCAACTTTAGTTCTCACCTCATCTTCGAGACAATGACCGATGGGTGCCATGTGTTGAAGATGGCCAGATAACGGCCAGAAACGTCAAAACACAGGAAAAGTCACATAAAACACGAACTCAATCTCCATATCGAAATTCTTGGTCGCTATCATTCTATGGTCTTTTCTGGGAAGATATAACCTCATGATTTAAATTGGAGTATTCCAGCGAGCGACGATGCGACTTGAATATGTCATAAACATGCGACAAAGATGCGAGTTAGTGAATGATCAAGAGATCGGGAAGTTTTTGAGTTTGCACTGCTAATCAACACGTCGAGGAATCTAGTATACTCATATATGAGAAACGCAAAGTGCAATACCAGCACTTCAAAGGGCTCAATGCAAGAAAGCAGGTTATACCGTTAGAGATTGGTAAAATGATAACGCTCATGGTTCCGGTATTTCCAGAGAACTGATTATCCATTATGAAAATTTGGAAGGTCACTACATGTCGAAGGGTGACAACAAATCCTACTCCTCATCTGATCACTTCGATAATAACAACCTGCTCTAAATTCTCTTGTCCTTTGCACATGAGCAGATCAATTTTCTTACTCAAGGGAGAATAGTACGTTAAGCTAGCTACCCAGTCAAATAGTCTTACCTCCGAACCGCCCTGTATTTCTTGATTCTTTAACAATTCGGCTCCCAGGTTTAGTATACAAATCCCAAAATCACCTCAAGCTTCGCACTCCCATTCAATCCCAGCAGATCTCTCTCCCTACTCGCAGATCCATCGATTCCAGAGTATTTCCCCCCATAAATATACAAATCTATTCTCGGCAAAGATCCTCACTTGGTCATTCCATGAAATGGCGTTTGAAGTGAACCATGAACCGGGAGCCCACTTGTTCACCTCTCAGTTTAGAAAACTCGCACGCCTAATAAACGTCTTGTAAAATCTATAAAACCACAACTCCAGCCATGCATAGCTGATTCTTTCCGTAACAGCCACAAGTCATTCCCAAAGGAATCAGCTATAGGGTGTTATTTTCGGGTCCTATCATGTCTTTTCATAGTATCAAGTTTTATAAACCTCCATTCTCGTCGAGTATCTCCATTTTCTTCGAAATCTGATATCGATACTATAAATCTTTGAAATTTGTGAAATTTGTGAAAACGACACAACGCTTTGGAACTTTCGCTATCCGCAACTCACTCCATCATCAATGCCCAAGAAATAGTCGCCAGTCCTTTTATCTCATCTCATCCTATCTCACCACCATTCCCTACATGCAAACCTCCATTATTCAGCTCCGTCTTCAACTCACAATCCTGTGTTTCATTGAAGCGCTGAGCCAGTTCCCTGCATAAACAAGTCTACCACAGAAATCCCTTATATACCTATACACCACTAACTCAACGACTCTCTTCCTACCCCGCAATCCTCTCTAAAATTAGATATCTCCTCCTGATACGATATCCACCAAAATAGCCGAAATAGCTCTCATAGAGTCACAGAGTCCCACTTCAGACCCAACTCTTCAACATAAAAGACAAAAGACACACCTCTCTTCAGAAATCAAACTAAGTTGACATACATCTTATTAATCTATCAAGGAGATGTCATCCCATCCCATCACAAATCACAAACCACAAAATCCAGTTTTTCAACCCAGATACTCCCAGAGCTCAGATTATTCATTTTTTTATTTTTTATTTTTTTGTAACCCCGATTGATTGTATCCATCAGTGATTGACGACGATACTCCTTCGACAACAAAATTTACAAATAACAGCAACAACTCGCCAACCTCATCACAAAGCACAAAATCACACCATCATCCCCATCATCTCCACCATCCCCGTTCCTCCCAAACCCATCCATCTCTATCTACTACCAACCACTCCCTTTCCCCTCATCTCATAATATACACACCCCCCCTTCTCGCCACCCCGCTTCAGATCCCCTCCCATCTCAACTGTCCTTCAAATTCACATCCACACCCACCTCACAAACCTTACCTTTTCTTCTAATCACCATCCAGATACCTTCCTACTTATCACTTAACATGAAATCACAAAACTGTCCCCGCTTCCCCCCTCCCCAAAAAACGATCTATAACACATACTCTCAAGAAACATACCTACCTACCTACACATACACACAACACATACAATATAATCAAATAAAAGAATACGAACGCAAAACAACCCATACTTAATATAATAATCCAGAAGCGAGATGTGAAATTACATTAATTAATTAATAAATATAGATCTAAATTGAAAAAAAGAAAGAAAAAAAAAAGAAAAAAGAAACTTATAGAATACGATACAATACGATACGATGCGATACAGTACCATTATACCATACAGTGTTTTCTCAAAGTGCATAGGATCTATCTACTTGTATCAAGATAGGTATTCATACCTATATATCTCATGCCTAGGTATTTGTAAGAAATAAGGCACAATCGGATCGCACCAAGTCATATTAAATCCTCTCACACAACACACCACATCACATTAGACAGAATCAGTATATATATCAATCATATCATTAATACTCTCGATCTCACAATTTCGAGGCGTCTGCTATCTTTTCTGCAAATACTATCTCATCTCATCTCTCTCCCTTCCCAGTTCCCGTGCAAGCCCGGGAGTTTTTTTAATAACTCATCAACCCACCCACCCAATCGATTAATCAATCGATATACCTCCTCCCTTCCTACCAATTCAACAGCTATATAGAAGCTCAGTATGCTCCCAAACCAAAACACCATCGCTATACTAACTCCATGTGATAAAATATCACCTATATTCTCGCTCCTATCTCATCTCGAAATGCGATGGACCATTAGAAATTCCAGCAACAGAAAAGAAAAAAACTACATATGCAGAATGGGTATCATTGCACAGAAAACAAAGGAAAAATGCACGCTCGCTATGCTCATCAAGCCCTCTCTATCTAATCCCTTGAGGTTGCGGTAACCTTTTACCATCTAAAAATTGCCTTGGGGGTCTCTGTTCATAATAAGGATCAGGTTCTTGCCTCCTTTTCCTTTCTTCATATTCTGCTCTCTCTTCTTCGCTTAGACTGAATGCTTTCTTCAGCCATCCAAATGCACTTCTCTTCTTTTTAACTTTCTTTCCATCTTCCATTGTGACCGTCGTCATATCGCTCATCACACTCATTCCCATACGACTCGGTGCCATTGATCTCGATAAACCACTTGGTACGCGCTCATGGTGATGCATCGGGGCTGCAGTCCATGGTCTTTGCAATGGTGAATGTGGAGATGCGTTGACGGGACGAAAGAATTGTTTTTCGGAGTGAGGGGATGGGATGAAATCTCTTGTTAAAATGGGTGGCGGGATATCACGTTCGCGACTCATCAAAACTGGTGCTGAGATTGCCGAAGAAGGAGATTGAAATGCTGGTGATGGGAGGTGTTCTTGTATCGAACGAATCGCAATTGGAGGGTCCGATTCGGAACAGTATGCCGAATCGACTCCACGAGATGGGGGTGTATCCTTCGCTAGTTCAGGGTGTCTGGGAATACTTAACGGTCCTGATCCTTTACGCTCCTCTCGTTTGCGAATTTTATTTTCACGATCTCTGCTCTTCTCATCTCTATTTCTTCGCTCCTCTCTGTTCGATTCCCTGCTACGTTCCTCTCTACGTTCTTCTCTACGACGCTCTTCCCTGATACGTTCTCGGCTACGCTCCTCTCTAATTTGCTTTTCTCTTTGGCGCTCCTCTCTATCAGCTGATAAATCCAAAGGCTCAATGCGACGCTGTTCGGATCGTTCACGAGGACGAACCACTGTATTGGGCTTCAAATACAGATACGGATCTACTACTGATTCCGCAACTGAAGTAATTCGTGGGGCGGAGAGTAATTTTGGAGGGGGTTTTAGGGTATCAGTTTCGGTCTCGGTTTCCTTGTTCTTGAAAGAAAAGCGCTTTCGAAGAGATGGTTTTCTCTTGCCTTCCGGGGCGGATTGGAGGACAAATTCCTTCTGAACCTCTTTTCTTGGAGAAATTTCCGGAGAAACTTTGGGCGAGGACTTGGGCGAGGACTTTAATGAGGCTTTGGGCGAAGTGTTGATTGAAGGCTTTGGTGAGGGCTTCGGCGAAGGTTTTGGTGATGGATTCGGAGAATAGGTGGTCGGCAAAAGTAATGGGGAATAAGTTGTCGGGGGGAGCATCGGAGAATAAGTTGTTGGGGGGAGCATCGGGGAATAAGTGGTGGCGGGAAGGACTGGTGTGGTCGTAGTAACGATTGGTGTCGTTGCAGAAGGTATTGGGGAGTAAGTTGTTGGAGCAAGAATTGGAGAGTACGTTGTTGGAAGAAGTAGAGGTGAATATGTGATAGGTTTGAGAGTATATAGTAGTTCGGGTTTAGGTTCAGGTTCAGGTTCTCCTTCACTCTCAGATTCGGGCTCTGGTTCTGGTTCCGACTCTGGCTCCGACTCTGGCTCTGGGGTCTGTTCTCGGTCTTGTACCAAGGCAATTGCTGGTAATATAGCTGACATTGATGGAGCTGTAGGGTTCGGATCGCTGGGGAGCTCTTTTATCATGGAAGCTCGAAGATTGCGAGATACTGGAGCAGCTGGTGCTTGTATAGGAGAAGAATTACTGAACTATTCATCGTTAACCAAGAATGACACAATTGACCCAGCGAGCTTACTCTTGACTCCCGACTTATCCTGCCAGCTCTGCGATCCATTTCTGCCACAATACTTCCCAATTGGCTGAGAGAAACCCCCAGATGATTACCTTTGGTTTGTAACGAGACATAAGCCTTATGCCAACCTTCTACATTTCCACACATTGCATCAAAGACTCTCTCCATGTTGGGCCGTTGTTTTCGCCATGACCGATTATCTTTCTGCCCTGCCAGGTACATTGTGAATTCCCTACAAGCATCCATTCCTTGTTGCGCATCAAGAATAGTGTCCTTCATCGCTGCTGCGGTACGTGCAATAACGTGCTCGATACGTTCGTTGCCACTGACGATTTGTGACCTAAAAGCTCGATCTTCCAACATAGAATCGAAAATGGCGAGATTTTGTAATGGAAGTTTCAAATGCTTTAATCTCTCCTCAATGTCACTTTGTGCCAGATCGAAATCCTCGAGCGTCATCTCTAAGAACCCGTCTACCTCATTCACATGTCCCTGTAATATTGACATGACCTGTTCTTCATCTCGGGCGATTCCATTGAGGAGTAGATAAATCCCAAAGGATATCTGTGCCATTAATTTCCACAATTCATGATATTTTTGACCTGGTTGCCTCTGCCATCGCAAAGGATGTGTATCTTCGGAAACATCTTGTTCAATTAAGATCTTTCGTCGGGTCGCTGCGTCGCCGATTTTGGGTGCTGTTCGAGCTGTGTCGCTAGCCTCTTGCATCGACTCTGCAAAAGCACCCTGCATGGAACTTATTGGATGTTTTGGCACCATGGCACTTTTTGCAACTTCATTGACCTTTTTGACTGCTTTGACATGATGCACTTCTTTCATTGTATCGTTATCTAACCTCGTATCGTCTAATCGCATTTCGAAAAGTGAATCATCATCAGGTTCGAGAATTATCGGAAAACCGACTTCTTGATCAGAAGAAGAGTCGTAAAATGCCATAATTGCCGCAGCCTGCCTACTTGAAGACTTATGCAAGAATTGATAGTCCTACATGGATTGCTTGAACGTAGCGAGCGCCTCTTAGCTGCATGTGAATATTGACCGGATTCTTGGTATCCACGGTATTGCAGATGAGGTAATATACTTTTGATGCAGTGCGCACCACTGATGGTGTACAACAGCGCTTCTAGAAGTCCACAATCCGAATTATACGAACGATCAGAAGTTTCCGGTATGTCCAAGACAAGGAAGATAGAGAAAAGGTAGCTTTCCTTAATTGTGAACAATCCAAATCAGTCGTGATCTAGTCTACCCTCCCCCCTACAAATGGTCCCTTAGTCCACCGAGGAGGTGTCTGTGTCAGAGTCCACTGTCTACTTGTTGCAGTAGCGTCGAGAAACGGGTGGGAAACGGAAAGGCTATCGAGAATAATCGCACAAGGCTTTTGAGGGAAGCGAAGAAGACTTTAGTTCGAATTTGGGTTCATCCTTTCACTATTTATTTTAAGTCAAGAGGAGCATGCGCGGGATGAGATTGCCTTTGATTGCGGAGGTTTTTCGTTTCAAGTCTTGATGTCGCGAATTAAAACAAAATATACAATGTAATTCGGAATAGGGTAGAGGGGACGAGAGCAAGGAATGTAAAATTTGAGGATTGGTGGATGGATGGATGGATGGATGGATGGATGAGATGGTAAATGGTGTGCGGTGGGCGTTGTTATATTTGTCGTCCTGGGACCGGTACTGCGTATATATTATCTCTTTTCACAAGGTGGGATAAGAGAGGCGGGTGATGGTGATGACAGGGTGGATATGGATAGATTGAAAAAAGTAAAGAAGCTTGTGAGAAAAAGGAAAGCTTGAATGAATTGATTGTGATTTGTGCAGGATGAAGCTCTCTTTACTATGTGATAATGCTCCGTATACAGTGACAAGAAGCAGATCTTGGAGGGGAGAGAGAAGGAAGGGGAGAGGGAGAGGGAGAGGGAGAGGCAGAGGGAGAGGAAGAGAGAAAGAATCTAGATATTGTATTTTTATTACCAAGTTCATGACGATTAGCTCTGCTTTTACCATTTTTTTTTCTTCTTTATTTCCCATTTTCTATTTTCTGCTTTCTACTTTCTATTTCCTATTTCCTATTTTCCGTCTTCTATTCTTTTCCAATGGATCAAACCATGATGTCGATCTTTGGGTTGGCCAGGTACATAAACCGTTTGAATGCGGGATTCTCGAATGATTGAATTGCTTGATGGGGGGAAGCAATAATGTAAAATTCAATAAAATGATTTTCTTATCGACGTATACGACATAGTGAGAAAATCATTTGCCATCAGTTTCAACGGTTCCCCTGGGTAAACGACTTGGCAAATGGCTCCAGTCTCTTCTTCCCTTGGATACAGTACTACAATGTACAAATGCGTCGACCCATCCGAGCCATGTTATCTACTTCGCACACACCATACCTAGGTCTATTCATTTATACAAATCATCTATACTATCTACATTCTAGATCAGAAATTTCAATTGATCAATCCATGAGCTTGACAATTTATTTACGACGTAGCCGATCTATTCTATACTGTATGTAGAATTGATCGGGTCTGCGTGCTCATCGACGCATCGACACATATATAGACCAAAGGAGAAGATGGAAATGAAATTAAAGTTTTGGCTTAGGTTCATCGCCCATCGCCCATCGCCCATCGCCCATCGCCCATCGCCCCATCTATCTTGTCTTGTCTCCCACTCTGCTCTGCATTGCATTGAATTGTCCAATGCCCACCCACGCGAAATCTGCATGGCGCCTTCTCAAGAGATTCCGGCTTATTTTTTGGGTGGAGAAGCTGATCGGTTAATGTGCTCAATTCAGCATTGACAGAGGATCTATTGGATGAGATGAGGAGAAGTTGCTTTCTTTGGGAGAGACAAACGCTCACGGGTAAGCCACATGCCACATCGTTTCTCTCTTACTCTTTCCTTGTTATTCACGGAGTCTAGCACTTACGACCTAGGTGCGTACAAAATTCGCGACTCGATATTGCACTTGTACGTAGATCATTAAAAATCGCGGAGAGGGGACGGAGACAAGGATACGGAGTACATCGTTCTTCCCTCAGAGTGTTATGGCGTACGTACTCTCAGATCTCCATTATTCATGGAAAATTTCGAGGTTCATCCACTCATGAAAACCTCATTTATCTATGACATCTTTACCACGACCATCCATCACTTGCCGAGGTATGTATGACAAGAAATAGGAGGCGCTGAATCCTACTCTACCGTAAGCTTTTGTGACTGATATCTTCAAGTCTCCACCAAATCGAAAATTCATGCACACACAGACCATTCACAGACATCCCAATTTGGATGATCCCCCGGACTGCATCCTTGATAGGTTACTCGATTCGGATGAAGACCCATGTGGATTTCCTATCTATAACATCACTGGCATGTCCCTTTTGAGGATTTCCAACCTTTACCGAGTGTCTAATCGTCAAAAACCTGGACACAAAGCACGAGTCGGAAGAGGATGAAAAGGAAGGTCGTATCTCAAGATCCAATTCGTTTTCAGAATATTCGTTCTCGAATCTGCCTGTCTTGAACCGGAGAAAAACCAGAGTTGCTTGCACGAGGCACAGCAAGTTTCATTAAATCCTCCATACGGCTAATCTCACAAAGACCTTCAAAAGTAATATCGTGGATATGCTCATTAAGACTTTAGAAATTTAAGATCATAGCTAGTCAGCAAGACCATATTATTATCGCCTTTCGGAGATGATATTAAAAGTTAACAGTAATCTGCCCCTTATTCGTCTTCAATTACTGACACGGTTGATTAGTACTCATTCCAAATTCTCCGAATATCATCTATCGGTCGATATTAACGTTCAATTAAATTTCGGATATTGAAAGATCTATGTACTTGCTTTCATCTCGGCAACGGATTGAACCTTCAATATTGCGCAGCAGAAACAAGACATATAAACATTTATTCTCCGAAGATATTGGGCTTGGGTTGGCGAGAGCCAGATTTGAAGGGCAGTCAGTCATAGGAATCACGGGCCAAATATTGACCATGTCTCGCATTTGGAGGCCGATGGGATACCACTTTGCCAATATCCATAACTTCTTATACGGAACAAGTCTAATAGAAGCAGAATGATATGGATATCAGGAGCCTCATCACCCTATTAAGATACGAGAGTCCACGGCGTGGGATACTTAAGGTCGTTGTAGCTCCAAAATCCCACAATTCAAGCTCAATACTTGCATGAGCTATTGGCGCAATTTGAAGAGATGAAAATTGTGGAATTCTTTCACAAGCTCTTCATGGCATGCTAGTGGGTCGATGTCTTCGAGATCTCTTGAACCGTCGCGAAGCATCATTTCCCCCACATACATTCGTTGAAGTCGACCTTCCTCGACTTATCATATTCATCTCGGGACATTTGCCTTCATCCTAGCCAGTGCGAAAGATATAAAGCCACATCCCCACAGGAATCTTTTACTGCGGAGAGGAATGCGCTCTCTTGATGACAGGGCGGGATAAGATTTAACAAAATTACTCCTTCATTACGGTAGTTGAAAGCCATGCAATCTGGACTTCGAAATATCAAACTACATTATTGATGATGTTTAGCCTGACGGTCTAGTATGTCAAATTTTGCATTCCAGACCTTCGGTAAGTGGGATTTTAGTTTTTCTTTTCTCAGTATTTCTTAGGGCCATGCTCGTTCAATGGTTCAACTAAGGAAGAATGTCGGAAGAGAGGTAAAATCCTCGAATTATCCCCAATAATTCAAACTATTGGTAAATCTTCACTCGATAGTTGGAAAAAAGACCGAATATCCATTCAACACGAAACGATATCAAATCACACAACTCATCTACTTGTGAGTACTTGGAACTGATGCCATCTCATCCTACAGCTGTAAAACAGAAAGCACAGGTCTAGATATCAAAATTGCGGGCACCAAGACAGGTGGTATGGGGGACCTAAGGTTACACACTTGAGTGCACATAACCGAATTATGCTTTCTTATTAACCCAAGATACTAGTAGTTTTAGTCCAGCAAATCTAATATAGTCACAACTTTTAAACCCACGTACAGAAAACCTTTTCTATCTCATTTCTATTTCATTACATCAACCACCAGAAAGATATTCACAAATTTAACAATTCCAACCAACAAATTTCCAATCTTTTACGTCGATATTTTCTCTAATACATACTCTGTACCTGGTACCTTCACATTAGTTCACATTAGTTCACATTCAAAAGCATTTTCACCCCAATCTTAAATCCACCGGCACATCTCCACTATCATCGGCATTGAATACCTATCTTGTCACAGATACAGGGATCGAAAGTGGGCGCTACAACCCCGAATTTTATCAATCTGTACCTATACTGCAGGGGTTTCCGAAACAAAATTCATCACCATATTTCGCGAATATTTTGTCTCGACGATCGATTTTACTTTTTTTGAATTGAGAAGAGGACACGGATTTTTTCGAGTTTTTCTTTCATACCGACAAGAGGGTTGTGGGAGATCGAACGAATTGATCAATTGAGAACGGGAAGATTGTTTTGCATTATTCGTTATACATACATTTGTTGCGATATTGCACGAGCGGAATTCTGTGGTCTATCGTATCGAGACTGTGCTGAGCTGAGCTGATAGTCGTATTTACTTCCAACCGAATCATTCCCTGTCATCTCGTTATTTACGAATATTCATCCATACACCAATCAGTCATCATGACGACCAACAAACTTCAAGTATTCAAATTTGGTGACGGGGTCTGGGACCCGAGCCATCGGTTTGTTACTTCGTGGTTGTTATCTCCATGGGCGCTTTTTGCTGTTAGAGCTTCAATTGTAAGTTACTTATTCCGAAAATATAGAGGGAGAGAGGGGGATATAGTAAACTAAAATAAAGTATACATAAAAATTACAATAACTGATTCCTCCAATCTAGTCCCTCTATGCATTTTTCGTCCTTTTCTTCGCCATCTTTTGGGAAATAGCTCGATTACCCAACGGAGGCGCAACCGCCCGATTTAGCTTCTCTTATTTCACCAGTACGTATTCCCCTCCTTCATCCAGAAACCCCTCCATACTAACCATCCCACAGTTCTCTGCTACTGGGGCATATCCTTCTACTTCTTCTTCGCAGCCCTACACACCTTCACCTACGCGCGCAGCGGCATCCCGCTCCTCGCGCGCTTTCCACGCCCTCTCCAAGCCCTGCACTCCCTCTACTACAGCACCATCATCTGCTACCCCATCCTCGTCACCATCGTCTTCTGGGGCGTCATCTTCCGGGTCTCGGTCCCCGTCGGCTGGTTCCCCACCGCCTTCGATGCCTGGTCCAACATCTCCGAACACGGCCTCAACTCCCTCTTCGCCCTCTTCGAAATCTGCATCCCGCGCACCGCATCTCCGCCGTGGATGCACCTCCTCTGGCTCATCGTCATCCTCGCTTGTTATCTGGGTCTGGCCTATGTAACCGTGGCCACGAAACATCAATACGTGTATTCGTTCTTAAACCCGAAAGTTGCGCAGCATGGCATGGTGGCCGCGTACGTATTTGGCATTGCGGTGGGCATCTGTCTGATTTTCGCGGTGGTGAAGGGCGCGGTTAGTTTGCGAGTCTGGGTCACGGAGACGCGAGGGGGGAGGAGGGGAAAATTTGCAAAGGTCGGGGAGCTGCAGATTGCGGATGTGGAAATGCAGAGGTTTGAGGGGAAGGCTTGAGCTGAGCATGCGAGACGGATGAAAGAAATGCACACGCAAAAAGGTAGACAATACCAGTGTAAAGACGTGTCGATATAGGTAGGATACGCAGCACGAGTATACGATAGATGTGCGGTTTGGTTACTGGTTGTAATCCGATCAAGTAGGAGTAAAGAAGAAGCGGATGTATGGATGAAAAACACTCCCTATCTACCGCTTCCCTATCTATCTACCTCCCTACGCACACAAACGAACACGAAAGCACCACGGCCTCAGGATAGGAATCGGATACGCATTACACATCACACATTATTCAAACTTGGCGTTTTGGGGAAAATGGGGGCAAGGGATAGCGATGGATACCCATGATTATACTTAATTTTCGTATTCATATGTATATGTATATGTGTGTATTATTGAAGATGCGATGCGATGCGATGCGATGATATTTCTTAGAGTTAGAGAGCGAGCGGTTTGGATTAGATGAGATGAAATTAAAATTACATAGACTTGATTTACGTTATATAGATAGGTATTTAATACATTACATTCATATACTCTATTAAAAGTACATGGTGGGTAGGTAGGTACAGAAGAAGACCTGTATGTATGTGATTTACATCTCCGTTGTGTATTTTCTCCCTGAGACGACGATATGAAGCATAATATAATTTCATCCATTAAAGAAAGATATTCTAAAAATTTGTCTCATCATCCCATCTTATCCCGCCGCATCTCATCTCATCTTTTCCTAGTCCAATCCACCCAGCCCATTATTTCCCCATATCCCCAAACTCCAAGAATACACCATCCATATCATCCCTACTGGTATCAATTAATCAATCAATCAAGCGAATCGCAAACCTCGCAAAACGACATCTCTATCTTCGTCTCCAAACCGCAATATTAAATTTTATATCTCAACTGTCCAAACTCAGAGGCGTATTACTCAGCTTCATCCTCATACTCCTCCAAACCCTGATCTTCTTCTTCATCATATGCTTCCTCTTGTTCCAATTGCGAATCGTGATCTGATGAATCTCCATCTTCCGATTTTGGATCTACAATCTTCATCCTGCCGTCTTGGAACTCCACGCTTTTTCTTGGCTTGGGAACTTGTTCTTTCTCCACAACAGGAGCTGGGACTGCGGCTGGAGCTTCAATAACAACATCTCCATTCCAAGCTCTACATCCCTTAACTTCCTCTCCACATCTTAAACATGTCCATCCTTCTCCTTCCTCTGCTTCCAGTTTACTGGCTATACATACGAAACAATATATACATCCGCATTCTACCGTCTCGTATGGATTTGTGATGTCGGTTTGCGCACTCCCGATTACACCGGTACTAGCTGCAGCAGCCATAACGCCTTCTTCTGTTGCTTGTAGTGCATTTTGATCGTGGTAACAGATAGCACAAGTACGTTCGGGCAGGAATGAAAGTTCGCCTTTCTTTTCATTAATGGAAAGATCATCAGGAGATGATGTGTTAAAGACTGATTTCGTACGTCTCCAAGCACGGGAGAGTAATCGTCTCCAGCGAGAAATACCGACCAGGGGGAGGACGAAAAGGAGAAATTCGGTGAATGCGTGCCATACAAGTTGGCGATTGAGATATTCAAATGATACTTCTCTACTGACTTGGCTTGTTGGAGGTGCTAGTCGGAGTCGCAGGATGCGATCGAGCAAAGTACGATATCTACCGTTCACGAGAAAAACTAGGAAGGATGCAAAGGCGGCGGTGGAGTGAACATTTGTTAAAAGATCTGTGATGCGAGAGAGTCGACTCATAAGGGGTGAGGGGGTGCTATACCCATTGTCTGAATCGACTAGGTAGTTTTCCCAACGTGTCCAGGCATACTTGCCGCCTACAGTGAAGAGACCATATAAACTCTTCTGCCATTTCGATGGAGATACCAAAACCGGTCCGGAATGTCGCGCATCTGTGAATTTTAAATTCTGCAATGTAGCTCCATACGTAGCATCATGATCCCATATACTGAGTTTAAAAAGAATAGCTCTCAAAGCCAGCATAATTTCCGCAGACCAATCATCCTGTATATGAGTACCGAAATACTTTAAGCCTTCTCCCACTTGCCCTTTCAATAGATCTAATAATTCCTCATCCAATAACTCTGCATCGACTTGACCGACTCGAAAAGCAGGACGAGTTCCTTCACGTCCAGCAATCGTATCCCATGTTGTAAGACCTGCAGTCCCTAATCGAGAGAAGGGAAAGGGGAGAGAGGAAACTCGTTGAGAGATGGCGGTGTTACGTCGTCGATTAAGATGGGTTTGGGCTGCTACTTCGCGAGCTTGACGACGAGCGGCAAGGCGCTCCTGGGCGAGGATAAAATCGTTGGATGTCATCGAGAGAGCATTGAATACCGTGTATATATTTCAATATATACATAACAGTCTTGTGGAAGTTAGTCGCTGATTTGGAAAAAGGTATGAAATGCAATGTGGAATTGTGAGAATGCAAGCTTGTGTTGACGTAGATACCGAGGTTAGTCTCCGTCCTTCCGTTTTGGGATCAGTGCGCTAATGTCAAATGTAGATTAGCGTTAGAAGCTATTGTGGATTTCTGGAACTTTACTACATTAGTCATTTTGTGTCACGTCAATTGGAATTCGAGAAGTAATCTATTTCTCTTCTTGATTTTTGATAGACATCTCCAAAGGTTACCTCTGTCTGTATATCCGCTTTCGATTGCTGTCAGCAGTGTGAAATGCTGTGTGACTATCGAGTAATCTGTATGTATAGCTTGTACATCCATATACATACTTGCTGTGCGCCCTTTCAAGTATACAGTTCGCTCATTCGAACTCCATACCTTTTGAACATAGTCTTTTTGCCTTGTTTCTTTGGGATATGTCACTTTGCTAGAACACCAACGGCCAGTGTCGAAAATCTTCTCAGCTACAATCTTCCAAGTTCTATTAAAGGAGTGCGCAGCTCTGATGTGTGTAAGCTTGTCTTAATCTCACTGGCGCCAAGGATCTCTAGGACTACCGCATGAGGTTCTTTTACAATTCTCGAAGCTTGCGTTGGGCATCACCGTTGTAGTGATCACCATTTCTTTGGTCAATTTTAGGATCATTACAAATTGCAAAATCGATTAGTAAAATACAAAAGTGTAAGCTGACCGTTGGACAAGCAGCCACATACCGGCATTAATATTCCACCATACACTCCGCCTTCAAGAACTTAGCCCAATCTCCACAAGAAGCTCTCAAATTTGTAAGAATTCGTCAGATAGGATCTTACACATCTCGTTACATTCCAAGTTGGTGGATTTTCTTCCCTGGCAATGTTTTACCTTTTCTCAAGTTACTCGATTCCCACTCTTTTAAGGTTCATCTCGTTCTTCAACGAATCTTCGTTCTACAAACCTTACCACTGTTCCTGCATTACATGCAATGTGCTTACATTGCTCAGAGGACATTTCACCGCTTGTAGCATTGCTGCCTGGATTTTCTTCTTCCACTTTTCTTTTTGTAGTCTTAAAACTAGGTATCTCTAAAGTTACATTTGATGAACGTCTCGGGTGAATAGTGAAACTTCCATCGAGTTTACAGGTCATATGTTATACATAGCATCCTCGGAACCTTCTCCCAGCGGCCCCGCCTTCAAGTCTTCCACAAGGCTGAAGGCTTGAGAATCCACCCGGAAGAAGTTCTTGTTATAGTAAATAGTCAGCCAAGTGGTGTATCTTCAGGTGCTTTTAAGTGGCTCAAACATGTAGGTGCAATTCTATTCATGTTCAGACTTACGACATGTTATTCTCTACAATTTAAAAGCCTGACTAGAGGCCAGAATCTGTTCTATCAATGCTACAGCTCATTCCATTAGATATATTATATGAATCAATGGCCATTAGCCGACTTTTATAATCTTCTTCCGCGGAAAAAGATATTACTGCTATCAATCAAAAAAGGTGCCCCAAACCAATTTCTCCCCAGGACTTCAATTTTTGTAGAGCCGTATCGTCATTGGTGCGTATGTATCAATCGCACGATGGAAGAATGGGCTCATGACTACTTAGAGCGGTGACCGCGGCCGTGGGATACCAAGTTATCGCCGCATCTTCTAACGCATAACGGGCTTAACTGTTCTTTTCAAATCCCTCTGGGTGATACAATGCATGCTTTATGCATGGCAGATAGCAAGAGTTGACCTTATTGGCTTGTGGAGCGATGGTGGAAGCAATCACCACCTCTAGCCAATCGCTAATAGTGGCTTACGTTTCAATGCAATGTACCAAGCTCAGAATCACCAATGAATTGTTGATGGTATTTCTTTTAGTTTACTTCCCTAATTTTGGTACATCCGATTCCTCAAATTTTTCGCTGACATGAGCTTCGCACTGCTGACATCCAAAAGACGCTTACTTCTAGACAAGGAAATAGAGCAGGGGTTATTTCAAGATCGCGGAATACATTATACACAACCAATCCTTCATCAACTACGAGACTGTCTCAAGACTACCTCATGGTCTGGTTGTCGGGAACATCAGCTTGACAAACTAGCTCTCAACTCTCGAACAGTGCACGATATCACGATTTGTATGACTTGTAAAGTTTTATTTGATATTTCCATTTCTCAAAGCGTAGAGCTTTATTGACGTTACACTAAAATCCGAACATCCGACTATTCGCCCCATTGCTAGAAGTCATGGATCCCGAGGGCTTCAGATCTCAGTTCTCATCCCCGAGATTCCTAGAAGATCCGCTCTCAAATTTATTTGATTATGGAACGCCGGTTCAAGAAATCCAGAATAAACACGAAACGACAACTCAGAGCCACGAGTCTAGAGGCGGTATTAGGGTCTCGTTAGCATGTGTACCGGTATTATCTTTCAGTCATTAATTGCTGTCATACATACTAATAGTTGAATAGTGTCGAAGTCGTCATGTCAAATGCGGAGCAGAAATGCCTTCATGCAGTCGTTGTCAGCAAGACGACAAGCCGTGCTTTTATGCAAAGTCAAGAAGAGGCATGAGAGACAAGAATGCTACCAGAATAAAACACTCGACAAAAGAGCATATTAGAGATCGTTATAAGGTAAACGATCAAGCAGGATATTCTACTTCAGCAAGGAGTCATGCTGGGAACTCATCTGGTGAATCGTGGGCTGGTGCAACTTCTGATACATCGCCGAGCCCCAGTAGCTCTTCATCCAGATTGAACAGTATTAAGTCAATGGACTCAAAAAGGCTGACTGATCTTTACTACAAGTCTCTGAACCTAGATCTGCTTTTAATTTCCACAACTGACGATCGATAGTTTTTTTCACAAAGCCCACCCATATATTGTGCCAAAATCTCATCTTCTGAGCAGGCTGGAATCCGACCCAGACTCTTTGAACAACCTCATTTTAGTAATGCAATATATTGGATCGCTATATGCACCTTATTTTCCATCCGCAGATTTCAGGGCTATAGCTGTTAACCAATTAGATCTAGTCAATCTACCACAAACTGGCTTTAGCGTTCAAACTTTACTTCTACTTGCCATTGCCGTCCATGCCGAAGACGAAAGACAACAAGCACGTGCTATTTTGGATAGAAGCATCTGCATGGCTTTACAGCTCGGTATGAATCATCGAGCTTTTGCTGAAATGGAAAGAGATCCGGTGTTATCTGAGAGCTGGAGGAGGACCTTTTGGGGATTGTACGTTCTTGATGGAGTGTTCTCTGGCATTGCTTGTGCATCTAGTTTTATGTGAGTGCCATAAAAGAAAAATTACAACAGTCGGATTGTATACTGACTCATTCTAGCTTATCCGCAATTGAAACACAAGTAGATCTGCCTTGTGAGGACTACGAATATGAGAGCGGAGTAAGTCATTCCACTTTCCTGGTATCGTCTGGTACACTCGTGATGATTGAAGTTTCTAAACTTTTCTTAGCGTATTCCGCGACCTCGCACTCTCTCAGATTATGACTCTCGTGATTTTGAAGACGAGATCCCAGTCTTCTCCTCTTTTACATATCTCATTGACCTTGTTCGCATCATTGGTACAATTCTCAGCATCAATGATATCACCGGCAAAAATCTAGAGCCTGCTGTTACAAATGCCGATGCAATGCTTGTGAATTGGAAACTTCATTTACCGGTGGAGAAACAAGGGGTAGTGGATAAGCATGAGGAAGTCGACGAGCTGTTATTTCAGGCACAAAATTTACTACAAACGTAAGTTGAATTCACTTCCAATAGACTGCTTTCACGAATTGATCATTTGTGAACGCACGATTTTAACCAATAATGCAGACTTTTAGTAGTTATCCACCGTCCACTATCTCGCCTCTATCACTCACCATTAGAGAAGACCTCCAGCTGCGCACCACCACCACCCACCTCTCCACCAACCGGCAACGAAGACCTGACCCGCTGGCTCCACACAAAGAAAACCGTCGAGGCAGCTCAAACGGCTATGAATCTCTATGCACTTCCTAGTCCAATGTTATTGCACACGCCTCTCGGTATTTGTGGGATCACAAAAGCAACGCTAGCAAATCTTAGTGCTTGTGCTTACGTATATAATAATAGAGGAGATGATAGGGAAAGAGGAGGGAATTTCGAAAGATCGGATGAGTGGAAGATGGCTAGGGATAGGATTAGATTGGGTTTGGGCGCTACGAAGGTGTTGGCGGGGGTTTGGGAGGGTGCGAGGGGGACAGAAAGAGAATTGAAGATTATTGCTAGAGGCGTCTTTGCGAATAGTGCAGCGAGAGAAGAGGGTAGGAAGACGATATCGGGGCCGGTTGGGGTGAGAGAGAAAGGCGGCAATGGAGGATATGTGGGGATGGAAACGAGAATGGAGTTTGAGGAGATTGGTCGAGAAAATGGAAATACAATGAGTGATGGCTTTGAGGAGGCTTTTAGAGTGGGGGAGTTGGAGTATTTGGGAATCCTAGATGGTTTAGCTGTGGGGATGAATGTCAGGATGGTAGGGAGTGGTGGAGCTTCGAATGGTTGTTTAAGGAAGAGAAGAATCGTTGAAGTTAACGCTAGTAGAAAGGGGTAATTATTCTCCATGAGATCATGAACGATACTGGATGAAATATGAGATGAGCAAAGCGTTATGTATAGGAACCAGCAGAGTGAGAGTTGCTCTGCTGTATTTCATGTTTGTTATGGCTTGAGTTTCTAATCTATTATATCATTTCAAGATGGACCGATGGATTTGTTTAGATACTTCTACTCTCATTTAGATTGCGAAATTAGTGTATAAGAGAATGGATCATGCAAGATAGAAGATTGATTTAGGTAGCTGGGATTTGTAATTCTCCTTTGTAAGGACAAATTTAATTGAAAGAACGCTTTAATTGTTCTACAGTGTATGTCTGGAATTCTGTCGCTTTGAGGACAAAATATGGAATATATGCAACTCGCCAATCATTATCGTTCATTTACATCATGTCTCGTGCTGTGAGGAAATTATCAAAGAATTGTATATCCTGCAGTTAGAAAGCTATCTCGGGGGAGTAGAGATAAAATTCATGGCAATGATGTGGATTTCATGTTTTGTAGCCAGATCAGGAAACTGGCGGGTCGTCCGTAGATATGTTCTGTTGGATAAGGAGGAGAGATTCAGAGATTTAGACAGAATGACAGATCTGCTTTTCGCACTTTTGGTGTTCGAGATAATGCATGATGAGCGGGATATGCAGATATATTTGCAGAGACCAGTCTGCGGGTCTTTTGTAGGATTGTTACTCTTGACGTAGATTTCTCGGCTCGTATTCATGTAGACAGATAATTGATCGTTCTCTTTTTCCTCCCGGTGACTGGTACCATATCTTATCTCTTAGATTTTTGGGACTTTGAGGCTGGTATCCTGATTCTCAGGGGCTTGCTGAGTCTGTCGAGAGGCGTGTATCAAGGTTTGGAAATTCTTCGCCGTAACATATGTATAGAGATATAAGGCCATCGGGGATATATGACTCAGTATGAGTAAAATGGTGATTCGAGGTAGAGAAGGGATCCGAGACGGTCGAGTCTAGTCTCTGACTAGTTGGGAGATGCTGTGGGTATCTTCAAGGCCACCTGGAAATATCCTGTACGCTTCGAAGAAAAAGACAAATATGGACAAAATGACTTTGTTATTATATTAAGATAACTATAGATATCGTTTGTGATTGTTATTGAAAGAGAAATTGGGCAATTCAGGCGATTGATCTATCACCGTACACGATCCTTGGACTCCCATAGATTCGTTCTTCGCGTGATTATAAGTCTCGATTGTGACGTCCCGCTCAACAATGATACCTCGTTCCTCATCGTCCGTATCGGCGAGTTCGTGAGAATTGTTTCGATCCTGTTTGGGTTCGGATTTCGAACTCCAGAATTTACTTGATTTGGATGTGTTTTGTTCGGATCGGTTGAAAGTTCCAACGAGCTTGGGGTAGTAGAGTTTCCAGAAACCTACACTTGGTGGCATACATGCGCAAAACTGTACGTTAAGGTAAGAAAGGTATTCAAGCAAATGATTGGGAGGTCAGACTTACGTGGCCGAGGTAAATTTCGACGGAACTCCATATGTATACGGGATATGCGGTCCAGGTTCTATCATAGTTTGATGTAGAGTTCCATACGTAAACCGTTCGAACGACGCTTGCGGTAGAGGCGATGAAGCCAATTGCGAAAAGCATACAGAGAGATATTCTTTGCTTGAAGGGTAGTTGCAAGTGCCATACTGTATGGATTGGTAAAACCACAACTGCATAATCGCTAATTGCATTACAGATGGACGTGAAGAGGAGATGGACTTCTTGGTTGATGCAGTTTGGCTGGGGTTTGAAGGAAACTACCCAGTAATCAGAGATCGGCCTTTGAGATATTTAGTCAAGTAGAGTTAAATTAAGAATCACTGTCGATGCTTACCTGCACTGGAATGTCAAAGTAATAGCGAAAATCGAGCCGTGTATGAGCACATATATCATAAGCCCTTGTGCAACGCGTCGGAGTTTAGGAGCCCCATTTTCGAATAACCGTGCAATAAGCCACAGCATAGAAATTCTTATGGGAGTGAGCGCCAGTGTAAACAGAATTTGCGTTGTGTAGATGCATTTGAGACCAAGGGCAAGCGAATCGTAGGGAACATCCCAAGCGTGGACATCCCATCCAACGTATGTTTCGACAAAAATGCTCATGACAGCAAAACCAGTGATGGGTATCTGAGAGTCTAATTCAGCTTCTGTAGAGATATATGAAAGACTTGGAAATACTAACCATACTAAAGAGAGCCAAACAATCATCCAAACCAAAACATTTTGATATGTACAAGCGAGTATAAATGCGAATTCCCAGCATCGCCAACACAATCGGGTAAAGTACTCCATGGACAACGAAAATGGATGAACCATATCTTTCGGGGTTAACATAATTAGGAACGGGCCAGTCCAATGTGGCTGTGATGTCGATATACATGATGAAGAAAAGTTGCACTGGTATAACGAAACCGCGAAAAAGAGAAAAGCAACATCACAACAGATCTTGAGGACTTTAGTCCTGTTGTATGAAAAGGCATGATGCGATTTACCTGCCCGCGAGTCAATGAGGCGGCTGGATAGGGTCCAAAATCTATCACACACATCCCTCCTTTGTTGGGAGTTTGAATGAGTATTTTCGGACAAAAGCATTGTGGGTAGAACATCAATGACATTTATCCATAGACAAGCAAATGTTGGTATTGGCCTCTGAGCTCCAAGTTACGGTCGTATGACCAGGCATGGAAATTCCACCGAGGTGATAGGCGAAATTCTCCATTTCTTAGAGAACAAGCAGGCGATCCGTCAAACTCAGGCCACCAAATGAACAACTACTTACATGCAGAAGAAGACGTGCGTCAAAACCCCACTTGCTAGTTGCTAATCGTTCGAAAACTAGATCAAGCCACAAAGGAAAGCGCCCAGTGCGCAGTGCATTTCTGGATGGACGCCGGAGCTACAGAAACCAGGCACGGCCATTTTCTCCATTGTGATTTTTTTCGATAATGGTGGCCGAGACTATAAAGACTACTGTCCCGATCTGTGTGCTGGTGCTATTAAGTGATTTCAGACTTCCGATTGGTGCGACTCGACCCGATGCTGTTGCTCAATGCCGCGATCTTGTGTTTTTCATGCCATGACTCGAGTGGTTGAGAGCTCTGGGCTACCAAATTTCAAGTGAAAAGATTTGGGAAAGCCAGTGATTTTCGACGTGGCTTGGCGAAAGGGGCGAAAGCGGTTTCGGGGCTCTCCAAATTTCAGATGACTTATAAAGGAAGAGATGCGAAAAATGGTCGAGATATGAAGCAAGTATCCAATTCAAAAAAGATGCTGTTTAGCACGTAGATTACTATTTTGACAAGCGGGGAGCAATAAGGTTTAAACGAATCAACATAACGCTTGATAAAGGTCGAGCACTTCCGGTATTTACAATAGAGTTCAGATCTAAATGCCCGGAAAACTAACAATAAACTTCGAACTTAAACCTTTCACGTTGTTAAGTTTGTGGCAACTGATTTGAGGGACTAATGAATGCGTCGACCCCAGACATACTCACGCAGCTAATACATTGGCCAGACAGGGCAAGACTAATTTTACTGCCGAAATCGAGGTGCACTGATCTAGACGTGCCAACATGTCGTCCTTGCAGGACTAATACTCCCGGCATGACAGAATGCGTCGATATGCATAAGGAAGAGTTGAGGCTCGAGAATCGAGAATCACCTTTGGAGAGCTTAAGCTCACCACCACCAATTTATGAGACGTCTAAAACTAGCCTGTGGAAACGGCCAGTCAAATACTTATACGATCATAGCCAGCTCTTTTAAAACACACATTGCATTAACAAGTATCTTTCTTTGGTTTATCTTCAACAAGTGTTTTGGCGGTAAACTCTTTCTCAAGTCAGAATAGAATGTACCCATATCCCCAGCGTTTCTCGAGCTCTCTGGAATGCTCTTGTGATCCAAGGAGAACATAAAAAGAATGGACATTTCGGTATTCATAAAGAGCAGAGAATATAATATGATTGGCATAGTGTAAAAGAAATGAGACAGAGCTCACACGTTCGTTTGCATTTGCTTTTCGGTACCAGCACGTGATGGCGCGACTTGTTATTCACTAATACCACTCACCTTTGGGGGATTACCAAGAATTTTCTATACACAATGTTCATCTTTCCATTTTCTTTCCCAAGATTCAAAGATGCACTGGGTAATAAAGCCACGCGTGTTTGTCCCATCTTTTATGTTTTAACTTCAACCAAACAACGTGTCACAATACTTCGATCTATCATCGTTGTTGTATTACTCTCGACACGATCTATTGTAAATTTCAACCTCTTGATTTATCGTTCTTCAATCATGGAAATCCTCGAGGACCTTCGTGGGATCGAAGTTACAATGTGCGTGGACAAGCAAGCTCTCCAAGAGTACGAAGACGACGAGCCTGAGGGTTTTCCTGCAGAGGTTGAAAGCTACCAAAACGGTTTCCAGATATATTGAGTCGACAACCGGCAAAGTATTCTACATCAAAATCGAGATGAGCAAAGCATACAAGTTTGACTCTCCGGATGTTTCCTTCGAGGTTTCTGTTGGTGGGACCATGGTTCGTTCGAAAAACGGCAGCAAGAAAGACATTCCCCTATGAGTATCCTAATCTTGAAGGGTAGCTTTCAGCTGGAGTCCTTAGTGGTTAACTAGTTACCTTTATCTCTACTTCCTATGTCTACAGACTAATCTTCCATTTGGGACCAAGGAAGTGAAAGGTGTCAAGAATGTGCTGGATAACGGACGAATATTCTTGATGCCATTTAAGTTCAGCGACATAATCACAAGTAAGTAGAAATTAACTATAATAATTTCAGCACCCTCTTGGTAACCTTTACAAAGGTACCGATGATTCGAAATTAGCATCGATAAAAGAGGACGCAACCCGACTGAGTGTTGTTAGAGAGATCGTGGTGAAGGTTTATCGAAGAGGTGAAAGAACTCGTGCGATTAATCAATCAAAGAGGCCCGACGCTTTTCAAAAGCTAGCTGCCGATTCATCAGCATCGGTGCATGAGAAGGCGCTCAAAGGACACGCGAAGTCTCATAGTACTACGTGAGCCATCATCTTGTACTTCCAATCGTAGTTTATCAGAAATTTCTAACGGTTAGATCCACATCAGTTTAGGAGCTCCTCAGGCCACGAAAGCCAGTATTCGTTATCAAATGAGCTACCTGGATGGAATAAATTAACCGATCGCGATATATCGATTCAAATACAGATCTAAAGGTCAGAAACACCCTGCAGGAAAGCCATAAAATTTTCTAACAGTCCCAGAATGTCTTAAGTCTCTCTTGATACTCGAAAGAACCCCAGAACCATCCCCTTCTCCTTCTCCTGCTCCAATTTCGGATGGTGCTTCAGGATCTTTTCATCTTGAGAGCCTTGATGCAACCCAGAAAGCTAAGCTTCAGGAGTTTCTAGGAAACTTATTGGTATGTCCCGTCTATCATTTCTCGTACCACCGCTAACTATGTTTTCATCAGGGAAATGGAAGTCAATTCAATGGAGAGAGGAAGATTAAGCGGGAAAGAGAGGAAACTGGCAGTGATTTCAAGGCTAGCAAGCGATCAAAGAGAAACGAACGTGTTGAGGTTGATTTGACAGGAGATGATTCGGATTGAATAGTGAGCCAATATTCATAGGGGTTTCGGGGGCTCAAAAGATCAATAAGTGCGTCTTCAACGATTATTTTCGGGCTTCTATGGATCAGCTGGGTTGTTTTATGACGGTTTCATGGTGCAATTTTCAATTGGGCATAGTACGGGGACATTTAACGGCAATGATATTATTTCGGCATTTATATCAAGAACAAGCGAAATAGCGACGGGTTAGCACCTCAATTATATTGAATAGGTAGCCAAACCAAAACTCACAGTTTTTTTCTTTAAAAATTGTACACAAACATTGAGAAAATGCACATTAATTCACGCTGAGGTTCCTTCGTCACTACAGGAGACTAGGACTACAACCCTCTATGAATATCTCTACAAACATCGAGGTAAACCCTCAATGATTTTTTCGAAGCGCAACAATCAATTCAAGAAGCTTAAGGATCCGCCGGGAGGATACCTTTCATGATTGAAAACAAATTGAAAACATCTTATCAAAACCTTTAAGCTATAATTCCTACAATAATTAGCTATTCCTTTCTTTAATGCACCGACCTTCAGAGTAATCCGTTTCTAATAAGAACCACATCATTTTACCGAACTTGTCATAATCAAACGAAGAAAGATACTGATTCCAGTATCCACAGAAATTACACACATAACGACGTCGGCATCTAATACAAGCTATCAAAACATCTCCTCAAATACTATCCATATACAAAGAGAGAATTCCCGCTCTATCCAAACCCTCATTCAATACTCCCAAGAAAAGTTCTTCCACCGCATGATTAACGAGATTAAAACAACGAGACAATGCACCCCCCGTAACCATGTTCTGCACTGCACTGCACATCTCCCACTCTCAGACAACATTACCCACTCTCAAACAACATCTCCAGTCGATCACTCAATCACCCCAAAAAATACCAAAGCAGCAAGCAGCATGTCCGGAATATAAGTACCTATACCTATTACCTCTCCCAGTCTTCACAGACACCCTTGCAATTTGTCGACCAGGTTTCTATCTAGCGATCGTTTGGATGTGGGAACAACCCAGATTAAGATCTAATAGTAGATCGATGTTCGCGAATATTGGTGCACGAGATTGTAAATGTGAGGGTTTCCATTCTTCATTAATATGAGTCGAAACTTGAGAGGACACACTTGAAGTGGCCTAAAGCATCCTAGCGTTTTCAAGAGAAGCGATGGTATGCTTAAACCCCCTTTTCAAATGTTCTATTAAGAAGCTTTCGAACAGGCATAGTAATGAAAAGGCCTCGCACGGCATATACAGTACTAGGCCACTTATATCCGCCCCCCCGCTTATTTTATGGTGTCACATATTGCACCACCCTTTTTCAATATTAAATATTAAATCAATCAAGAATTATAAAATTATTAAATTTGAATAAATGAATAATGTATTCTTATATTATTAATATGTATAAAAATTATTTTATTGTTGACTTTTAATTTGTTAATATTTAGTATATTAGTTATTCACTATAATATAAGCTTTAATTTTAAAAGATATATTAACTCTCAAATTATTAAATAATTCTTTATCTAATACATTCCAAACTGCTTATAAATAACTTTCTAATTTTTGATAAGTATATTCTGATTTGCTTTTATTAATAATAATATCAGAAAATATTTTATATATTTTTATCTTTAGAGTTCATTATATATACCACCAGTGGGTACACAGACTTATAGAACACTTAAAAGGAAAAGCACAATTTCACACTAAAAAGAGCTGTTTTGATAATTTAATTAAAATTCAAAAAATTGATATTTGACTTTGAAATTAAGAATTATTATTTTTAAATATAAGAATTTTATATAATGAAAGTTTTATTTCAAAAAAAAACAAAATTCAAATTTATATAATTGATTATATAATATCTCACCAAAAAATTTGATAGAAAAACATATTATTTGATTTTTAAATTCAATATTCATTTTTAAAATTCAATTTTTATATATTATATAAATTTTATATTTATAAATCATATATCTTGATCTAAATAATATTAAATAGAATTTGGAATTTTGATTGAGTTTTGAAGTTAATAAATTTGAATGTGAAATTGTGTTTTCCTGTCACATTGTCCCGTGAGTCTGTGCACCCCCTGGTGTACTCTATAGAATTAAGATTAGGGGAATAAGAAAACTAATTTTTTAATAAAAGGATTTTCTTTTTTTGAAATCAATTTTATATTTAATAGATACAATAAATAAAAACATTATTCTATATAAATTTATATTCTAAATTAAGTTTTTTGAAAATAAGATTTATTTCAATTTCAAAAATCTTAAAATAAGATTTAATATTATATTCATATTTTATACTCTTAAAATCCTTATTTATTATATATAAATTACTTTTTTTAATATTCTAAAAACTTCTCTAATATATAATCTTTATATTCTTATTTATATTATATATTTCAATTATTTCTAAATTCTATTTCTAAAAACTAATATAAAAATATCATTCTAATCTTTTTCCTTTTTCTTATTCTATAAAATATTTATTTAATTATACAACTAAATTCTATTCTTTAATTATTAATTCCTTATAAATTAAATACTATTTAAACTATTTAATAATATATATTAATATAAACTTTAATTTTTTCTTATATCTTTAATTAGCTATACTATATTTGATCAAAATTCTTTTAATAATTCTAATATTACAATTAAACCTAATCTTTTGAATAATCTATTTATATATAATTTTCGAAAATAATTATATATATTATAATAATATTCGTTTATTTTATTTAATATATAATTTAAATCAATTAATATATAATAGATATATATTATTATTATATATTAAATCTTATAAAAAAATATATTATATAATTCTATAAGAAAATTCGAGATTCTTTATAATTCAATAAAAACTGAGATTTTCTTTTACCTTATTAATTATTTTGTTATATATATATAGAATAAAATCCTTATAAGAATTATTTTGTATATTTCTAATACATTATATAATATAAATTGAAAGTATAATTAAAATAATAAAATGTGATTATAGGAATGTAATACGTGAAAAAACGCGTTTTGTGGAGTTTCGGCTAATAGAAGTGCACGATGACTGTATGTTATAGCGTATAGATTCGATGGATATCTGTATGGCATGGTTGAGGGGCTCCAGGTGGGCAAATTTACCCTTTCTTGATTTTGTGATATGGCTAACTGAGTTCGTTATCTAAGAGCTTGCAAGATCAAATAAAGACACAAATTTAGAAATCGAGTTAACGCGACGTTATAGAACCATTGTGCCATTGAAACGCTTTCCCATCCCCTTCATTACTCCATTAAACCCATCGAATATCGTCCCATACTTAATATATGACCAGGGTATATTTGAGCAATAAAAGATCGACTAGCAAATTGAGAACGCCTCCAAGCAAAATGCAAATGATATCCCAGCCGTTCTAAATATGCACACGTGGCTCCCCTATCACAAATCTTCGTCAGAATCTGCAGTAAGATCAACGACCTCTGCAGTTCTGGATTTCTTTCGTCGTGCCTGGTTTGAGCTGCCTTCACCGTTATCCCGCTCACGCTTGATTTTTCTCTCGGGGGTGTTAGAAGCGCGGCCCGCCTGCAAGAAACATTAGCTTATGTATGCCTTGACATCACTGTAATACTTACAGCAATCCCTTCGTTACGTAGAAATGCCTTGAGGCGCTCCTTTTGAGCTGCGGTTAGATTATCGAGATTAACATATGGAGCAGGACTTGGTGTTGGGCTATTTTCTGGTTCGGGGGTCCGCTCAATAATCATTAATTGCTTAAGAGATTCTATATCTATGTTAGCGATGCTTTCCAGTTCTGAAGCTTTTAAATGCACCTTTAGACCTATATTCAAACTTATAAATGGCTACGGGGTAACCTTCGCCGTCGAGTTTTGTGACATTTACGTAACTCGGTATGGAAGTAGTAATTTCTGGGGAATACCTAAAACCGTAAGTTGACTGGTAAGTCTATGATCATGGCTAACATACGAAACATTGTGTGATTTTGCTTGTCCTTTGAGCGCCTTCTCATGGAACTCATTAGAACTTGACTTAATATTGCGATATTTACACTCCACTGGTACTGATTTGGAGACGCGCCAGATTCTAATCTCGATTGTACCAAGCTTCTCGGCTTCGGCCTTGTCTTTTTTCAAGCTTGAAAGTCGACCTTCTTCACTTGCTTCGCAATGTTAGCACGGTATCAACGTATTGACAGCTGCGAGATTGTGGAAACAAACATATATGGAGCTCAGAAAACTTGTATTTTCGTAACATAGACTTGTTTCCGATGGGATTGAAATTGATTGGGCCGTCAAATTGCGTTGGGGATCTTCCTATACCTTCGGGTGTGATAATTTTCCCTTGAGCATAATTGCCATCAACGGATACATCTGCTTGAAGGTTTGGCGCCTTGAACTTGAATTTGGGTGACGAAGTGCAAATAATGCTGAACTCGGCCCCATCGATAGCTTCAATATACTTAGATACTGTTCTCAAAGCCTGATGTTCGCCGCTCAGTCCTGGCCCAATCTCTATATCTTCTTCATCATTATATTCCTGAACTTGGACTCCATTCACTCGAATAGTGACTTCTAGGCCGGGAAGTTTATCGGAAACAACCATCTTGGGAATTGTAATTCTTGAAGAAATCGAAATTTGCGGTTGGGTAGAGATCTATGCACTGGAAACAAGTGAAGAAGTCAGTTGATTTTCCGATTAATATAGCAAGCTAAGGTATTGAAAGGATGTTGTGGGTAACTGCGATACATACCGATCGAACTTGTGATGCTAAGTGTTAATTGAAAGCTGCCTCGTGCAATCGATTCAATAACTTGATTTCTTAAGTTCCAGTGAAATTCTAGTACTCCGATTATGGGACACTTATTACCTAGTTAATCCATGAACATTCTAGGTATCTGGGTAGTTTCAAAGAAAGGTTTCACGAATCTCGACGATGCTTTCCGTCGGGGCAATTATTCGTTAATTTTGTTCTAGAGCACAAACGCGCTGAAAGGTGATGGATGCGATGACATGTGACTTACCCCGCATTAGACACTAATGCTTGCCTATCTAGTAACTGTCGTGTCGTTGGGCAGTTGTTCGGGTCAAGCAACTCATTATGATCAACTCCTCGAATGCTTTGGAAGGTTTGCTTTGAAATGTATGCTCTGCGGGCGATGCGCACATATTCTGTAAGTAGGTCCTTTCCTTCAACTTTGAATTATATTTGAGAGTGATAAATGAGGTAAATGCCGGCATGCTTGTGTCCTTTGCATTTTACATGCACATCCCGAGCAAACACAGAATAAATCCCATAAATTCACTGTTAGTATATAGCTTAGCTTCCCTTCTCAATTCTCTGCCTTTGTGATACCATATTCTTTCCTACCAGCTACTTCATCGAACTTCTCTTCGATCAACCTCTATCAAAAAACCACAAAACATGGCTTCTACCACCGATGCCGACGCCAGCTCGCCCCCACCGGCATCAGCCTGTACCATTTGCAACTCCCCAGCGAAAGGCTGTGCACGCTGCAAGTCCGCCGCCTACTGTTCTTCCGAATGTCAAGCCCTCGATTGGTCTCTTCACAAAATCCTTTACAAGGAGATCACCAGAATGCCTCGTCCAAGTCCCACCCACAAGCTTGGCATTTTGTTTTCACCCGACTGGAGAAACCCAGACTTAGTATGGGTAAACTTCAACAACATCAAAATTCCCAGTGTCGAAAAGCAGTTTGAATTACCAGATGTCGATGAATTCCTCACTTACGGCTCAGAAGATTCTTATGATTCCGAACAACTCCTTATTAAGCCTCAGTGGATCATGCGAGCACGAAATACCAAACATACTCTTGCTGTTTACATGCAAGATAATTTTGGATTTGACGGATCAAAGATGACGCAGTCTGCAAGCTCAATTACGGCTGGCATGATGAAACATGCTTGGAAAGGGCCTCTCATCGTTGTTTCTATGGAGGGGAAGTCTGCTCCTCAGAGCAGAACCTTGAGAATAGGAGGAGTTTCTCTTAGCGTTGGGACTTGTGTTACTTTCCAAAGGAGCATTGACATCACATTAAGAGATTTCAGGATTGTTTATGATTATTTTCTGGCTTATCCACATGAATCGGAGAGTAATCTCACGCTGAAAGATCAACACGGAAAAACTATGATACAATCATAACATGAAGAAATCCTTTCATTAATTGAAGTATTCCCCAAAGAACCTCGTAGTAAATGCCAAGATAATAACATATAACTTTCATGCCTTGATTGAATGTCCACGGCTCTCCTCTTGAATGGTTCCTACCAGCTCATTGTGAGGATCTAGTCTAAGATTGGTATTGCTTCTCCATAGATGCCCATATATCAGCTTCCAGAGCCTCACGAGGTACATGTGTAATTGTGGTTGATTTACGTGGAGGTCCAGGATCGTTGAAGACTTCCACTTTCCTCTTGACTTTGCCAACTTCGAGAATTGTGCCCCCGGGATGTTCTTCACTCTCGATCAGTTCTAGCATAGCTTCGGCAACAAATTCTGGCGTTACCCAATCCGGGTTATCTTTAGGGATAAATGCCATCTTTTCAGGATTCTCTGTCCATAATGGGGTTTTTATGAGACCAGGTGCTACTGCACTTATGCGTACTTTGGGAATATCGGGAGAAGGAAATTCCAACTGTGCCAATGTACGAACAAAACCTGATATAGCATATTTTGAAGCCACATACATTGGCGTTGGAAAGAATGGGACTTGGCCAGCAATACTGGATATATGAATAACAGCACCAGGCTTCTTACGCTTCATGAAGTGCTCAATAGCCATTTGAGTTGCGCGTATCGGATGAGTGATGTTGATATCAAGTAATTTGTATCGTGATTCGGAAGTATTGTCGACGGAAGGGGGGGTACCGGGAGGGATCCAGAAATTCGAAAATGGCTTGTTCATCAATTAGCTACTATACTCAATCCTGGTTTGTGAAAACTAACTGGTTCAAACACGCCAGCTCCTGGGCACACAATATCCGCACCACCGAATTGCTCCGTTGCTACCTCGAACATCTTCTCCAATTGAACCCATTCCGTTACGTCCGTCTTCAAAAACACGGCTTTCGGGCCATTTGAAGAATCAGAATATTTCGATATCAATTCCTCAGCTTCTGGGCGCAGAGCGAGATCTGCAATGAGAACATTGCAATCTTTGCTGAGTAGCAATTTTGCAAAACAAAAATTGATACCAGAGCCAGCTCCAGTGACAATGGCAGTCTTGGATTCAACGTTCATAGCCATGTTTGTATAATTGCAGGTGGTTTTATGATTCCAAATGGAAAAGGCATTCCAGTTGGCATGAATGTATTTATATCAAGAATAGGGCTCGGAATACGTGGACTGTCATATGTGGGCAAACTAACGGCGTGTCGACGCAGGGTAGGTGTGACGATCGAGGTCGGGTAAAAGGGATGGCTTGATGAGTTAAGTCGACCACCCTACTTTCGGGCCACCCCTGTTTTGGGCCACCCTTTTATATCAAAAATCACTTTTTAGTTTATTAATATCTCCATCAATATTGAATATAATTTAATAAAAATTTATATTTATATAATTCAAATTATTTTAGATTTATATTAGAGTTTTTACAATTTTAGGATTTTTCTGAATTAAGATTTAGAGTTTCAAAATATTGATTTTTGAATTTATATAGAAATTATAACGTGTTTTATCAGTATACGAGTCATTTCGAAAACCACCTAAATTAAGCTTTTTAAAATATTAATATTTTAATAATCAATCATTACTTTCTTGAATAAAAGATTTTAAATAAGGAATTAAAATCTAGGTTTTCTATTGATCTAATTTTTATAAGATAATTTCATCATTTTCTAAAAGAAAAAGGAAATTATTACGATTTTCGTTACAGAAAAACTATTTTTATAATAACAACTTTATGAATTCGATTTTTTTTAAAATTAATTATATTTTTAAATTTTTTATATATTCAAATATTTTATATCAAATTTTCAGAAAATTATATCCATAAATAAAGAAAGTGCACGGTTATATACAAACGAATTTTGTATATAAAATGTTAGAATAGATACAAGATGACGACTAGTATACGTATAGACCTAGAATAAGACTTTTCATTGATTTCTTCAAAACCTCTTTCTAAAGCTATATATATATATATAAATTCTTTAGTATCAAAAAAATATTAATCTAATATTGATTTTATATTAATATTTATAATAAAGCCCTCCTTCTTAGACTTTTATTTTCAAAAGTTTTAAAACTATTCAATAATTAATTACTATTATATTATTGAAATTTTATTAAATCTTATAATAAAATTTAATTATAACGTAGTTTAATATCGAATGGCCTATATTACTGAATAGCTCATTTCAAATACATATAAAATTCGTTTGTATATAATTGTACACTTTCTTTATTTATTAATAGAATTTTTTGAAGATTGAATATATAAAATTTAATTATAAAAATATTATAAAAATCTAATCTTTTTTTGAAAATTCGAATTAATATAAGAATTATTATTAAAATAGATTTTTTATAACGAAAATCGTACATTTTCAATTTTTTATTAAATATAATAGAAATATTTATAAAAAAAATAGATTTTTAAGAAATTGAATTTTTATTATTATTTTATATTCTTTTATTTTTCAAAAATAATAATTAGTTATTAAAATAGGAATATTCAAAAATGATCAATTTTGGTCTATTTTGAAATGAGCTATTTGGTGATATGGGCTATTTGGTGTTAAACTATATTATAATATTTATATTCTTATTTTATAAAATTCAGCTTCTCTATAGTTTTCGAAAAAAACTATATTGTAATATAAAAATACTAAAAGTTAATTCAAAGTTTGAAATCTAAAACTTAAAAATCTTAAAATATTGAAAATTTTAAAGAATAAAAAATTCAAAAAATTCAAAAAAGAATTGATTTGCTTTTAATAGAATAATAATTTATATTTAATAAGATTTTGCCTTCCTTTTTTTAGTTTTTGTTTTTGAAAATATATAAAATCTATAAAATTAGAATTTGATAATTATATACTAATATATAATATTCAAAATTCAGAATCCTGAAAAATAATAGAATTCTATAAACTAATTAAATCAATATTCGAAATTCTGAAAATCTTCAAAATTCTAAAAATAATAGAATTTCTCAAATTCTGAAAATCTGAAAATTCTAAAAAGAAATTTGAAATACTAAAAATAATTAAAAAATACAAAATTTTATTAATTTTTTATTGAATTTTCGAAACCTAAAAGTGTCACGGTCGTGAGCCATAGGGTTCCATTAGGCACGTGACGGTAGGCCCTCGGGCCTACTGCGTACTGAAGGAAGTCTGTATATACTTATAAGTTGTATAGTTTTTATAAAGTTTAGAAGAATTAATAAAAAGTCTTTATGCTACATTATACCTAGTTGATTCATTACTAGTACCTACTCTAACAAAAAGAAATCTTGAAAATTCTGAAAATAACAAAAATCCAGAATATCCAAAAAAGCCTAAAAAATTTGAAAGATTAGAAAATACCTGAAATATAAAAATCCTAAAATCTAGGAGATCTAGAAAATCCAGAAAACATTTAAGATATAAAAATTCTAGAAAATAACTGAAAATATAGAATTCTATTAGTTTTTATTAAATTCTCGAAGTCTAAGAGAAATCCCGAAAATTCGGAAGATCTAAAAGTTTAGAAAATATTTAAAAAACCTGAAATCCTAAAAGTAGCCTAAAATCCTAAAGATCCTGAATATAGTTTATTTGTATCTATTATAAGATAAATAATTCTAGTAAAACATTGTTTTATTTTTAATTATATATAAATTATTTAATATAATATTATTTATTTATGATTGGCTTTAATTAATAAATCTAATTGTTTATAGAATAGCTAACTAGACCCTTCTTTATATAAAAGACCTTTAAAACATTATAAAAAAGTTCTATCTTTTTAATAGAATTTATAAAATAAGGGTATTATTGATATCTCATAGGTATTGTTTAAAATAGAGTTTTGTTTTATAGAAAAGAGATTTTTCTTCTTAATATTCTTTCCTTTAATTCACTTTTAATGAAAATAGAGAGTATTATAATAATTTAAATAATATTAATTTGAATAATATTAATTATATACCAATAACATATTATAAATATATTATAGTTTAATTAAAATAAGATCTTCAAAAGAATTATCTTTAAAGCTTTTAAAGCTCTTCCCGAAAACTAATTGCTAGCTTGTTTTAAAGAAATTAAATAAAAAGAATTGTTAAAATGAATATAAGACAATAATTAATATAGATATAGATCTAGAATAAGACTTTTCATTAATTTCTTTAAACCCTCTTTTTAAAGCTATTATATATATGAAAACTTTTCAGCATCAGAATAATATCGGCCCAATACCGGTTCTATATCGATGTTCGTAACATAAAAAGGTTGAATAAAAAGAATCATTAAAATTAATATAACATAATAATTGATATAAATTTAAATTTAAAATAAAACTTTTTATTCATTTTATTTAAATTTTTTTCTAAAGTTATTATATATATAGAAACTCTTTAGTATTAAAATAATATTGGCTCAATACTGGTTCTATATCGATACCTGTAACAATAAAAGGGTGGCCCAAAAGTAGGGTATCCGACTTAACGTGAAACAATCCTTCAGACAATTCATATATTGATCTTACCCAGCCATTTTTACCCCATTTATATCCCGGTCATTTGGCGAGAACATCAAGTAAAAAAGGAAGGGTAAACAAGGTCAAGTAGCAGAAAAAGCATATGACTTTGCTAAAGCGGGAAGGCTATCCGGATGAGCTTCTGGCTTACATGCTTGGATCATCAGCGGGTGGCACGGACTGACGGAACATTTTGAAAATTGACTTGGCAATATCTCTTAAAGTGTCCCTTCAAATACTTCGAAGTTCAATTCAGTGATTTATTACAGATCAAGAAACGGGAGTACGGATTCTGGAATCTGGAATCAAACGATTGAGGAATGGATTTGTGATAAAATTTGAGAGTTGAGAAATGTCCCACCAGTCCACACACCCACTAATGGAAGCGAATCTTGAAACTTCTAGTTAACCTTACCCCGCTTGCTTCCCGCGAATCCACCAGAATCTGGGGTCCCCACGATTTTGCTGATATCAAATAGAAAAACAATGACTCGTTTCGCTGTCTTGGCCCCAGCCATGGCTGTCAAACTATATTTTAATCAAGCCGTTTTATCTCTTCTATCGTCAAAATTTCCAATCTGGTAATGATCGACACTATGCATCATCGTGTGGGAGCACGACTGCACAAGGGATGATACGAGAGTACATCCTGGTGACTGTCAGGTATAAAGCCATCAGAAGTTCTCCAGTCTTTGTGAAGTTGCGATATGCAAGATTGCAAGTTCTGCAGCTAGTTATTACAATTGAATCAATTTCGTACAATGGCTCGAAAGTACCTTGGAGGTTCTGGTGAGGCATTGACAGTATGGATATCCGTTGCTGCTTCGACAGTTTTAGTTTTCTATGGTTACGACCAGGTAAGTGTCCTGTCAGAATTGTTAGGAAAAAAAACCAAAGTTCTGACTGTGTTAGGGTGTTTTTGGAAATGTGTTAGTTGGTGACGACTTCCTTCGAACGATGGGGTACCCAACAACAAGTGTTCAAGGGACTTTGACTTCTGTCTATAACCTGGGATGTTTCTTTGGAGCACTCTCTACTATTTGGACTGGAGATCTTCTCGGCCGACCTAAAGTGATACTCCTAGGAAGCACCATCATTGCCTTGGGTGCACTCATCCAAACTGCTAGCTACGGTGTTGCCCAAATGATGGTGGGAAGAATAGTGGCGGGATTGGGAACGGGTATGAATACTGCGACTGCAGGTGTCTGGCAAGCCGAGACTAGCAAGATGAGAAGTCGTGGGAAACTAGTCATTATTCAGATGGCTAATTGCATCACCGGATTCTCGATCTCTAATTGGCTTACACTTGGATTTTCATTCACGAAGGGTAGTGTGGCATGGAGATTCCCTCTGGCTTTCCAGATATGTGAGTTTCTTAAGTACTTGAACATGATATTAAACTAACAATAAATTAGTCTTTACTGCTATAATCTGGGCTTTATGTCCATTCTTACCAGATTCGCCGCGTCTGCTCATTAGAAAAGGGCGACACCAAGAGGCGTACGAAGTTCTAGCAGCACTTGAAGGTCATAGTGCAACTATCGACTCTCCATCTGTGAAACAACAATTTAATATTATCAAAGACGTCTTGGATCGGGAACATATGAACTCATATACTTGGTTCCAATTGTTATCTGGTAAAGGCCCATCTGGAGTTTTGAGACGTATGATTCTAGGAGCTTGGATGCAAGCAATGAATCAAATCAGTGGTATCAATGTCACTAGCTATTACATGACATACGTTTTCATTCATGCGCTAGGAATATCCGAATTGAGGTAAGAGCCCTTTAGCCTTCAGGTCACTCGCAACTAACAGGTGATTAGAGCACGCATTCTTGCAGCCGCAGGATCTGTCGACTATCTTCTTTTCGCTTGTTTAGCCTACTTTGTAATTGAGCGATATGGTCGTCGACGCGTGATGATGGTATCTGCATTTGCATGTTCTACTTGCTGGATCATCATCACCATCGTACTTGCCTTGACTGTCTCTGATCCAGCACATAGCTATCAATACGGAGCTGTGGCAGTCTCGTTCTTCTTTGCGTTCTTTGCAGCTTTTGGCATGGGTGTTTTGGGAGTTCCATGGCTCTATCCTACCGAGATCAATGCTCTTGAGATGCGTACTAAGGGTGCATCTCTAGCCATGGCTACCAATTGGATTATGAACTATATGGTTGCCGAAGTGACTCCGTCAGGAATTGAAAATCTTGGATGGAGATTCTGGATTATCTGGGCAGTCATTTGCGCGAGTTTCGTTCCGATTACATATTTCTTCTATCCAGAGACTGCGAACAGAAGCTTAGAGGATATCGATCGCTTCTTTGAAAGTAAACCTGGACTCTTTATCCACCGAAATAAGATAGCTACTCAGCTACAAAGGCCACAAATATACGAAGAGGAAGATCTGAGACTCGGGAGAGCTGCTGAAGAAAAAGAGTTTCAAAAATCGAGCTCTAGCCCAGAGAATGGCGTAGAGGTTATGAAAGTGGAACACAAACTAGCGTAAACGGAAGATTTGTTGTCAAAAAAATTGTTTAATATTCGACTGAACGTTTGAAATTATCGCTATATATTGCGCATGAGCGTGATTAATGACTAGCTTAAAACCATTCATGATATTGTAATTCCAGTTTCATTATAAATGTTAAGAAAAGGTCATCTTTCTGGCTGCACTCCATTACTTCCTTGCATAGAATCTCTCTCCTGTCCAGCAAACCTATCGGATCATATCTTAATCAAAGCTCTTTGGAGGCACCATTCCTCTGGTAGATTCTTGCCCCAGAGCTATTGAGCAGGTATCTGAAGTGATACTGCAGCCGTTTGATTTAAACATCTGTCTATAGGATTCTAGCAAATTCCTGCGGGCAAAAAGATCAAGGTGGTCTACATGGTTAGAATCAGGGAGCATATGATTATTCTTGAGGAAGAAGGAAGACCGCATAAGAGCTGGCTACAGTTTGAATAAGCACTGCACTTTTATTGTCATTCGAAATGGTGCGGGCATCCTCAACTTCGTGGCAGATAAATTCCAGAAATATTGAAATGGAATATTCATGAAGTTGTAAGCAGAGATCGCTCTTTCTTTCCATGATCCATGTATGCACCTTGAGATACTTGATCAAGATCTCTCGGTCAAGAAATGTTGGCCGACAATGAATATTATTCATATTCTATTGTTGTAACCCTACACGTGGAATCATTTCCCCCAAAGAACAAACACTCTTGAGGTTTCAATTTTATTCTTAGACTTTCAATATCTCCAGGTCTGGACATGTATTCCGAAAACAATCTCCATCACATTGAATCATTATTGATGGCAATTTCATCTTTGGCAGCAAGTGACTGGCTAAAGGCTCTACTCATTCGCACTCAGTCAATTTGCGGCATTCACTAAGAATATTTTTCTTCTTCGAGAAAATGCAAGACTCTAAGTATCGCTCATTTAGCGTCCATATTAGAGGGGATCCCAAGATATTCTCTATACAAACTGTCACTCTGGCTCAGTCGTATATATAAACTCTTTCTTATATGGATCTCCAAACCCTCATCACACATTCAAAACCGAACCATAATACATGTCTCCCTCAACAATGAGCGCTACTTCCCTTGGCCACCAGTCACACGCCATCATACCAATCCTACCAGATTACTGCATCAGAGTATCCTTCAAATGCCAGAGTTGCCCCGAAACCCATCTCTTCGAAACCAAACGATGCGACAAAGCAGTACAATCAAACACGTGGTATCATTCCTGCGAGCACGTTATCACTATCAAAGTATCAAGCTAAGCTAGTATGTGTAAAGACTGTTGGGGTCTAATAGATGACTTGAGAGTTCCAATCTGGAAGGCTCTGTACCATGAAGGACAAAAAATCAGCAATGCTTTTCTCAAGACGTTTGATAATCTGGGACGTTTGGGATTTAGGATTAGAGGAGGACAGCATAAAGATGTTCGAGTTAAGGGTACGATTGTGTGGATGAAGAGGCTGGCTGATGAAATACCGGGTGTGGAGCAGTATTTTCCTTGGCGCGCATCGTTGGATAGTCTTTCAGATAAGATTGTGAAACCGAAATATCTTTTTGGAGGTCAAATGTGTATTGCGAGTGTGTTGGAAGATCGACCGGAATGTGTGGGTATTATAAGACAGAATGTTTTTGAGATCAAGGGTAATACTGCTGCTGCGCGGAAATTCCTGGAAGAAAGGGGATTTATGATTGAAGGAGAGTTTCTCGGGTCAGTTTCTGAGTCGTATAACGATGCGCAGGTTGTTAGACATCGATGGGGCTTTCTGCAAGGGAATGAAGTTGGTCAGGCTGAGGATGATGATTCGATTGTAGTGTGGAATGGGAAGTATGGGAAGGCTGTGAAAGTTGAGGGGGGTGGGAAGATGGGGGTAGGGTCCGCTAATGGGTTAATGATGTGATGATGCTCGGGATAGGAAGTTTGTGAACGAATGAGATTTCTCTCAATCCTGGGATTTGTAGTTCTAGACGTGTTACTCGTTTATGAAACATTCGACAATTTTTATAAATAAATAAAAATTACACCAAGATTGCCTTTTTTCATCTCTCATTATGCGCGCATGCTAAATAGATCGAACAGCCGAGAACGGTAGAAAAAATTGATCAAAATTGATCACCCCAATAAATCCAGTAATCAATAGACCACAATAAAAATCTTGAACGTAAAATAACTAAATATCTCCCCTAACTGCCTTCATTCATGCTGTTAAAACTATAATTCTCCAAAATGAACTAAAATATACAAGTTATCGAAGGATTTCGCAAGTAATCAATACCGATCTGTTTCTTCTCCCATGAATAGATAGGTCAGGAATCTAGAATTTGTTGAATTCTTAGGCAGATTCAAATGATATACTATTTTCGTAAGAATATGTAAACTAGGGCTAATAAATAATTTTGGATCATGTTGGTGAACTTGCGAAGCATTATTTCAGATCGATCTGTTGTGAATCAATGATATGGTTACACTGCTTTAGGATTTTCCTTGATCTTTGCTGACTCTTTTTATAAGCTGTTGAATATATCGTTTCATTTAAGAATAATAATAAACATTGCAATAAATTGATAATGGGCAGTATAAGATTATATACTAACAAGGTCATACCCTGACCTTACTTTTCTGTGAGCCCTGTTCACTGGAGAAGTGATTTAAGATGGTAAGCATCTAGTTTTCTAATGATACATGAGCAGGTGAGTGGGTGGCTAGAGTGGAAGAAGTTGTTGACAAGTAGAAGAATCCAGATCCCAGTCATACAAGAACAGTGAGTTTAAGTAAAGCGGATATGAACAGAAAGGGAAGGATGACGACAAGTAGAATGTTTTGTTTAAGCACCTTTCAAAGGATCAAAAAGGGAAGCTATCTGTACGACTAATATCATTTTTGGTTATACTCGAAGTATAAGTTTTGAATCCTAAGTTCTATCCTAAGTTCTATCTGCCGCTCCCGAAACTCGCTGCTTTGCTGATGATTCTCAGTAGCAGTCCGTGTCGGAGCTACATAAGTTCCAGACTAAAATGTCTCTGTCCGACACACAACCATTTGCATCATCCTACCCATTGACGCTTCATGATCTCATTCATCAGACTTTCAGTTTCCAACCAACTTAACCCTGCATGGAAACCCATCACTTGGATGAGCAGCTCCAGACAAGATCTGATAAGCTCTATCTCCCTCGAGTGTTCTCGGACCAGTCTTTGGATGCAGACTATCCCACTCCTCATACACACTCCTAATTTCAAACTCTCTTGCAGTCAAAACAAGAAAGATCTTCATCTCCATCATTGCAAGTTCCTGTCCAATGCACTTACGAGGTCCAAACTCAAATGGGCGAAAGGTGCCTTTCTTGGGGTAGAGATAATGACCTTCTTCAACGAGCCAGCGCTCTGGAAGAAATTCGCTTGGTTCGGGCCAGTAAGCAGGATCACGTTGGATAGCATGCGAGTTTGACCATACCATGAATCCTTCGGTGGGGTATTGAAGTCCATCGGTTCCTGACATGAAGTATCCAGACTCACCGCTACGAGCAGTTGAGGCAGAGGGGTACAGTCGAAGAGTTTCTTTTGTGACGGCCATGGTATAAGGAAGTCGGTTCAAAATGTACGGATCTTCTGTGATTTTTCTTGCAGCTTCCTTGTGGTCTGTGCCCAGAATCATATCATGCTCGGCAATCAGTAGCTGACGGGTCTTGGGATTGGTCCAGAGTAAATGAAGAGCATAGCACATGGTACTGCTTGTTGTATCGTGGCCGGCGAAAATGAACACTCTCAATTGAGATGTGGCAATGTCTCTGAAAGCGTTGTCCATGGCGTTAGTGGTGTTGTCTCCATGCTTGGTAGCAAGATAATTATCAAGAGCGAGGTCGATAATTGATTTGCTGCGAGTAACTTGGATGCTTTTATTGATAGTGTTTCGACGTTTCAATCGCATATCCAACTCTCTCCAGATATATCTTACCATTCGGCGACCGTTCCACCAGTTGAAAATAGGGCGAATAGGATTATATCGTTGGAATGGATTGACTTCGTGTCCAAATGATAACCAATCGAGTTGACTGAGCAATGCAGAAACGAAATCATTTGTCTCGAGCTGTGAATTCAAGTGTGTATCCCTAAGCTTTGTTAGGAACTAGTTTGACGAGATCGAATCCAAGGAGTCTACTTACAAAGCCATCCGACTAATGATATCCAGATTCAATCTAGTTGTTAAATGATCCATAATGACGATGTCTGAGTTCATAGCCGCTTTTCTCAGAATCTCGCAGAAAACAGACATGTCTTTCATCAAATCAGGAACCAGAGTCATAAGATGGCTAGCGCTGAAGCCCGGATTGAAGATAGTTCTCCATTTTCTCCACTCTTTACCTTCCATTGAGACCAGGTCATTTCCACCTGTCATAGGCTTCAAATATTCACGCATGGCATGGAACTTAGGCAGCGGATGTGCTTGAGTCATCTGGTAAGCTGCATCCGGACCTACAGCAACCAAAATCTCACTACCAAAGGGCCATGTATCGAGGTAGAACAACGGGCCAAGGTTAGGGTAGAGGAGTTTGATCTGGTGTGGAAGAACATGACGATGGACATCGCTGGGCAATCGAGATACAATATCACCAATCAATTTCAAGTGACCAAACACTGGATGATGCGGAGGCATTGGCTTTGAGATTCTGTCAGCTATAATCACGAAAACTTAGATGGACATCAGCAATAACTCACTAAGCCTTCCCTCTGCATACGTTGAAACTTGCGACGAACACGGCATAGTTCAACAAAGAATTTTATAGTTTTGATGCCAATTACCATAAAGCAGGCAATAATGAAAAGACGCCAGCCCGGGAGATTCAAAACAAAGTAATCATTGAGGAACGTCATCTTCCCTCGAGGCCGGATAAGAATCTTTTTAAGTGGCAAACAAAGTGCGAAGAAAGGGGCAATTTTAAGGGTCGTATGTGAAGTAAGTGAGTGTAAAGTGATCTGAAAATAATAAGAAAGTAGGGAAGGAAAGACTTGAGCATGCGATATTCAGTTGTTGCTAAGGAAGGGATTCTTGTAATCATATAGAGCGCATCTAGATATAAATGTAGCTCGCTGAAGGCTCCGTATCACTAACCGACAGTCCTAATCCCGTGCTAAAATTACTGCCCGCAATTCGAAATGAGCTAGTTTGTACGGCTTCAGTGAATACATCAAAAATTTCCACGCTAAGAGTAAATAAATGGCGCTAGTACCAATTCCAATAGGACCCTACCTCTTCAGAACACAGGCATTCTTGCGAGAGGATCATATCTAGCCCAAAGACTATCTCTATACCTACCTATCTAGAACGGAGAACTTCGAGGCTCCTTCACCAAAGACCAATGGCCTAGGAATGATAGCACATTTCATTACAGGCTAGCTTTAACCAATAAGTGAAGCAGCACTATATAATCGATGCAATACTGTTCAACCTCAGGGCTATAAGCGAAGTATTATACCTTGAACCCTAATCTCATCTGTTGGAAGTTTAAAACATCTCAGAATTCTTTCCCCTGCCCGGTAATGTGAAGATGCTGGATAAAAGGATGTAGTAATATCTGATTTGAAGTGAGAGAGTTCTATCATCCATCTATTGGAAGGGAAATGATATTGTCTTTCATTCTGTTTCATCGAATCTAGGCTCAATATGAATACTTCAAAGTCAATAGAGAAATCATCTCTCTGCATACCGAGGTAATATTCAAAAGATCCTACCTATGTACATGTGACACAACTAATTGTAAGATTTGAGTGAATAATACACATTGGCTAGTGTTATTGATATAGCTAGCTAGGTGCTGAAATTGAAAGAAGAGGTTTGGAGAATTCACTTGGAGATCACATGGTGATCAAAGGGTGTCGAATTTGAGCCAAGAACTATCGGATGGACCTTCGGATCTCCTGTTCTCAGGACTCGTTAAGATAGAATAACACATTCGATGATATAAAAGTCGAGACTTGCAGAAGGAAGTGAATATAAAAGTTGGAACGCGTGGAAATTTCTATCCAAGCATTCAAACCATCAAAAAACACACGCTTCAAATCGCAGAGAAATCTGCAACGTAGAAATTTGATTAGGGCAAGCCAGATGGTTGCTAGCAAAAAAGGTACTTTATCAGATCCAAACGAAAGGCCTATTTTCACTAGGAAGTTATATACACCTGTAAACTACTTCTGCAACCCAATCTTTCAATCGGAATGCTTCCAGAAATATTCATGTCTGGGATGAAACTGATATCCAAAGCATGGGGCAAACAGCGAGATTGAATTTTATAACAACATTGAATGTTCATTACTATCCTCTTATATGGATAATGATTAGTACATGAGTATCAAACATGAGTATGAGAGCAGTTACATGGCTTCCTTGAGCCCCTTTGTCTGCAGCTTGCAAACCACGCACAATTGATTAAGACAATCAACAAAGAAACATCCATCAAGCTTAAACTTCGCAGCCATCATCGTCCGAGACACTCTTATCAGGCCGTATCTAAGCATCAATCCGGGAAGTCTTCAAGCAGCTTTTGTTTCTAGTGACATTGATAGTATTCTCAGTCTGGGGTAATTTTCTAGTACAAGTACCTATTCCGAAGCGTAGGGTAGACTGTTCAGCTGGGAGGCCGCGGATCATTGTCGTCTTCCGAAATTGAAAGGCTAAAAATGTATGCTTCAGTACCTGACTTGTAAAGTTATAGTGTTATATGAGGCCAAAACAAGCTATAGATACCCGGGGACATTATAAACAACTCGAATGGGTTGCTACACAGGTGTGTATAGATTGCTATAGAATATCCAATATATCTCAACCTCGAGAATCGAGGGCAGATACATTTCCCGCTAGTGTATGTAAGCAAGATTGATTGGCCTTCGGCAAACCCCACAACACGTTGCGCACTTCGCGATTTCGAGAGCTTTAGATCAACGACCACTTGTCACTTCAGTTGTCAAAATGTTTGATCTCAATTACATGCATTCAACTAAGACTTCTCGACTAAATGAGCAATCCTGAAATCATAAGATGGAGAAGCTACCTATAGATAACATACGCAGATGTCAAGGATTGATCTGTGTGCGCACAATAATCTGCTCAGTGGTAGATCAAGGGCGGTGTGCCCACATTGACTTCCGTCAATGCCGCGTTTGTGTAACAAAGGAATTATTGAAAATCATACCAAGTAAGTCTATTGCGGCGAAAAATCATAGCAGATCTGAAGAAATATCTCAATATCCGATACAACTACGCTGGAGAGAGATCGAACAAGGTGCATTCGATCTGGAAATGGGCCAGTGCACATGAATTCCCAGTTATTATTGCATGCACGACCAAAAACACGTTCACATTCAAAAGACATAAAAAAAAGTTGCGGAAGGGTTTACAAGAGTGTGGATGCACGCTCGGAAATCCATGGGCTTAGAAAATGAATCCCTAATCTGAAACATCCAGTGCTACATACAACATCTGACTCTCTCAACCTCCTTCTCACTTCTACTTTGCTCATCCCGATCAACTTCGTCACTTCAATTGTAATCCGAAACATTGTCAGCCCGCTTGTAGTCTCCATCGTTTCTCTTTTCTTCTGTAAGAGCTTCCGTAATAGCTTCGTCCCTCTTGGTAATATCTTCTTCCCGCTTGTAATCTCCATTGTCGTTTCGTTTGTAGTCTGCAACATCTTCGCCTCTGTTGTAATCTCCATTATCATTCCGTTTGTATTCTAGGAGATCAACGCCTCTCTTGTAATCTCCGTTATCGTTCCGTTTGTTCCCTAGGAGATCGATGCCTCTCTTGTAATCTCCGTTATCGTTCCGTTTGTAGTCTAGGATATCATCGCCTCTCTTAGAAGTAAAAGAAGGATTCTCGAGTACTGTTCTGTGTCTCAGAGTGTGTTCAAATTTTGAGAGTGGTTTATATATACTTACAAATCGCACGTCCCGAGGCATAACCAATGAAGGCAATGATCATGAGCTTCGAGTAATGCATATTGAGTAGTGGTCGACTTGATTGGGAAAATATGGTAACTTGAAAGATGTATTTGGAATACGATTGGAGTGACCGAGTGGGATAAATGAACTTCAAAAGTTGTGCGGTTGGTCAGTTGAATCAATGAATTCGTCTGGAATGAAAAGTGATTTTATTTCAAATGCAGTTCGAAGAGCTCTATATATGATAGATTGGGCGGTTTAAAATTGTCGATCAGTTGGAAGAAGTCTTTCTGTGCCGCGTATCTGCAAGACAGCATTCTGACAGTTGGCGTGTTTTACGGTTCCTCACACAACGATTGTCATTGTGGGAAAACTTGGATACTCAAACTCATGGATGTTGCGAAGACTTACGTATTAGAACACATGCTTTACAACAGTCAATCACTTGATGCTTACGTCTTGCGATACTGAGACCGTGATCGGTCTGTATTGCCATGAATTACAGCAAAGCATTGATATGTATCATTTCTTTTCAACAGTCAGGGGAGTCTACTGCTTTTCGCTAGAGAGAAACAATTATCTTCCCATATCCCAATCCCGATCCCGATCCCGATCCGATTTCGTAGGGAGACACGGTATCATACTGGGTTGTCTACGTGCGCTAGTCCTATTGATTATGATACGGGATAAGTCTAACCCACAGAGCGCTCATCATAATGTTTAATTCCTTCAAAATCCTCAATTCATGTACACTGATCTCTAGTCCCTAATTCTCATGAAGATTGCCAAGATTCAATGTATGCGCTCAAAATGCATTTCATAAGATCTTCTCCAGAGGATGGGGGCTACGGGTCCCACTTTTTGCAGATCTTGGTTGTAGATAATTATGGGGAAAATCATTTATATCTTAAAACGAGGGGAAGTTTGCGGTTGATCATAGTGACAAGGCGTCAGATTTGAGACTATTTCTACTTGTAGCAATGATGCATGCAAGGTAATTGAGACACACGGGCTTCAGTTTATGATGCAATCTGTGTGATGGTCGCTCACTCGAAGACTTGGTCAATTGTGACTTGAGAATGAAGTAGGCAAAAAAGGTAGGTAGAAAACTTTGATTGACAATTTTGCGAGTTATCAAAAGTAAAGAAAATGAACAGCAAGCTGAAACGACAATATGCGTGTGCTGTTGTTATGTAGCGACTATTGAATTTCATTCTATCACAGTGTCACTTCAAATTGCTCTATCCCCGAAAAAAGTCGATCAATTACATCATGTTAGGGGAATTTTTCCACACTTTGAGCTGCAGCATAGATTTCAGTCAACTCTCATGAGCACGAAAGTTTTAGGGTCTTGCGGGAGAGTGAGTATCAGTATCAAAATCTTTTGTTGATTCAGTCCCATACATTGACTCGAGCACTGGCATATCTCGATATTCGAATCCAAATATGCTGAATCCTTTTCGACAAACTCAATATTCACCAGTTCTCTCTGATCTTGAGTTGAGGGAGAAAAGTGAGAGGACTCTACAAGGTCGACAACTTCTACCGTCAAGGCTACTTGGCGTGGTAGTTCTTGGGGCTTTAGTTCTGGGGATATCTTTTTTCAGTGGTGTCATTTTTGAGAATCACTACCATCGACATCAAACTCTAGATCGTTCTCAGAACAGAGAGCGTTGTAGCAATCCCTCGACGCGCAGAGAGTGGCGGTCATTTAGTGCGGCAGAGAAATTTAATTATCTGAATGCTGTCCAATGCCTAAGAGAGACGCCATCGAGATTGCATTCAAATTATTCATTATACGATGATTTTCCGTGGGTTCATACCAATGTTGGAAACTACTGTGAGTGTTGATTAGATCTCGCTTCAATTGAACTAGGAGCATAATTGCTGATGGTTTCTGGAGCCCATAACGCCGCTGCGTTTGTTGCATGGCACAGATACTTTTTGCATAGCTATGAAAGAGCTCTGAGAGAAGATTGCCACTATACAGGATACCTAAGGTATGCATACTAGCATCAATCCCGGTCTCTTCAAAAGCAAAGAACATTGACGTTTATTTGTGCTGTAGTTATTGGTATTGGTCCCTTGAATGGGAAAATATAACCAACTCCCCTGTATGGGACAATGAACTCGGCTTTGGCGGCAACGGAAATCCAAGCTCAGAAGTCATTGACTCACGTGGAATCGGGCAATGTGTTGTTGACGGTCCTTTTGCTCTACTATCCGTCCCATACATCGGTTCTAAACACTCGCGGCACTGTTTATCGCGCTCCTTCAACATAACCGATAGTTCGGAATCATTGAAGATCAAGCCTTACATGCTGGATCAATTGATGGATACAGATGATTACGAGAAATTTAACTTGGGTCTTGAAAATACTGCCCATAATTCAATTCCCCATATGATTCGAGGGGACTTCTCGATGTTTACAGCTCCATATGGTGAGTGATTTTATTGCTTTAAATACTTTTATTGAATCAATACACTTGCTCACTTCTGATCAGATCCTGTTTTCTTTCTTCCTCATACGCAGCTTGATAGACTTTGGTGGTTGTGGCAGCAGAAAGATACTCAGAATCGTTTGTATCAATACCGAGGTGTTGCGGCTTTTAAATCGCTTGAGAAGGCCTCGGTCAAAGATCTTCTGCTTATGGGAGAGTTGGTTGCGGATATTGAAGTCAAAGACATTCTTGACACGGAATCGGGAATATTATGTTATAATTACTAGTTTGAGCAAATTAAATCCACCGACTTTGAGAAATGCACTACTTGCTGTGCCCAGTGTCACTTCTAAAAGTAACATTGACATGTTGTAGAAGGTGTTCAGAGGTCTATCTTTGAGCATGGTCATCTAAAGCTTCCTTCTTTGAGGTGTAGTATATTCTGTGGTCATAGTGAAATCTAGACATGTGTGTATGTTACGTGGGAATAAGTAATTCCAGCTTGCTGCTTTAAGATGCCTGCTTCTACTCCCTGTTTGGGGAAACAGCGTGGAATGGAAATAATCAATTTTATACAAGGTTTCCTGGCCGGACAATTAGATGAGGAGATCAGAGAGTAGAACAAGGTCGGCAATAAGCTTGACTCGCTTGGAGTGCTGGCCGAAAGAGAACATTGCATGTTTTCGCAATTGGAAGAACAGCAATAGTACTGAAGCGAGATATAGCCATTGCACCAAAGGTTTGCAGTACGAGGAAAAGGTAGAGGAATATATTACAGGCGAAGCAAAATATAATATGGGGTAGTCTCATGACGATAGCCATGATGCTGAGTTGTATAACTGCATCAGAAAGCAGAGAGAGAAGCAATAGATTGCTTTATGCTACTTTGAATCATCAATACATTTCCCTGGAACATTGCAAGGACTTTTTTTAGGTGAAGAGAACTCTCATGAAAAAGACGCGAAAGTGGTATCATGAGCATGTACAAAGGATTCAGGCAAGATCAAGCGACGAGCGCCCTAAGTTGAACGAATTAGCTTTGCATATGAATACGTGGGGTTGATTTGGTAAGCATGCGGCACAGGAGAAACCCCGCACCATTAACGATTTCATTTTCGACATCACAACTCCTCTATACAGTCATCTTCCAATACCTAGGTATTCTAACGAGTATGTTTTGAAAGCAAAGCACCATGTCTTGACAATTGCTACTCCGTTAGGGGCGTACAAACCAAAAAAGACATCGTTACAAGATTAGAAGTTACAATACATAATGAATTTGACAATCTCCCGAGTTCCGAGCTCGATTCATGTGAGAAACCGGCACAGCTGCAGGTACTTGAGATGCGAAACCCACAGTGGCCATATAGGCCAACAGTTAGTATATTTCTTGGTTTTTCTGTCCTACAGTTGCAATTTTGTATTGTGACATTCCACTCAAGCTTATCAATGCAACATGTTATATTTAAGCCCCATAATATGCTTCGATCTCAAAGCCACCATCTCCCTCTTATCCTCTTCTCTTCTTTCCTCAGACATTACTGAGATCTCAACCACAAAATGGCACATCAAGAGAACTTCGATTCTAACGAATCTTATGATTACATCATTTGCGGGTTTGAATTTCCCCCTCCCCTTCCCAAATATTGTAAACATCCAGCTAATTACTCATCTAGTGGCGGAACCTCAGGCTGTGTAATCGCAGCTCGACTTGCACAGAACTCTAATGTATCTATTCTCATTGTTGAAGCCGGGGCTAGCAATGATACATATCCAGCCACTGCAATCCCTGCTGCGTAAGAATAAAGTCTCAAAAAGTCCATGATAATTCACATGTGACATAATCCGATTACTAGTAGAGTTTCACAGATACTTGGGACTGAAGCCGATTGGAACATCAAAAGCGAGCCTTGTAAGAAGCTCGAAAATCGTCGGTTGCATCTTGAAGGGGAAAGTGGGTTTTTTGAAAGTTCTAATCTTGGCTTGTGATATCTAACTTTGAAGTAAAGGTTTCTTGGTGGAAGCAGCGGTTGTAATGGGACATTGGTTATTCGTGGGAATCGACAAGATTATGATAATTGGGGTCTTGAAGGGTGGAGTGGAGATGGGATGTTTAAATACATGTCAAAGGTACGAAATTGTCAATGATTCGTTCTAGTTTATTTATATGTGATTGAGAACTTCATCCATGTTGATTGACCCACCTTCAACATCATCTCAAAATAGGCCGTCATGACTAGATATCATTAACATCCCCCAAGGCTGAAACAGTCCGCAACAAGTCATGGTTCGATGCCGAGAAAGATGCACATGGATACGGTGGTCCTATCATTACATCTCCCCATGATCCAGCACCGATTTCAAAGCTTGTCCTTGAATCGTATCAATCAATGGGACTACCCTTAATTCCAGATATGTTTAGTACCGGCAAAAGTGCTCATGGCTGCGGACATGCTGTTCGAACAGTCTCCCAAGGCACTCGTACTATGGCTACAGATTATATCACAAGTTCCATGAAAATTTCAGGCATTTCAATTAAAACGAACATTTATATCGACCGCATTAGTCTTGAAACAGATACCGCTGGTGCACTACGAGCCAATGGTGTATTCTTACAGGATATCACCGGAAAGAAATCTTTCGTTAAAGCTCACAAAGAAGTGATCATCTCAGCAGGAACATATGGAAGTCCAGCAATCCTTCTCCGATCTGGAATCGGTTCCAAACAAGAAGTCGAAAAGCTTGGAATCCAAAGCCAAGTTGATCTCCCAGGTGGCGGAAAAATTTCGATGGATCATTTGGTAAGCATAATTTTCTATTTATTCGATAATCCCATTCATATTCACTTATAAGTTGTTCAACATACTTTTTCTCTCCTCACAAAACTTGCTTTATATCTAATTCAAAACTAGGTCGTTCTCTCATTCTATGAAGTCTCCAAGCCAGTTCTCACCAATAACCATCTTATCTGGCACGCCGGCGGAAAAGACAAATCCTTAGCACAGTATAAAACCGACAAAACCGGGGTTTTCTCTCAATTCCCCTTTGGAACTTTTGCATTTGCTCGTCTAGACTCCAGACTCTCAGATTCTCACCTCTGGAACTCCGCTCCCCGCACCGAAGGTCTCGATCCAATGAGTCTCTCACCCACCCAGCCCCACGTTGAATTCTGGAACACAGAATGCTATAGTCCGAAATACATGTTTAGGGACTTCCCCCCAGATGGCAAGTATGCTTTTGCAATGGCTACAGAATTCTTCGCGCCGCGATCATGAGGTGAAGTCAGTCTCAAGTCAAGCGACCCGACGGAAAACCCTATCGTGAATCATCGGTATCTTGAAGGTCCCTTGGATATGCTCGTATTCAGCGAAGGGTGTCGCATGGCGAATGAAATTGCAACGAGGGGGATAGGGACGAAGGATATTGTGATTGGATCATGGCCATCGTCTAGAAATCATCACACGTTTACTACTCGAGAAGAATGGGAACCTATTATCAGATCTAATGCGGATACATGCAAGTCTCCTCTTTCCTAAAAATTATACTGTCTTGTTTGAACATTCATCTGTCTCATCTACATTACGAACATTCTCAATCAGCTAACTCAAATTCCCATTCCTAGGCTATCATCCAGCCGGAACATGCAAGATGGGAAGACCAGACGATACTCTAGCTGTACTTGACGAAAATCTCAAAGTGCGCGGGATCACCAATCTTCGAGTCGCAGATGCAAGTGTGATGCCCTCTCTTATTGGAGGACATCCTCAAATGCCCGTCTATGGAATCGCTGAAAAGGCTTCGGATCTTATCATTTCTGACAAGTGATTCATAGTTCAAAGTGGGAGATTTCGTGGCAAGATGATGAGCATGTCTTTGGTACACTCGTGGGTGCGCGAATGGATAAGACACGGCCAACAATGACTCAGGCTTGGCAATATCTCTTGAAGAAGCAGTTTAAATAATTTAAAATTTGAAAATAAGGAAAAAGATTATGATATTCAACAATCGAGAAATCAATTTACTATCAATTTCGAAAGTTGAAAAGTGCTTTACTAGTTCATGTATTCGTTGGTATGACTGATCATACTATGTCAGTAAGAAGTACCCCAAATAGTAGTGAAAGGAATTCATAGCATAGTCCATAACATAACTACTCAACTTCTTTAACAATTCCCTGAATCCCAAAATCACACAATACAATCCAATACAATCCAATCCAATCCAATCCAATCCAATCCAATCCAAGCTTAAGCATCCCAATCCATGGTGAACGAATGTTAAAATTCAACACAATCTCGATCAACAGAAACATTGAATACACAACACCATGTAATCAAAGATTCCACGAGTAGAAGTCACATAATCTACTTAAATATCATCAAATGATATCATCTCATATCAAATCACATAGAAAAGCAGCATCAGCCAGGGTGTGCGAATTTCGAAGCGTGCCCTCTCGCCTCGCCCCTAAGTGTGCTTTCCGTCTCCCTACTTGCGCTACCTACTTTGGTTCTTTCAGGCTCTGTCAATATACATCACTCACAACCTTAGCGGCGTGTATTGTATCCACGTTATTTTAGAGTATTACTAGCTAGGTATCTAGCTGCGGAGGACCTATCCACACACGTTCTTCACATACCTAGCTACCCTAAAAATAGTCATCCAGTAACATCCATTCCATTTCCTGACTTCCCAACCCAACTACCACATACCTACATACAGTAACATACATTCATTCATTTAACATCTACACTCCCCCCGCCCCCAGTCAACTCGCTTCAAAACATCATACATTTACTCCAGCTTTAATTGCTTTAATTGCCCATTTTATTGTAAGTGCTGTATATATATACACACATATATACATACAAATCTAGTTCTAAACTCTAGCCCTAGGATGTATAATATATTAATCCATCTATCCCTCTACAGTCGCCGTGCACTTCTATTAACCGAAACTCCACAAAACGCGTTTTTTCATGTTACACTCCCACAATCATATTTTATTATTTTAATTATACTTTCAATTTATAATATATGATATATTAAAGATATACAAAATAATTCTTATAAACATTTTATTTTATATATATATAGCAAAATAGTTAATAAGATAAAAAAAGGTTTTAGTTTTTATTAAATTATGAAAAATCTCAAACTCTCTTATGGAATTATATGATATATTTTTTTATAAAATCTAATATATAATAATAATATAATATGGTTTATTAATGAGTGGGTTATATTAGTGAATGGGTCACTTATTTTACATACAAAATTCGTCTGTGTATAACTATGCACTTTTTTTATTTATAGATATAATTTTCTGAAAATTTGATATAAAATATTTCAATATATAAGAATATTAAAAATCTTATTAATTTTAAGAAATTTAAATTTATAAAACTGTTATTATAAAAATAGATTTTTTATAACGAAAATCATAACAATTTCCTTTTCTTTTTAGAATATAATAAAATTATTTTATAAAAATTAGATTAATAAAAAACCTAGATTTTAATTATTTTTTAAAATCTTTTATTTAAGAAAATAATAATTAGTTATTAAAATATTAATATTTTAAAAAGCTTGATTTAAATAGTTTTCGAAACAACCCATTCACTAATATAACCCACTCACTAATAAACCACATTATATTTATTATATACTAATTGATTTAAATTATATATTAAATGAAATAAATAAATACTATTTAATATATATAATTATTTTCTAAAGCTATATATAAATAAATTATTTAAAAGATTAGACTTAGTTATAATATTAGAATTATTAAGAGGATTTTGATTAAATATAATATAATTAATTAAAGGTATAAGAAGAGATTAAAGCTTATATTAATATATACTATTAAATGGTTTAAATAATATTTAATTTATAAAGAGTTGATAATTGAAGAATAGGGTTTAATTATATAATTAAATAAATACTTTATAGAATAAGGAAAAGGAAAAAGATCAGAATGATATTTTTATATTAATTTTCAGAAATGAGATTCAGAAATAATCGAAATATATAATATAAATAAGAATATAAAAATTATATATTAAAAAAGCTTTTAGGATATTAGGAGAAATAATTTATATATAATAAATAGAGATTTTGAGAGTACGAAATATAGGTATAACATTAAATCTTATTTCAAGATTCTTGAAATTAAAGTAAACTTTATTTTCAAAAAGCTTAATTTAGAATATAAATTTATATAGAATAATGCTTTTATTTATTATGTTTGTAAGATACAAAATTGATTTCAAGAGAAAAAGATTCTTTTATTAAAAAATTAATTTCTTTATTTTTTTAATTTTAATTTTATAGAGTATATATAGTGGATCTTAAAGATAAAAGTATATAAAATGTTTTCTAATGTTATTATTAATAAAAGTAAATTAGAATATATTTATTAAAGACTAAAGAGTTATTTATAAACAATTTGGGATATATTAGATAAAGAATTATTTAATAATTTAAGAATTAATATATTTTCTAGAATTGAAGCTTGTAGTACAATGAATAGCTGGTATACTAAATATTGATAGATTAAGAGTTAATAATAGAATAATTTTTATATATATCAATAATATAAAAATACATTATTTATTTATTCAAATTTGATAATTTTATAATTCTTGATTGATTTAATATTTAATATTGAAAAAGGGTGGTGTAATATGTGATACTATAAAATAAGCGGGGGGGCGGATATAAGTGGCCTAGTACTGTATCTATCCATTTATACAAGAAAACAATCTCTACTCTTTACATCCTTTCTCCCTTACATTTCATACTTCACACTTCACATATCCTTTCCTATCCCACCCCCTCTCCCATCCCCTCTCTTACCCCCTCCCCCAACCCAAGACCGCTATACTTCCTCCTTTCTACTTCTTCCTTTCTACTTCCTCCTTTCTACTTCCTCCTTTCTACTTTCTCCACCTACATTTTCTCTCCTTAATACATACACTTAAAGATATAAATCTCCAGGAAATAGAATCCCAATCATCTCTCTCTCTCTCTCTCTCAAACTCGCATATAACTAGGGAGGTAGCTCATCCCATCCCATCCCATCCCATCCCATCCCATCTCACACCTCTTCACAACCGAAGCCAATTTCATTACGTCAACTACAACACATCAAAAATATTCACCACAATCAATGGTCAGATAATCCATATAGGTAAAATACACACATAAGATTACAATTCTCATTTTTCGTCCCCCAAACACGCGAACGCCCTCCTCTCTCCTCTCTCCTCCTCCCATCTCATTCTCCGCATCAAACAATAAGAACAACGACAACAACAAGAACAATAACAACAAGACGAACAAAAATACCACGGAGACAATATAATAATAATACACTAAATACAATACAATACAATACCATAAATACAGCAAGCAAGCAAGCAACAAATAACGTATACCGTATAACAACCCAACAAGATAGCTAGCTAATTAAGCCTCATCCCATCTGAACCCCTCTGAGTAAAATTTTCTACCAACCCCCCCAAAAAAACGCCCGGTTTCGCTTGCTTTCGTAGTGTAATAGTGCTTAGACTATGCAAGTACATGCGGATATACAATTCCAAGGATGTGATGCGATGTGATGTGATATTCCTGCCACTCCCAGATATGAATTTCCTTTTCTCCATCCACCCATGCCATCCATCCATCCATCCATCTATCATTCATTCAATCATCCATTCATCATAAATGCCCCCCAAAGAAACACATCAGCCACAGCCCAAAGTAAGTAAAGTTTTCTATATTCTGTTCCCTTGCGATACGAGCCCACCGAGACTTCCATCATTCAGCGCATATCATCGGAGATTCCCGATTTGAAAGATCCCCATATCACGGGGCTTATGGATGGCAGGTTTCCTAATTTCTCGGGCGTGGTAACATTTCGTCAGGTGCATTTATCCTATTATCGTGATAACCATTCCGGATCGCACGCCCATCAGGCTCCAAGCACAAAATAATAACATACAAAAATAGACAAAAACGCCGTGATAATCATAGCAAGACTGTGTCAAAGCAGGAATGGATCTGTCCACCTAAAATTTTGCCTAAAGATAGCCAGCCAACGCCTAAATGTGGGTAACATACAACATAAAAGTCGTCAAGTCATTAGCCGAGGCAAAATCCCCTCTGGCATGAATTTAAGGACGAAAGCGGCTTGCACTCCTTTCCTGAATCTGCTGTTCTGTCGTAACGTATAATCGGTCTAGGTAAGACATGGCTTCCGCGTCCTTCAAAATTTTAGCTACCTGAATCCCGGCGGAAATCAGCTGGAGGATATTCCTATCATCCTTTAATGGGCGTGATTGATGCTTTGCAGCATGTCTCATTTCCAGGCTATTTTCCAAGATGGTAACAAATTGCTTTATCTGGCCATTATATAATACCCGGGCGGGTATGCGTCTCTTGGTTGCGAGACGTTTGAGAAGGTATACCCACTCCGTCCATTCACGATCTTGGGGTCGTTCCACGGGTCGACAGCTGTCACTTAGAGGAATAGGAAACTGGTACTTGGCCACAAAGTCAAAAGCACACTGTGACAACCGGTCATTGACTCTATTTAGGACACTATCCTGTTCCTGCACCACGAGGTTTGTGGGAAGATGCGGCAAATCTCTCTCCTGCTGGGCAATGTATTCCGGGGGTGGTCGTTGTAAGAATTGATGCGGTCCATCAAATTCATCCCTATTAGATGGTCGTCTTTGAGAATGGCCTTTCCCATCACTTCTTGCTTTTCCGGATGACCGATTGACGGAGTCTAGCGTGTAATCCGTTGGGCTGGGAGATGCAGCGTAATCGTCCATATACGTCTCGGGCGAGACTCTGCCTTGAGGCTCCCAACTTGGACCTTGGCTTGTGTAAGAACCATAACTTGGTCCTGCGGTTCCATATACATTTGATGATGGGCCAACGCTATAAGCATTCGATCCATAAATTGAGTCCGGGCGGGCTAGAGGACTCGAGGTCATGGGTGCAGTGATAGGGTTGTAAGACGAGCCACTCAGATCCGGGGCATATGATGCGCTTGGAGGTTGATTTTCAGCTTCCTTCGTCCTGAATCTGGGATACATGCGTTCATACCTGGTGTTTGGATAAAAGCCACCATCGAAACTCGCGCGATTGCCGGTGGAATATGTGGTCCTTCCTGGTTAGCTATCGATCATGTAAATTGGCAAATTTGTCGCATACCTTCTCGACGAATCCGGAAGACTCGCAGGAATCGTACGTCCATAACTAAATTCCGGTTGGATGTGAATACTTCTTCTGGATGCCATCATTTTGAGATATCAAGTTTTAATTCCAGGTCCAAATCCCAAGTCAAGAGGAAACTTGATACTTGTACGATACTATATGAAAAAGAAATGAGATGGAAATTAGAGATAGGTCCTTCTTTGTCGGATGACAATTAAATGCAAAATGGCTCCAATATTGGTATGATAGATTGACTGTCCACGATTTAATTAATGGGTCCAGCAAGGATATCCAGATCCAGGAACAGGGGCGGTGAGTATGCCAGGTGATCCAAGGGTTTTATAATTTTTGAAACAACAAAGCTTTTATGCTATCAATTGATGTGGTCTGATGGGGGGAAAATGGAAGAAGAGGTAGGAGGGAAGTCGATTATTATATAGACAAACATTCATGGTTTATACAGCTGAAGCTCACTCGAAGCTTGACCGTAAAGATTTGACATATTAGACAATAAACTCCGAGACCCTCCAAGCACTGATAGGGCAATCAAGAAAAATACCTAGTAGGAATCAGGAAGCTATGACCTAGGATGAACAATGATTTGAACTGCATTGGGGATTCTTGTGCTCCCAATAATCTTGAATTTTCGAATCTTTGAATCTGTGAGAATCGTTGAGAATCTCCCGTCTGCAACCAGGAAAGCCCGTTTCCAGACGGAAGATTGGTATTTTTGGCCCCCAAGAAGTGCATTGTCAAGAATTTGGTAAGGATGCTCCCTCAAAACAAAGTTACTCGGTGCTCAAAGATCGACGTCGCTCATTCTCTTTCCGCGAAGGCTACATTAGAAATCTTATCGCGAAATGCGATGCGACAAGCCAGATAGCATTGGCAAGGACAGACCTCGGAGCCAGTGGGATGCTGTCCGCTGTGCTGTTCGGTATACGGAGGACTTTGTGGCTGCATTAGGCATTATTGGGCAATTTATATCCTTCTTGATCGCGAACAAGGTGTGACGAGAGCATAAAGTAAAATTATAAGTATGTAACCGGTACCTGGAAGAGAGCCAATACCGACACCAACCACCGATCTCAAGCGTGGCAAGCGCCAAAAAAAAAGTAGATAGAAATTCGAATGGCATAAAAAGTATGGGGAGTTCGGAGAGTGGGTGGAAGATGGGGACAAGGAAAGCCCTTGGTGTATGTATGGAGAAGAAGAGATCTCCGGGGCGGTGACGGGGCGTCTATCAACGATGGTATGAACCGTATGATGGTATGAGGCTTTCTCGGGCCCCAAGGTTGACGAATGAATGGTAAGGGGGAGGATGGGAACGATGGAATCCATTGTATCACTTGAATGATTGGTATTGGTATTGGTATTGAGTGGTGTCGGTACTGATTGGTATTGTTAGTAGCTAGCTGCTGTACTAGGGAATGTGTTGTATTGTTTGATCTCTGATTCGATATAAATCATATAATCGCTATAATCGATGTAATCAATATAATTAATATACTCTCTTACCGAGTGGCTGGTTGGGCATAAACGCGTTAAAAAAAGCCCAATCAATGCATTACGGCCTGTCCAACGGGTTCGTAAAATACTAATATTGAACCATAACATTCTTATTAAGGGCCCATATCATATGTAAGAGGTAAGAGGTCAGAGGTCAGAGGTATTAATAGTCATTTTATACTTGATTTACCACTGAGACTGGGCGTAAAATAAGAAATCTTCGGATGATGTGTTGTAAATTTGGATCTAGACATAGGAGATGGTGGCGACATGCATGGAAAATCAATATGAGGATTGACTTTGGTACTTCCTTTCCGAGTAATTGTGAGACCTTTGATGTAAGATCTCAATCATACCACCTTCTACATTGCCATATCAAGCATTAAACGTTCAGGGGCGTACTATTTTTGACATGCAATTGAGTTTTATGAGGAATCCCGTGGGGTGCTGAGGGGTACTTGGGTACTTGGGTACTTTGTAGGTAGGTAGGTATGTGAACATGATTTGATACTAACTCAACTCAACTGGGCACAGTTAAGCAAAGTCAATGATCGAAGATACAAAGTATACGATGGGATATGAAATATGGTAAACGTCAAGTAGGATGAACAAGGAATTTCCTTTTGGCCTGAGGGAGATGATGCGATGCTGAGCTCTAGTTTTCCTTCTAGAAGGGAAAAAGAGATGAATGATGTTTCTAGTGCTTTGTGGTAAGATTACTTTATTATGACAAGATCTTACTTTACACTATCTCACAGGTAACAGGAAAAATGATATATGTGTCCTTTTAGCCTCAATTTACATCAATTATCATAATTTTAACATTAATTATTAAATTATAATATAATGGTATTAGTTCGCTATAATTATTATAAGAATAAAATATATTTTCAAAAATATAATAAAACTTTTATTAAAGCTAAAATCTAAGTTATATTTAATGAAATAGTTGATAGAATTATTATTGTTTTTAAAGCTTAAGTATTCAAGGTCTATAATGTTATATCTTGTATTAGATATTGATATTAATATAGTTATGATTTAAGATACTTATATAATTCTATAATATATAAAAAGACTAAAGGAATAAAAAACCCTTTATTTTTTGTAATATATATATTATAAAGATTATAATCTAAAAGGAGAATTTTAAGATTAGATTTTTTAATTGAAAGTAATTGGAAAAGGTATATGAATTAATGTAATTTGGAAGGACTATTATATAAACTATAGAATCTATAAAATATCGAGAATATATAGTTTATTATAGGGGATAGATTATATAAAAAAATAGTTATTACTAGATTCCAATTTGCTTACAATATACTAATTAAATACTTTAATCTAAAGAATTAAAGAAAAATTAGATTCTTTAATAAATTTTATTGGGATCTCAAATTTGAAGAAAAGTATAGAATTATTAGAAAGCTAGATTAGAGGTTTTGTTCTAAGTATATTTAGTTTAGAGGAGTAAAAAAAAAGGAATACTATAATAAGTAATACTACTAAATAATAATAAACTTGTCACGGTGTGGAACCACGTGACATGTTGGTCCTATCGGATTGGACCGAAATAAACGCTTGCGCTGGAGCGTAAGTAAGCTAGGGCTCAATCAAACTAGCTTATTTATAAAATTCTATAACGTAGTTTAACACCGAGTGGCCCATATCACCAAATAGCCCATTTTCATTTCAATTTATACTTTCAAACTTATATTATTTAATAATAAAAATCAATTAATTGAAACTATTAAGAATCTAATAATCTAGAATCTATTATATTATTTTGATAGATTCTTATATTATATTCTATCTTTTTATATTTATTATAATATTAATTAAAAAATATTTTCTTATCAGAAATCTTTAGAGTAATTTTCTTTTCGAAACAATTTATTTTCAAAAAGATTTGAATTATAATATTACTTTATATTAATTATATAATTATATTATTCAAAATAGTATTCTATATAGTATCGATATTAATTTTCTATTTTGTATAGAATCTTAAAGCTTTAAATAAAGCGAATTTAAAAATCTTTATTAATAAAAACGAATCGATTTTTTGTAATGAATTATTTTATAAATATTATATTTAGAATTATAAAACTTATATAGAATTAATTTTTGATATTGAATTAATAAAACTATTATATTGATTTTATTATAAATATAAAAAGTAGTAATATTGAATCAATTAAAAGAAAGGTGTTATTCTATTAAATGGGAATTATGAATTTGTGTGTGTCATTTTTCCTGTCACCCGCGAGACTGTAATGTTTTGGAACGGTGATGAGTGATGATAAACCTAATGATTTTCTTACTAGGAACACACCTCACTGCCCAGATTTCACCTCATTGACTTTTCTAATTCCACACTGGTGAGTACCTAGGTATCAACAACTACCTACCTAGGCACGTGCTAGGTACCAGCACTTGTCATCAACTCTGAGGATTACAAAAAAGGTAGTAAATACCTACTAAATAATGCTTCCAAACTTCTAAACCTTCTAGTGCTTTACATTCACATCTCCGAAATCTACAAGACGATCCTTGGGGTCATGAAAGTTGATGTGTTAATTGGTTTTGATGTCAAATTGCTTGTCGTCTAATAAGGAACAACGATTCTCCTGGAAACTTTCTGAAAATTTCATATACGTTGCAAAGGCATTACGATACTGTCATACTTGGTGAAGATAGTGTGAAATGTTTACTAATTTACCCTTTTCCGAGTCAGAACTTGCAACATAAACTGCTGTCAATACTGGGATGATCCAGAAGATCCTGAGTCTTGCAAGTTACCTCTATCTAAACACCTATCAGTAGGTACTTGGTATACCAATAATCTTGTCACGGTTCATCCATCATTTCTAAAGATATACGTGGCACTAATTTCTTCCTCCTTTTCAACGAAAGTCGTCGATCAACTACCAGAACCTACTCCCTCCGTATGTTCACCAACAGATAAAACCTAAACTCGACATCTTTCTTGTACAATTGATCGACGTTGGCAGCAATTGCGCGACATCGCATTTACAATGATCGGCTAGCTTCCCATCATTTCACTGTGGCGAATGTTACCTCGGCACTCGTATTTGGATAGTTGTCATCGACCTAGAGCGGGGAAATCCCAGTATTATGCTCACCAATGCTGCAACCGCTTCATTCCAACAAGGGGTCTTCTCGTACTAACTGCATCAAATTGCATTTCAAGGCTACCTGCGTTGAGCTAAACGACACGCAATCGAGTAGCTTCACCGCAAGCACCATCCGATTTCAAGAATCCCAATCGAAACGGTCAATCGGTCAAGCTGATCGCCCATAAATTATAATACCTAGAATTGAATAATATGTCTCTCAGCAGGGAAGAATTGAGAAGAAAAGCCGTTGCATTCTGTCAGGCATTCGTCGACGGAATCTCACCTGACATTATCCTATCTTTACACTTCTCTTCATCACCTCGAATCACCGAACATGGTCCTGAGAATTCAGAACTTCTATTTCTAGGTAAAACATTCTTGGGTCGTAAATGCGACTCTTCTGACAATCAAACATGCGATGATTACTTCAACATCCTATCTCGAACCCTTGAGTTTCAACCCTCGTCATCTACATTTCCTTCACCTAAGTCTTTTGTTGTCGATGAGACCTGTGAATTTTCGGGGAAGAAAGGTGTCGTTAGTGTTGTTGGAAGTGCCACTTTCAAAAGTTTGAAGACGGGAAAAAGTTGGGATGAACAATTCATCTATCGATTGAGTGAATTTGATGAGGAGGGCAAGATTGGTCATTGGGAGATTTGGGCTGATACTCTATCTGCTTGGAACGCTGTTCACAGTTGACTACATGATGATGAATGATGGGTGTTCACGGCATGATATATTCGATGCCTTGGACTTGATGGCTAGTAAACTAATATACAGTATTTTTTGTCGAATCAGCGATGACAGGTGACACATTTGGCACTTCCGACACACTAGTGGTGTCAATTCCGCATACTACTTGCTAGTATACACTCCACGCTCGATTAATCGTAGTACGGTCAATCGAGACCACGGCTCAACCTCCTATCCATAATGGTTTATTGATCAAATACCGAGTTTTATACCGTCACGAGAAAAGATAAGTACCAGGGACAATTTATTACATAGACATCAAGCCATAGTTCTTCCTTCTTTGACTTCTGCACTCCAATAGTTCTTTTGTTGATGTGAATCAAGTCCTCTCGTGGGTTCACACATTTTTCCAAACAGTCCCGGTGTGCGTATGTTTTCACATGAATTATTCTGGATCTTGAAAGTTGTCGATATTCCCTCATTGGGATCTTCCTCAATTCCTTCACCTGATTTCTCTCGAAAATTCCAAAAATAATAAAATTCTTCACATGATCTAAAGAAATCAGACTTGAAAAGTTAAGACATGATCAGAGGATCTGATACGGGAAACAATCGGTTTGCGTTTAAAGTACCGCATCTACATCACGAGCAAGATTCAAGTCCTGCTTGATGTCAGTTTATTGTACTCATGCCACAGTATTAAGAGAGACATGAAATCCATCCAAAGAAAGAGTTTATGTTCAGCCCCAACTCTTTCCAATCTCTAAATAATGATTGTGAGACGATGTTGAGATATTAGATGGCATGGTTATGCGTACGTTCTATATATGCCATGAGTAAGATATTGAGAGGGAGAAATGAGACAGTTGAGAGGGAGAAAATTTATCGAGTTTCTTACTTCTGCTGTTTGTCGCGGTTAGGTAATCTTACATGTATCTCGGGTTTGGGTGTGAGGGGTAAAAATTGCTTGTTCTGTGGTGTCTCTATTGAGTGCCAGGGCAGTTTTGTCGCGATTCGTGAATGTTGGATTGGAAGTGGAAATCAAAAGAATCTAGTAGGTGATCGAGAGGTGGTGCATCGATGCTGAAATTTAATGGAGATCCTAAGGCTCGAGTAGATGTTCAGTATTCTCATTCTTGTGGAGATTTGATGAGATTTGATTTGATACCTACTAGTCTACCTACCTATATTTACAATGCTGTGGTGGTTATCTCGATTGTTGTATGCATAGGGTATAGTATGTATATAGTCTATACTAGAACTAAAATATCAACTATCCTCGTTATAAGAGATAACTCTTATAATAATGACAAGTTAATCCTCAACGCTATAGGGATTTCAGTTGGTTATTTGGAAATTTACGAATCAAATTCTTCTCGGTAGGTGGATGGATGGATGGAAAGCTAGTTCCCGAAAATGGAATTTCATGATGGAGTGAGGGGTTGGATATTGGGTATTGGATATTAGATCTTAATAGAATATTACCTGCTAAGTGATAATTACGCATGTAGCGAATGAGACTCTTCTCATCTCATTTCATGGATGACATAACTCTTCCCGCGCTTGCAACTCGACACGAGACACGAGAACTAGGTGGTATTAAATAGATAGATAGATAGATGTAAATGGTTAGTTATCGTGAGGTTATTATTAGCTGCTCTCCTCTAGTTAAAAGTTTATGGAGTGGGGATTTGTTGATTTGTACTGTATGTTGTGAGAGAGTGATTGTAGGATGGCGAAGCTAGGTTGGGTGCTGGATGTTCGCTGAGAGGAGAGAGGAGAGGAGAGGAGAGAGATGCGTTCGAGGTGTTTGGGATGAGGATTATGTTGTTGTTGTTGTGCGTGCGGATTGATCATTTTGGAGAGGAATTGGAAGAGATATTTTAGGAGATGGGTGTTGAGTTGTTGGGTTGGTGGGTAGGTAGGTAGAGCAGGTATGTAATCCCGTGTTTGAATTTATTATATACCTACCTGTCAATAAGATTCTCCCTTCTAGCATATTACATTCTTTAGTACTCAGAGGAGGAAGAGGGGGGGGAGAAGTATTGTAGGTGACATTTCGATACCTACCTAGGTACCTACCTAGATGTAGAAGGTTCGGCTAATGTTCATTTGCTTATATGAATGGATGGATGGGTATATTCATCTTCGTTCTTCTTTTTCCATGTGAGTGAGGATGTTTCGAGAGAAATGCTGTAATGTTATTAATATTCGAAGAGAGATGTGATTGGAAGGGAGATTATTAATATAATAGTAGGCTAGCTTGGCTGTATCTTTTTTATTCAGAGACTAGAGATAAATGGTATGTGACTGAATTGCAAAGAATTGAATAGTAGTTATTAAAGTGATAAAATCAGTTTATATGCCTTTGTTATATAATGGAAAATATATGCTTCAGTCGATACTAAAGTTATATAAGATTACAAATGTATGCACAATATAAATCTCCACATCAACAAAACTGATTCGAAGCATTACAAGGTTCAAACAGGTAGAGCTCGAGGAGTATCTCGATATAGCATGTTATTTCAGGAATCCAAAGATTTAAAGATTTTGTGTACATAGTTAACTAAGAATACTTTTCTCTGGATTAATGGTATTCCTAGAAACTTGACGTTGTAGCTTGATCCCTCTTCCATCATAGCATATTACATTACACGCTTTGAAGTCATCGATAAAGCAATCTAGGAGATGGGATAATTTCGCTGATAGGAGTCATTCATTCGAACTACAATTTTTCTTACTGGTTTGCTGGATGAAAAATCCAGTTTTCCTTCTTTCTATTTATCTATTTATACATATACACACACATATTCAACTACTTCCCGCAGCACCCCCATCACTATCCCTGGCTTTCTTCCGACCAAAGATTCGCTTCAAAAATGTATATCTTTTCTTCGATTTCCTCCTTTTATCGTTCTTCTTATGAGTACCGCTTGACTCTTCCTCATCCTCTTCTTCATCGTCGTCATCATCATCCTCTTCTCTCTTACCTCCACCATCAGTAGCAATCCCAGTCCCAGAGGTAGGCACAGTTTCCTGTAAAGTTCTTTTCGCTAGCCCAGGCTCTCCCTCTCCCCCTATCTCTGCCCTCCGATCTAAAGAATTATTCAATCCATCTTCTTCATCCTCACTCAGACTACCGACATTACAATAGAAAGCTGCGTCGGAGCCGGAACTATGTTCGCTAGGAGTTTGAGACACAGAGTCAGATTTTTTTTCTGCAAAGCTTGGAGCTGTGGAATTGATATTGTGGGAAGAGAGGTTTGGAGACGGTGGAGATGATTTGGATGATCTGTTTTTGTTTTTCTCGAGGGGGTGGAATTCTTTTTTGAGACGAGGAAGTGATAGTTCTCCCGCGGAGTTTAGGGTATTCTCTGCAATTTTTGACGACTCGCTTCTTCGAATAGCAGGACAAGTCCCGGGAAAGTGAGAACGCTGCATGTTTCTGTCGTTTAAAATATTGGATATTGGTGAGAGAATCTTGTCGGATAAGTCGATTGCTTCGAGATTGCTGGGGGGTGATAGGGGAGATCTTTCAGCATCCAGATTTTTCGGTGCGTCGGTGACATCTACCATGATGAACTACTGAGAAGAGCGTGCGAACTGTTAGATAGATTATGGAGGTGATGCAAACCTGATCTCTGGTGTTGATGGCGGCTCGATTTGAAATATGAAGGCTGTCAATACTAGATGAGTTGGCTGTTTGGCTGTTTGTAAGAGTTGGAGAGGAGAGTTGAGACTAATTCTGATATTTTATGTGATCGATTACTGAGGATTGCTACTCGGGTCACTTGTGATTAGAAACTTACAGTTGACTGGTTTGAATATTTTGATAGATTGACAATTCTGGTTGTTTGTTAACCTTGCTTGAACTATGTAGTCATACCATTTCTTGCATTTCTCATGGTGAATTTCACTATTCCGGATCTTATTACACCGAAGAGTAGACCGGTAGAAATGAATCCAGACCGAGAGACTTTGTGAATCCGAGAAGTTCTTTGGTGCGTCTTATTGACTATATAGAAGCGGACTGCTGTTTAAATGGAAGAAGGAGGAATTGGAAGAGGGAGGAAGTACTTCCGGGTCATGATGTCCATGAGAGAAATTCTACGGTCTCTCCGTAGGCTGGGTAGCCGAGTAACAAAAGTTTGTATAGATAGTGTGTATGAAAGGCCGGAGTTCTATTTAACTACTAAGACTAATAGTAAGGACAAAGATTGCACCACCGATAGAGAAAATCCTGAGTCTTGTCGATAAGTGATCCCCATTACCATGACACGAAAGGGGAATAGTCTACTATACGTACGTGATGAACAAGAGATCCTATACTTGGAATCTAAGCTTCAGTAGAACTTGAACACAGAATACAAATACCAAAAAGTACAAGACTAAGTCAGAATGAAGCGATCACTACAAATTAATGACAATGACAAAATTTCGCTAATAATGATGATGTGATTGCAGTTTCGCTCTGATTTCAACTTTGCATCATATACACAGCTACACCTCACAGGCTTCATTGCAATTAATGGATCAACAATAGCTTCAGATACTCACTATCAAATCGTGCTGGGGAGTTACATCACTCTTCTTGCTTGGTGCCAAATGATTATACAATGAGTGCAATGATTGAAAAGCTAACACTCAAGCCTTAATTAAATCTCTAGATACTGATAGTCCCCTTTGTGTCAGTCTTATATGACTCAATATAAAGCAAGAGCTCTGGGAGCTATTAGATCGTTTGTAGAGAGCAGGGGCATCAATGTTAATTCTGATCTTCTGAACAATCATGAAGACTCAGAGAGGTATTTGAAGATAACTGTCTTTGGTGCTTACTTCTGACCTTACTTCATAGCTATGAATAGGGTAAGTTCTAATTGTAAAAAAAAAAAAAAAAAAAAAAGCATCCAAAATGTAAAGAGATGTAGTCAGATTTTGACAGCAACTCTGCTGGGAATAGAACTTGATAAAGCAGGCAAGATTCAGGAAGCTAGAAGGAGGAATTTTCATTGATGAGCATTCAGTTCTCGCTGACATCTTAAAATTGAGAGGAGAAGAGCTCCGGGGAACCAATTGATATAGTTGAGTTTAATTTGCAATACATATATCTAGACAATCTGCATATTTTCTTGAAACTGATCAATGAAAGAAATCAAAGCACAAATATAAATGTAACAGAATCGTCTCATAACATTTGGAAATATTTAGAACAAACTCTCATACCTGCGGACGTGACGTTACTACAGCACAGCCACTCACACACAAGCCCCATACCCGGATCAAAATTAATCCGTCTACTTACGCTTCTAGAGACCCATCGAATCACCCATCCATCTCAAACTCTCCATCTCATCTCCAACCACAACTCCCCATCCCCCCAAAAAACATGCCCGACGACTACTCCTTCACCGGCGGGGGTCTAAAGCTCAAAGGAGCCTCCACCGGCGCCGGCATTACCAAAAAGAAAAAGAAGAAGAAGGTTCCCGCTCCCACCACTTCAACATCTCCATCTCCATCTCCATCCACCGCCACGACCACACTCCAAAACGCCTTAAAAGACGAAGATGCTGCGAAGCCCACTTCCGACGAAACAGGGACGAGCGAAGACCAATTGAAATCTCTAGATCCCCGCGACGCATCTGGGAAAACCGCATCGGAGCGTGCGCATGAGGAGATGAGGAGGAGGAGGGTATGTTATTACTTATTTTTTATTCATTTCAACTTTTCATTCACATTTACATCACCATCTGTATTCCCCCATCTCCCAAGCCCATACAGCTCCGCATCCATATCCATAACCACCCCCCTCTTTCTCTTTGTAAAAACATACACTAACCCCTCCTCATAGCTCAACGACCGCCTCAAGCGCGAAGGCGTCAAAACCCACAAAGAGCGCGTCGAGGAACTAAACAGATATCTCAGCACCCTAAGTGAACATCACGATATGCCCAAGATCGGACCCGGATAATGCGTTTATTGTCTTCCAAACATATACACACATGCACACAAATACACTATTTACGAACTTCGAACTTCGAATTTCGAATTGCGAAAGAAGAAAGAAGGAAGAAGGAAGAAAGGGGAGTCTGGAGTTTCACGGAGTTCGATGAGAGCACTCATTAGCAGTGACTACACGATTTAATTCAACTTTACTTTTCTCGACTTTATTACATTTTGATCTCCCTCCAACCTCGCAAACATCACATCGAAACCGGAATCAGATGCAAAAAAATAAAAACTAGACCAGCCAAAAAATCAAACTTAGGTTTCTGAGCCCACGAATCTAATTCCAATGCTCAAGATAGGTACTGTTCCAATAAACGATCATATGGCACAGCCGAAAATGATGGATGGCTCGCGCGAAAGAGGGAGAGATGTGCATATACCCCAACCTTTGAAATAATATAAACATATACCATTATAAATCAGAAAATTTCAAAATTTCTACAAGCTACAACTATATCGTTACGAGGAGATCTTCTTCAACTTTCTCTGCGTGATCAAGTCGTTCTTGTGACTATATCACCATGGAAACAGTGACACGGAAAACAATCTCCAGTGAAGCATTTTTCCCAAAGGGAGGCTTATGGTCCCAGAAATTGTCTTCACATCTTCATTGTTCATCTTGATTCTTCTTTATGGGAAGACGATACAAAACTATCGAAACCATCAAATAACTCCGAATTTCTGTACAATTAGGAGAAATGTCGCAACGAATAATTTAAAAGTCCTTCAGCAAGGGAATACATAGAAGTCAACAACTTCTCCCTTTTACTCCTTCACATATCAATAATCAAGTTTCAAACGCAAGAGACCACCAGTAGTATGTTTGTAATTGTGTGTATTTTCATTATTCTCCACAAACCCCTATCACGTTATTTCACCACTTCCACCGTATTAACCATAATGCATTTCGTCCTCCCCTTACTATCAATAGATTCCCCATGACTTCCTCATGCAATTTATAATAGCCATATTTGATCCTAAGCCAATTTCTCCCAGCAATTATGCGAAGCAAAGCACATATCCCGTGATGGGCTATTCCAATCTATGCGCCAATCCAAATTCCGTTTCTAAAAGAGTGATGATAAATTCGTGTCAAGTCATTACGATCGATCGTAAGAATGAGAGACTGATAGTTAAATAAAACTTGTGACCGTAAAAACCCGACACCGACGCTATGCAAATGTGTAAATATCAAAAGAGTTCTGGTTCGATTTCTTGTGTTCGTCCCAACTACTTGGCTTATAATGCACCAACAACCAGTATTCCGACGGCACCGAGAATCATGTTGATTCCCAAGTTGTTCTTTGCAGCGCTGTTGGTTTGCAATGATGCACTTCCAGTAGAGGTCTTAGAAGAACTAGCGGGAGATCCAGTAACTACAGCAGGCACGACAGTGACTGATGTGACTGTCGATAGAGATCCATTGGGTAATGTTGTGGTAAAAACTCTGGTAGAAGTACTGCTGGTTGTTCTTCTGCTGGTCGCTTCAGGGGCTTGTGTAGTAGCATCGTCTGAAGAAGCTGTAGATTCGGCCATGTTAGTAGATGTTGAAGTTACAGTAGAAGAAGAATCAGTAGCGAGAGAGCTCGCAGAATTAGTCAACGTAGACAAAACACTATCACTGGAAGCCTCTGTAGTAGAACTTGAGGTAGCAGCAGAGGTAGTAGCTCCAGAGGCAGTGGCCTGAGAAGTCGATACCCTGGTGGAAATGGAGGCCTCACTTGTAGAAGCTCCTGTAGTCACGGGGACGGAGGTCATGGTACCTGAAGATGTTTCAGTAGTGTGAGGGGCGGAAGTGGAAGCTTCTGTTGCCGATGTAGCAACTTGGGAAGTCTCAGAGCTTTGAGATTGAGATTGAGATTGAGCACTAGTGGTAGAAGTCGATCCTGAATCCCAGTATAAGTTTAAGCCAGAAACTGATAAAGAAAAGACATTGCTAGGAAGGTTGACCAAAGAACTAGAAATTGATGTTGCGGAGCTACCCTGAGATCCAATGGAAGTGGAAATAGGCAACGGCAACGGCAATACAAGAGAAACATCATCATGTCCAACCAAACTAGAAGTGGACTCCAAAGTTAAGGAAGTGCCATGGTTTCCAGATATAGAACCAGGACCAGGCACGGGGATCGATGAAGGAGAATGATATCCAACAGAAGTGGAATCAACAACAGGTACTCCTGTAGAAGAGTATCCAAGAGAAGTAGAACTAGAAATTATAACATTAAGAAACGCGGGAGGACCTCCCAGGGATATCGTTGAACTTGCAGATATAGAAATCGCAGACGATACTGTGGAACTAGACTCCAAAGACTTCGACGTAACAGGATACAAGCCTGTCGTCGAGGTCGAGGAGTCGTGAGGTGTCTTGGTAGGCAAAAAAGCAGAAAAAGTAGAATTCACAAAAAAGAAGACGGGTAATGCAAAATTAGAAGTAGAAGTAGAAGAAAAAGAACGCGAGGTCGACCCGCTTTTGAACATACCCGAATTTGTAGATGCCGCAGATGTTGGTGTACTTGTTGTCACCGGTACCACTGCAGTTGTGGTAGTTCCATCACTTGTAACAACCTGGGTCGATGATGCGGTGGTTGGTGCAGTAGTGGGGGCTGTGGTGGGAGCTGTAGTTGGAGCAGTGGTTGGTGTCGCAGTCGAAGTTGGAGCTGTGGTAGTGGGCGAGGTAGTTGCGGAAGTTGGCGCCGAGGTTGGCGCCGAAGTAGGAGTGGTTGCCACGGGTGTAGTAGAGGCCACTGTGGAAGATGGAGTAGCTGGAGCCGAAGTTGTGGAAGCTGCAGTCGTGGCCGGTTCGGAAGTAACGACAGTATTCGAAGTAGCAGCCGATGTTGTACTTGGAGCCGGAGTAGCTGTCGAGTTCGATCCAACTTGTCTCTTAGCCAATTCAATCATAGCATTTGCCTTCGCTGCCTCAACCAATGCATGTGCGACTGCCGGTTCCTGTCTGTAAACAGCTGCCAAAGCATCCTTGTCATCTTCATAAACGCCATGCTGATATTTCTCCGTCATATGTTGGTGAAGCACATCATGTAACATGGCTGGTTCAACAGTATCCAGCAACTCTCTAAAGGCTTGTTGATCTTCCATACAAGGAGGTGATACATTTCTTGGAGTTCGGTTCGTGGTAGCGGCAGAAACGATGGTGATGGTGAGGAGGGAAAAGACCATGAGAGTCAATAAGAACTGTCGAATTGAAGGCATATTTTCCGACTTTCGAGGCTTATTCGCTTCGATATCTTGTTTCTCGTTGATATAGGAATCGGTCTCTGACATCAAAGGACTATTGACACTTGAATCGAGCTTTTGCTTAAGATCTTGGATCTTTTGTTCATTAGCTGTTGAACTCATGATTGCTTAACTCTCAAGGTATTCCGGATAGAAGAACAATTTTCAAGGATTATATTAGGGGTTTGAACGAATGTCAATGCAATGCAGCTGTAAAATAGGTGCAGTAGTGAGCTGTGATGCCACTTGAAGGTAAAACGAACAAAGAGAGATCAAGCAACGAGAAACGAAGGATGATGATGGATGAATTGTCAGACAATTGAATGTATGACAAGTTTTATTATGAGGGGACAATTCAGTAATTGGTTTGTTATTAGAGAGGAGGGAAGATGGGAGTTTTGTTTGAAACAAGAGAGACAGAAAAGGTTTTAGCTTTTTTTCTCGTTCAGGACATCACTTGCCCTTTATGTTGTGGCTGGGTATAAACCAAGGTAGCTAGCCAGCTAGCTATCAATTACCATGAGTCTGGTACGATGTACTCAGGACTAGATTATTATTGCGGAGAAAGGAAGGAAAGGCCGGGAAAGAAACACATGGGGGGGGGGGGGGTGGGAAGTGGTTCGCAATGTTTTGGAAGGGACGAGCCAGTAGATTCAACAGTGCTGCGGTTTGCGATAGTGAGTGGTGCTTAGATGTGCTAAAAGGTGCTAAGATACTAAAGAAGGTGCTTGCTGTAGCCTGTAAGAACTTCGGGTGGATTGATGGAGAAAGAAAAAAAAAAGGAAAACAAGCATTATTTTGGGAGTGATACAGCGCAAGGGTATAGGGTAATATCAGGGTATCAAGGGTAAATGCTGATAAAAAAGGTAACATTTATCAAAGCGACCACTTCGCGAACAAGGAACTGTTTCTCCTTCGATGGAGAATTCGAGATCATAGTTCATATGATACTGGGAATATTCGGGATTGCCATATGAATACGAGAAAGTATGATATGGATGATAAGGTGTGATGTGCAACAGTAAAGTAGGATTAAGAAAACCTGGTCCCTTGAACGTACCTTGTTCTTTTAATGTAAGCTGATCCTCAATATATATAAAATACTGTGTAGGTAACCTTATGAGAACTCCAGCTAATCGTCCGTAGAAAGCAGAGAATGAATGTCAATAAAATATTCGTAGCTAGCGAGTGAGGAATTGAGCGATTGAGTGAGCGAGTGATTCGATATACCGGTACGAATGGTAAAGGAAGCAAAGTAAGCAAATGGATTGGAAAACAATTCTTCGCATCAACACATAACGAGGGGTATCAGAGACAATATACGTTTCCGGTTGATTACCTACATGTATGTGATGGCGATGATCTTCTTGAAATAATACGAGGCTAAAGAGATCTTGGAAAAGTATATGCAACCTATATGCAACTAATTGTATGCATGGACATTGACTCTTCACTGTCGACTCAAGTTTTCTCTCTAGTTGGCTCACATGGTGAAGAAACCCCCGGATATCCATCCATACCAGGATCCATACTTACCGCCGCCAAAGAATGACGATTGCCGGTTTTCCACTCACCCAATTGTTGCATTTCCATGTCACATCGCGCATTATTCAGACCAGAACCTCAAAATCTACCATTCCATCCAAGGCCAACCATCTTCAAATCCTCACTCCACTTGATACTTCGGTCCCCACCCAAGATGACTCCGTGTATACAGAGATCCTCACAATCAAGAGCAAACCAGTAGCGAAGAGCGACGCTACTTGTATCCGAAGGCTTCGAGAAGTATCTACAGCACAAGCTAATGGTATGCAGCCGACCCAACTACCTATTATGCTCTCATTTTTCTGTCTTCGGATGGCTTCACGTATTACCTCAAATCGACCCACTTTCCACCGTATCTCGAGAGGAGAAACAGCCAATATGTAAGACGGTACGGAGTACGTAAGGACAAGAAGCTCCAAAAATCGCTCTAAAGCAATTCGCGTAGATTGATGGCGACGTCACCCTACTTCTACTTACAACGGGTGTACATCCTCAGCATGTGTCTTTGATATTTTATTCACCTCTTCATATCTGTGACTCTACTTGCAATTTTATACCATCCTACGAAGTATTCATTCCATCTAATCCCATCACCATTCCCATCAAGACCAATCAAGACCAATCAACTCAAGAGAAACCTCTCACACCAAACAATCCAATCCCCAATCCCCCAATACCATCAGATAATCCATACCACCC